CGGTAAGAGTATAGTTTCCCAGGGTGGGTAATTAATTTCGACCAAAAAAAATTAACGTTAATTTAACGTTAATAAATTTTTCAAATTTTGGTGCATTTTTGTTAAAGTTAACTAAACGTTAACGTTAACGTTAATTAATGAACGAACACGGAAAGTATACTTTAGCCGAAATTTCTTCCAAGCTTTCTAAGAACGACTTTTAAAAATGTTTGAAGTGCCAATTTATTGAGTTCTTGTCTATCAAAAATCAAAAATTTGTACTTAAATTGATGGCAATAAATCATTCATATCAAAATACTTTTGAGAAAACAGAAATTCGTCGTATTCTCGGTAGTCGCTTTTGCTTCAAAAGTAAAAAAAATTAAGAAAAAGTCGACACAGTTTAACTTAATTACCAGTCAGAAAAGGTTTTTGTGTTGGCCTTTGATTACTTCCCATGATTTTACTTCTTGGCACAAAGTTATAGATTGATGATTATGATTTATTGCTACTTGATGCTATACTAGCGAATCAAACCCATGAATTATATTTTAACTGATGATTAACATATCTAAACGGTTTCCTAACTTTTCTTGAAAACTTTTTTCATATTAAAATACTTTTTACGTCAATCTATTTTGTATTTATCAATAGAACATGAATCAGACAATTTTGACGTTTTCAGTCCACAGACAACATGTGACATTCGTTCAGATAAGCACATTGTTTGCAAATCCCACATTTTCAGATGAATGTTCATCATCGTGAAACTGAGATGATTATCAACCATCAAAGGAGTGCCTTTTGTACTGAATCTTTATTCGTAACTTCATTTAAAAAACACACAAAATATATTCAAATTAAGTTGCTACTGAACTTTTTTCTCAATATTTTAATCTCCTTTGACTTTAGTTTCATTATCGTTTTGAAAACATTGTTTATTACTTACACATGACACAATGGAGACGAATTCGATTTATGATGAAACAATGAAATGTTGGAGGTTTCTCACTTATGAGATGAAGTTTCATATTAATCTCAAGTTAGTCCCAGTCATTCCAAACATTTATAATTGTAAGTTGGGCATTTAAAAGATTTAAATTTCTTAGGTTGAAGAGATCTGAAATAGTAAAAATATTGAATATTATTCAACAAACCTTTTTCGTCTGAATGTAGACCTAGTTATGGGAAAAAAATAATAATTCCGGACAAGCTCGCGCTCAGAAAAAGGTAGCAAAGGAGAAAACAACATCATTTGAATACAATAAAGACATTTTTCATAAGGCCCGAGAAATTTAAATATTTGTGATGGTGCTTATGATACAAATAACTCTTTCTTCTATTTTTCGAACGAACGAACGAACTAATTTATGTGTGAATATATTTTCTCTCTTCATTTGAGGCTTATTGGGCGCAATTTGTCAGAGTTTAACTCGCATGTAAAATCCCATTTGTTTTGATGTCTAAACAACACTTGCAAGTAAGCTTTACAGTTAATAAATTGTGAGTCATACATCGAATGAACCTGACGATTACTCATAGCTCTCAATTTACAATTTACGTTCTTTATAATTTCATATAAATATTTATACATAAAATTGCTTTAGCGTGTAATTAGAAATTTTTAGTAATACTAATTCGTGTGGGTGTAACTTATCAACATTTAATGAAAGGAAAATATAAATCGATTGATTTCTAAGGCGAAGTCTTAACAAATAAGTCATGCGATAATCCTTGCAGTTCTTTGGACTCGTAAACGTCTTTTAAGTCAATAAAATGTATACTGAGTAAATAAATAATTAAATGATCACTTGAAGGTTCTTATAAATCTTTCATAAATTATTTTTATAAATATTTCACTCTCACAATGGCTGGAAATTTATTTTCCATACTTTTTATGTTTTTTTTTTACTTATTCAACTCAACTTTCTCACTGTTGTCATCTCATGTGTGTGTTGAACTCGAATTGTATTTATCACTTGCTAACCTCCAACCTTTTGTAATTGAAAATAAACTTTCTTAAATTATTAGGAATCATAATTTGTTTCTGAAAGTTGTTCAACTCGCTCTCGGTTTAAGAAAATATCTCTCAAAGTATTAAATTTTAAAAGATTTTTATCAAGAAACTCCGCTGTGATATTTAGTAATGCGTTAACTTATTTGACGAAAATTATTTTAATCATGCCATCAGCAACGTTGTTACTTTTTATTCACACAATAGATTTCAACTTAATATTGAACAGTTGTTCTGAAAATTTTTAGTAGAAACTTCACTAGAAGTCATTTCCAAACACTCATTGATTCTACACGATTGATGAAAATATCATCGGTTAACTGTTGCGTTTATCTTTATACTTTGTTCGTCTTCAACAGTTCATCGAGCAACCAACAATTTGAACATTATGAAACCTGTAATTATGAATTTTAATGGTCGTTTATTCACTTTTCTTCTCTGCACACATTTCAACGTTTATGCTTCGCTTTCATAAATATTTTGGGGTCGCTCTGAAGAGCTGAAGAGATCGAGAAGATAGAGATATAGACATACATGTATATCAATTTCATAAGCGCATCGAATGTTTCAACAAATGTTCGACTTGTTTTTTTAAATCGATCAAAATTGCTTTCGTTAAACAGTAAAGAGATTGCCTAACTGATAACTCGTGTTGCGATTGACGGTTATGAAGAAGTGATCACAGTTGTTATTAGACGGAACTTATATGAGTGCGTGTGTATGAGAGAGCAGAACAAACAAAAATGATTTGAAGTATCCAATTTTCTGTCAATTATATCTCTTCGGATAGTCAGTCAATCAAGAAATTATCCTCCAGGAAAGAATTACAAGCGACATAAACTGAACATGAGAAAGAGACAATTATAAATTCACAGCGGGAATAATGTTTGGTTTCTTTACTTCTTGCTTTGCTTGTCTTGATCCCGAAAATTATTCAGATAATAGCATTAATTATGATAATTTTCTACACACATATGGAACGTCGTAGAGCTTCGGTAATCGGGGTAAATCGGAATCCAAAATGGTAAATTATTTTCCCCCTCCCTTTGACGACCCGCAACTTTTAATGACTGTAATTTCAACCTCAAGAAAAAACTACACGTCGATTATTTATAAAGTTTTATGAAAATTATTTTCTCAACAACAAGACAAAGAGAAACAAGATTTGAAATCGTCAGATCAGTTTCTTGGGAATCAATCATTAGAGGAAGTTATCGATGAATAAAAATGATAATTAGGTAGATTTGGAAAGGAAATGTTTTCTTGGTTTCATTTTACTTATTTTCGTGCGATGTTTTGTAAGAATTTGTTGCGTTCTATTTCACCTCACAGCATTTATTGGATGTTTTTATGCAAAATTAGAACTTTGTTAAAGATCTCACTTCAATTTTTTTAAACCAACTGACAAATTACCGTCAATAAAAATCATTCACTTTTATGATGATCATAAATATTTAATTTTTCTTTTTGATGTTTAAATTTAATTTTATATTAAACGTAGATAATCAATCTGAATTGTTTTAAAAAATCATTAACAAATGATAAATATTTCTTAAGAACTTTGAGGCATATTTTGTAGATGGTAAAATTGGAGAATTATGCAAATAAATATTTCTCGACTCTCCGATGCAGTCTAAAGCAGGAATTCAAATAAAAATGCGATTGGGAAGGTCTAAGAAAATATTTTTTATGCATAAGAACGTTTTGACGTTGCAGCAACACCCAATTCAACTCATGAAAAGGAAGTCATTCATTTATTTGTGTCTTGATTTTTAATTAAAACGATCAGAATTTCTTACTCTGCTCAAACCAATTTAGGTTTGCATATTTATAACAAAACATTGTTCCATCTTTAATTAATCTATTTAAATAATTTTCTTTTGTTATGTTGTAATAATTCAATTAAAATTGAATACGTAATCAGTTCTCTTAGTACTTAGTCATGCAAAACAATAAAAAAATTAAGATAAAGCAAGGAAGAAACAATTTGCCTTCTTAACATCGTCAAAAAGCATCATGTAAGGAGAAAAACAAATTTCACAACCTTTCGATTCAAATCGATATTCCACATAACTCTCTTCCGGGGTTTCAATCTGCTTCTCGTATCCCCCCATTGTCGGAATCAATATTTGAAGGAAAAGAGCAATGGAGAAGAAAGTTTTTCTTTCGTTCTTTAGCTTATGTGATCGGAATCTGAATGCTGCAAAGTCAAAACAAAAACCAGCAGATTTACCTAAATGGCAGTTCGGGGCTTATAAATCAATGTTCAATGCTTCTACCTTTAGCTTCTTGCAAATACTATAATCCTACTTCCCAACCTTCGATCTAATGTAATGAATATTCAAGTTTTTGACTTTTCCTACCTTCAAAAACTTTTCCCTCACATTCTGAACTGCTTATTGTGGATCCTTGACTTTGAACATGTTTTCAATGTTCCAGCATTCAAAAATAAAAGCAGATAAGTGAGAGTTTGCCAAGTAAATTTTTCATGTTGACTTCATTGAGACTGTTTAAATTATTCAGATGTTAGCTGACGAGTTTTAAGCTTCACTTTCTTCCAACTATTTAGTTAGATATTGTCCCAAATCACATTCATGGATACATATTTCAAAAACCTAATCTCAGCTTGAAATGTTGTTGTGTATAGTGAGGATGCTTCATTGAATCACTTAATGCGTGGGTGGTAGAAAACATTTTCGAGTGTAACCAAAATGGTGAAATAATTAAAATGTTAACACAAGGTTAAAAAGCGATTAGATGACTTAGTGTTAAGCCCTTTTAATTTTATTCTACAACTCAGATGCTTTAACCCCTTTTCATTATGTTTTTTCTAATTTTTCTTAAACCAAAGAAAAGTTTTTTTTATCATAGTGTTACGAGAGCTTTTAGGGTTGTAAGTAAATATCTGTATGTGTTTGAAAATTGTTAAATTATTCAAGAATCTTTCATAAGTATTCATAAGCATGAAAGTGAGTGTCGAGAAAAGTTCTTCTCTTGCTATTCGTCATCATATCATCATCATAAATCTAAATCTTCATCCTTCAAGAAGACTTACGAGCTGTGTATGTCGTTTTCCCTTTAGTCGTCTTCAGTTACACACATTCGCAGAATGAAAATCTGAAAATCTGGTCTCTTCCTTGTGCCACTCGCCCATAAAGTAAGTGTTTAGGTGCAAACTCGAAAAGAGCGTGAACCTTAAAGCCATACTAACGGAAAAGCGATATAAAATGAAATCGTAGCAATAAAGCACTTCTTTAAAGTGATGGTTGAAGCCCTTCAAACCAGTGGGAGGAAAAGTAAGAGAGACAGAAAAATATTTGTGTGAAACGTTCTTGTGGGGAGTCGTTAAAAGTGATGTCACACGAGAGACACACATGATCAACAAATCGGAAAAGTCCCAAATGTCATCAAAAAAAGAAATCGAGGTTTTTCATCATTGAAAATGAATCCCATTGTAAGTGATCGTTGTTCTGTGTATATGATTCACCTGCTTCATCCCTTCATATCGTTTCATTCTCGCAAGCAAAATTCCGTTAACGACTTTAGAATCGAGGAAAACCTCCGCTAGATGGCTACTGAGATGAAACTTGGGATACATAAAGTATAATATTTTCCTTATACCAGTGAAACCATAGAGAAAACTCTATTCACGATGGGACGGTTTTTGGTTCTATCTGAATATAGATTGGTATATTACGGGGGCTTGTTATTGTTGTTGTTTTTACTACTCTCCACATCTCTATAAAATTATTTTTCAGTTCTTTTTTTCGCTCACTCTCTCTTTACCCCGGTGAATGTTGAAAAAAATCTTCTTTTTCTTTTATTTTTCTTCTGAGCCAAAGCTGGAGAGTTGTTTTGTTGTAAATATATGAGGAGTTTTCATTTTGGTGTTGTTGGCAAAGGGAGCTGACAAAAAAATTATAATAAAGAAAAAAAAACGCTGATGCGAGAAGAAAAGTTGAGTTTTTTTTTTCATTTCATTCATTTGAATATTTTTTTTATACTCATTTTTTTAACAAGCTCATTTTTACTTCTGGTGTTTTACAACACACATATTTTGTAAATCGGGAGCTTTTCTCCCATTTTTAAGTGCCTTTGAAGGGTGAGAGATAACGATGATTCTCGTCCAACATTTGGAATATTCTTTTCTTGCTTTCGTAAACAGTTTTTATTTTATGGCATTCGTAAATTTCGTAGCAACATTGGTTGGAGGTTTTTCCGAACCTCATACAGATGCTAATAACTCCCCATTCTGGAAAAATCGAAATCATGGATTTTAGGCAACACTAACCGAAAAAGACAAGCTTTTTAATAATCATGTAAATGAAGTAATCAGAACAATCGCTGACCACGACTATCAAAGTTTTTAGATATTTACTGCACTTGATTACAAATTGATTTATTACTTTAGAGAAATTGCAAAATAAAATTGAAATTCTGACAAATTAATTCAAGAATTTCTAAATCAAGAATTGAAAATAAAATTTTCTATGTTAGTGAGCTTTAAATTGTTTAAAGTTTAGCTCTAATATGCTAATTCAAGTACACATAATATTTTGAAAGTTCCAAGTGATAACGTTAAGCATGATTTATGAGGAAGGTGTTTGTTTGCATTTTCCCTTCTACCTATGCCAACATCAAATGTTCAAGTGTTCTCTCAAGTGGAAATTTGCATGAGTTGTATGTGCTCGTAAAACATATTGCATGATAGACTCAAATAAACATGCATCATGGACAAAGGCAAATCAGAAGTGCATGAGAGTGAGAGATGTATGATTATGCGAGTGCCATAAAGTAAGCATGTTTCAAAGATAAGCGTGACTTTAAGCTATGTTATTGTCGAGAAAGATTTCATCAAAGTTTTCCATGTGTAGAAGATTTTAAAACTTTTAATTCTGAGTCACAAAACTCTTTAAAACTTTTATGAATGAACAATAATTTTGTGCTTTTCAGTTTATCTCCATTCTAATTTTTATGAATGAAAAAAATAGAGAGAGAAATGCTTTTAATATATAATTATAGATTGTTGCTTTATATGGCTGATATTAAAGTGGATTAAAACTTGCCTTAAAATGAATGCAGAAGTTAGGTGGAGATCGCGAGTCAGTGTGTGAAATGATGTTGTCTGGTGCAGCAGGAAACGTATATCCCAAGAAAAAAACTTTCAAGACAATGGAATCACCCACAAAAACGCCTCCATTTACTTCATCTTCTTTATCATCGCGAATATTGTTCATTTTCCAGTATGCAACCAGACTGCAGCTATAAAATTGCATAAATGGTGAGAATGTCGAAAAAAGAGAGGGAATAGCAGAAGAATACTCGTTTTTCACCGTACCCATCATCATTTAATTGCAGTAATGCTTGAACAATAATACTACATGGAAAAGCATAAATTAAATTAACGAAAAGGTTGATCACCACTGATTAATCTCTGCCTTTTGTTGTCTTCCTGAGATTTGCTACTCTTTTGTTTCAATGATGGATGCACATAAAACAAAACTTTGAAAAGCGAATTTAAACGGAGAAGTATCATTAAGGAGTTGGAAATATTTCATATCTGCTATTAATGAGTGTTTTGTACATTGTAGGTTCATAAGTTCGAGAAGATTTAAAGAGCTTTGTACTCGAATTTCTTTTATGTGAAGGTTTTTCAACTAATCCATGCATATGGAAAGCTTACGAGGTCTTTCTAATTGTTATTGACTTGAACTGTATTAAATGTGAGAAAATTCGTTTTGTAACCTCAACCAAACCTTTAATATAATCGATAGAAATGTTTTATGATAACAACATATCGACATATTTCAACATAAAGCAAAGAGAAAGAGAAATGAAACAACAGAAAATATATTATTTACGTTCTTACCGATGCAAGCATTGAAATCGCTAGAACCAATCCAATTTTCAATGCTTTTGAGTCGATACTTTATGTTTTGTCTTCTTTTCTGTTATTTAGTTTTTCTTATAAATATTCATTCCATGACTTGGCGAGAGGGAACAAAATCGAAGAAGTAAAGGCCAACACTTGCACCGTATCATCATCATGCAACCGAATAAACACATGAACCGTATCATTTCAACGGATAAAAGAAATTTTCTACGCTTTAATCTAACATTTTCCACCCTTCAATCGATGGAAATTCCTTACTAGGTTTATTTTCTGAGGAATGCATGCAATCTCCGATTTTTCATTATAAAAGCTTAAGGAAAGAGAAAATTCCAGGAATTTCAGATTTTTACGATTTCTAACAACCAAATGTAGGGTGGAACCGAATGGCAGAATGATGAAGTATCAGAAATATGTGTAATGAAGTCAATGACTATAAAGCTGAAGTGTTGACATTGACATCGATAAATTAATGTCACGTTAGAATTTTTTTTGATGTATTAATGTTAAATGCAAATTACCTATAATGTAAACAAAAAGTAACAATTCTTAATTGATTTTAAGTTTGAGAAATATTATTTCTTGTGAATCCTACGCAAAATTTTTAAACCAAATAATTCGCATCATATGTGCATGAATTCATTTTTATTTAAAAAGTGAACATTTTACTCTCGACTTATTCTATTTTTTCAAACTATTCAACGAATCCCTTCGAGATGTTGAATCCGTGCAAAGAACAACAAACCGAACTGCTTTTAGGAGAAGATCCTCGTTTAAATCCCTCATGCATTCTCACCTTTCTATATCAATTACAATTGCTCTCATGCAGCATAACATTGTTATTTTAGCTGCTTCAATTGGCTTTTTTTCTAGCATTATTCTAAAGGTGGCAAAAAAGTACTTTTTTCAATTTCTCTTTCTCTAACAATGATTTCCTTGCTTTTACAACGAGTTTTTGTATTCAAGCTTTGATTCTTTTTTTATCATAACATGAAATGGGTGCTGAATTTTAATCCTTACACAAAAATCAAACCTCAATAAAAATCCAATTGTTCTGAGTCAAAATATTTTTATGGGGTTAAATAAAATCTCCAGTGTAGTCATCATGTTGTGTCTGAATCAACGGGATTTAAAACTACTTTCTTAGGAAATACATAAATGATTCAAATAAAGCACACATGCGGAAAGTTTTATTCAATAAATAGAACAAAGAAATGATGACAACAAGCAACGTAACATATTAATGTATGATCTCTTGCGTGCATCTATAAACATAAAATTAGTTTCAATGTTTCCGAGAAAATTATCCTTTTTCATTGTTATTAAATAACAAATTACTAAAACATTAATTATAACAACATAAATATTTTCTACAATATTTAATACAGATTAATTTTTAACTGTTATAAGGGGTAGGAAATTTTAAAATACTACGGAAATATTTCACATGGATTACGCTGATTCCTCCGTTGACAGTCAGTCATAGAAATTTTGTTATCTGTGCATTTGGCGACCAGTCCAACTCCTGAGAATTTTTCAATAAAAATCAACACGAAAATTCCGAAAATCGGCAAGTTCTTCTGTTTGTTTTCAAATTTCCTTCTTAATTATTCTTTAAATATTCTGAGTAGAATATTTCATCTAACAGAATGTATATAATATTACTTAAATTGACACGAAACAATTTGTTTTGAATGTTACCTAACTTTATCCAATCAAAACATTTGCTTAATTTTTTCACACTTAATAGAACCAAATCATGGCTGGAGTCTTTCGATTCGGTGTGGTCGGAATTATCAATAGGACATCATCCAAGCCACTGGCTAAGGCTACCATCCCTTGTATCATCCAGTCTTGTAATATTTCGGGAAAAATTATACGAGCAACACAAAATATCGTGAAACCCAAACCCTATCCATACAAAACAAAACCTTATGGATTATCTCAAGCTCTTTTTGATAGAACAATGAAAAGATTAGATGAGAATTCAAAGGTGAGCTTTGTTTTTAATTGCTCAAGGATTTTATTTCATTTTAAATATCTAATTTAGATGATTGTCGTCGAGGGTCCGATTGCTGCAGGTAAAAGTGCATTTGCTAAAGAACTTGCAGACGATCTCGATATGCTCTACCTTCCTCAACCAACAATGGATACGATTTATATCAACGAGTATGGTTACGACTTGCGTCAACTCGATCCTCAATTACCTGAAAGTTGTAAAAGTTACGACGTTAAAAATTTCTGTCTAGACCCAAACGGCTTGAATGCTGCTAACTTTCAAATTCGTATGCTGATAATTCGTTACATGAATTATGTTGATGGCTTAGCACATATTCTGTCAACTGGTCAAGGTGTTGTGACCAACCGTTGCCCATTTTCTGACTTCATTTTCGTCGAAGCAATGCATAAACATGGATACATGTCAAAAGGCGCTCGTTCTGTTTATTACGATCTTTGTGCTAACACTATGACGGAAATTCTGAAGCCTCATTTGATCGTCTATCTTGATGTGCCTGTTTCGAAAGTCAAAGAAAACATCAAGAAACGTGGCGTTGACTATGAAGTTAAATCGAAAGTTTTTACTGATGCTTATCTTAATGATCTTGAATCGTTTTATAAGCAACGATATCTGAAAGAAATCACACAACACTCAGAGTTACTTGTCTACGATTGGTCGAATGGCGGTGAGACAGAAGTTGTCGTTGAAGATATTGAACGTATTGACTTTGATCGTTATGATCAACACGATCCAAAATTAAAGGATTGGCGTTTAGGAAATGATTGGGAATGGTGCGAAATGAGAATGCGTTTCACAAATGAAAAAGGTGAGTTGATGAATTTCTTCAACGTTCCACGTTTCGATGTTCCTGAGCTCACAATTGAAGCAGAAGATTCAAAAATCTACGAAGAAATTTGGGACAACGCACCAGGCAACAGATATTTGAAAGGATATAATAAAGAAATGGGAGACACTGGAATTCTTTTCAAGAATAAAACTCCCACTTACTCTTAATTTAATACATTTAGAAGACAAACAAATGGTTATGTTCGTTCCCTTCTCCCATCAGAAGAATGAATAAAAAAAATTAACAAAAAAGTTTATTGTAAATTAGACGACAAATTCATTGTTTCTGTTTTTAAAAAGTTCCTCGTTCTCTTTCAGCTTTTCTTTGGAAGTATCGTTGAAGAGCTTCATCAAAAACTTCACCAACAGTTCGCTTTTTCCAAATATCAATTTTTTGTTTAGGTTCTGCTAATTCTTGTTCTGCTTCGTCTTCTTTTTTTAATTCTGGTTCATTTTCTTCATTTTTCATATCTGCAGATACTTTTTCTTCTTTTAATGTAGCTGGTTCTTGTTTCTGAATTTTATTTGTTTCTTTTTTGTCATTTTCATCTTCACTCGAACTTGAATCTATACTGAAGTCGCTGTCAGCATCAAGATTACACGATAAATGAGCTTTTTTATCATTTGCATTTTGAGCTGTTTCAGAAACTTCATCTTTGTCACTTTCATCATCATTTAAATCAGCAGAAGATTTTCTCTTTCGATAATTTTTCTTTTTACCAGATTCAGCAGAGACAGGATCAGCTGCAATCTTCGATTTTGATTTATTTGCATCTTCTGGGGCCATTTTTTGTTCATAAATATGACGATAAAATCCTGACAAATCTTGTTGTTTAGTGACATCGCCAATATTTTCAAGGTAAGCTTCACGTTCCTCAGCTTTTTCGGCTTCTTTCATCTCTTCAAGTTTCTTTCGATACGAACTTGTTACAAATGATTCTTTGTCTTTGTACATGTTTCCTTCAGCTTCTCTTTCTTTCTGAACTTGTCTTTCAATTCTTCTTTCATGTTCCTTCTTACGTTTATCAGCTGTTTCAAGTAATTTTGCAATATATTTGGGTGTTTTTGCATCAGAAGTCTTTTTTGCAAGTTTCTCTTCTTTTCTTTTCTGCTCCATTTCATCATAAACTTCATCGTATTGAAAAATATTGGGATCCTCAGCAAGAGCTTCTTGTTGAAGTTTTATCGCTTGCTTTTTGAGAACAGCACTAGAATCAATTGTACGTGGCTTCTTAACAGGTGCATCTTCATCGCTAGAAGAATCTCCAAAGATGTTTTTTACTTTCGTTGTTTCCTTTTTCGATTTGTCAGGTTTGATGAGCTGAAAATATGCAAAATTCATTAAAATTACAATTTAACTGATTTCAACAATCTGTCGACTTACTCCATATTGCTTAGACATTTTAAAAAAGATTTTTAATAATATATTTTGATGAGATTTTGAAAAAACAAGTTTTTTTTATCTTGTATTAAAGTAAACAAAGTGGTGAGAATTTTAAAGTAAATCAAAGTGGTGAACATGACATTTAAATTTCAAATGACGGTTAAAACTTGTAAGCTCCATTATAAATAATGGCATGTGGAGTGAATTTAAATGTTTACTTTTCTTTTAAATAAATATTAATTATAATCCTGACACGTGCGTAATCTCAGAATTGTTTTTCACAAATACTTCACTGATGAATTAAATGAGATTACAAAAATACCGAAATTATCAGAAGAGAGTGACATCAAATATATTTTATTTTTGCGTTAAATCTTCTTTTTTTCATTATATATCATACTCACGCGCTCCTTTTCATAGGCATTGTAATGAGCCTTCTTAATTCACGCTGTTTGAGAAAATGACAGCCAATCTTTTCTCGTAAATTTTAAAATTTGCCATAAGAAATCTTGACAGAAATAAACATCTTGACCGCGCTTGTCTTCAGTAATTTAAGACGGCATTAAACTTCGTTCCAAACTGATCCTAAAATATTCAATTTCACCCTGAATTTCCCACAATCTTAAGTCATCATGTGGAATTTTTCTAAAGCTGTAAATCTTCAGCCCCGGGAAATATTTTTCCTTATCCCATTTACTGTCTCTTTGCTTTACATTCTTTCTAATACGGTTTTAGAAGCTTACGTGATTATAGCGTGTTTCATATGGAAAGAAAGGGAGAGAGTCTCAAGATTCTACCCAAAGACCTATCTCGACTCTAAAAAATGACCAAAATTCAGCACAAACAATCACTCTTGGCCTTTTACTGAGTACCATTTGGGGGAAAGAATCTCAAAGAGGCGGAAAAAATAAGAAATTGGAAATTTTTTGTCAATTTATTTGAGATTTTAGTTTATGATGTCTTCTTCCTCTTCTTTCATCTCTGAAATTTCGGGTGTGCAAACAACTTGAGTTTGTTATGTGATCAAGATCTGCGGTTGATTAAATTAAAAGGAAGAAAGCTTTAGGGAATACATCGATGAAAAAAGCCAGTAACAATTTCATAAAGACGAAAGTCACAAAAATGTCTCAATGCTTCAAGGAACTCATAAAATTCTTCATATGGCCGCTGTGGTACTTTTCAGCAGACAAAATGAGATTCTACTGGTCTAACATTAGCTAATTATAAAAGTGAAAGAAGCTGCCTTGTAAGTAAATTTCTTTTAATCATTTGAGTGGTGCTGCAAGAATGTTAGATAATTTTTTGTCTTTAAACATGAACAATTTCTTTTTATTAGCTCGTAAATAAATATCTGCTGCTACTCTTGTGGACACAAATATCTTGGAAATGTTGTAAAAATTTTGTTTTTAAATTTGTGAGTTCTCAAGTTCATGTTTCTTACGTTGCTAAATAATAATTTGAAGTAAGAGTTTCTTATTGATTTTAGTGAAGTTTGCCATATTTCATACTATATTAAGTCACAAGGAATCACCCAAAAGTGTGAACATATTTTAAAGTTGTGTAAAATAACAAATGAAGTCAAGCGAAAAGCTGTTTGTTTCCATCAACGCCTTCTGATCATAAATTGTGTAATGCAATTTCTGTCTCTAAGCGGAAAAAGAATTGAAAAGTGAACGAGGAAAAAATGCACAAAAGTAAAATATTCAGCATTGTGTTATGAAGCTCGTTATCGAGTTGTACAAAACCCTTACTTTCTCGTTTACTGCTATCAATATGCTCACTTTTTATGTCGTTTCATGGTGTCATAACATGGGTTGTGTATGCTGGCACCGTTTGAATTCTCACAATCGAAGGTGAATTATAAAACACCTTCTACAATAATCGTCTTTCATTGACATATTTCTTTTCTCCTTTTCTTCTTTTTTTCATCATAGATATCGAAATTCGAAGCGATGAATAATAAAATAAAAATACGAGTTTTATAAATATATTCAGATATTATTTTCCTTTGAATCTGATTTGACCATTTGAATAAATATTATCACAAACCTGGCAGTTTTCTCGGTTTTATTTTTCTTCTTATATTCATCGCAAACACCTTTATCCAGTTTCCTGTTTCTTTGTGAAATTGAGTAGAGAGCTTTATGAAAAGGATTTTTTCTTTCGATCCCTTTTTTTAACGGTTCAGTTTACAGGATGGATCAGATATGATTGAATTTACATCTAAGAGCATAGTCGTGAATTTAGGGATGAGCATATAACAGCTTAAATCAGATAGACATAGAGGGAGTATTTTTCCTTTCGTTTCAATAGAAAATGACAGCAGGAAATGACAACCTGTGGAGAAGATAAACTTTGGCTTCGATGGAAAATGACTTGTGACATTTCGTTATTCAAAACTTTAGTTGAAATTTTATTATATCACAAACTTTTGTAATTCGTCCACAAGTTCTTTTCTGTTTTTCGACTATCTAGCTTGTTGAAAGATTTAATTCTATGAGAGATAAAAACTTGAATGGTTTTGTAGATAATTCACATTTATGCAAATGAGAGAAGTTCTAGTCAACCTGCTTTTAAGATATAAAAGATTTGATAGAAGCAATCAATAATTTCAAATTCAAATGCAATCTTGACTTGTTGACTCGGTAGTTAAGGAAAGTTAAAATTATTTTCTTGAAAAATTTTTGTCATTGCTTGATGTGCAAGATGGAGGGAAATTGAAAATTCAAATATCCGCCCTAGAATTATTGTTATCATAAGGAAATGGTATAATTGAACTTCCGAGAAGTTAATATAGTTTCATGCTGTTACTGTTTGCTGCTGGTGGGTATGCAATATAAGAAGCACATGGAAGTCTTCTTGATATGATAAATTGTGAAAGAATGCGAGACGAAGAATAAGAAAGTGTTTTATTACTGTTGCCGCACCAAAGGAAAGCAACCCGAGGAAAAGAGAGAAAATAAATGGTAGTATCATCAGAAAAATATTGCAATAAATCATCATCTACATCATAATCACGCTAAAGCTGTGATGAAATAATTCATAAAGCATGCTGCTGTTTCATCGACATAGTTTTTTCACTCTCATCCAACCTCTCCTCACACGCCAGCTTTACTCATAAAGAACGTTCAAATATTGAACAACAATTTCATTACGAGAGTTTATTTTCCACAGTTGAAGCAAGTAAAATTGAATTAAAATAAAAATTAAACAAAGTTATGTGGAACAGAAACTCAATGAATATGAAATATTCTCAAGACAGACAGCAGCATTTTAATTATAATTCAGGATGTTGCGGCAATGATAGCTTGCACATGATTCTCAAACATTAAATATTCGCTTTTCATATTTAAATAAAATCTCATGGCTTACTCCTCACACATAATATTTGAAATAAAAAGTTTAATTACTGATGGTTAAAATATTAATATTTCAAACTTAATGCATCCAATTTCAAGCTTTAGAAATTTAATTTATTAAAACTAGAGATTTTTAATAACGTTTTTCATCTGCTCAGATCGTTTTCATTGTTTCATTCCAAACTGAAAAAATTCTTTTTCCACGCTCATCAAGCATTTACTTTCAGGTTTCAATTAAAACTTTGTATGTTTTTTTAGCTTTAATCTGATTCTTCTCACGCCAAACACAAGTAAAAGTTAGATTGGATGAGTTTTTTCTTCACTTTGAATTAACACAATGAAATGGCCATTCATGTTGAATTTAAATTGTTAAGCTTTGATTTCAATGCTATCATTCGTATGAATTAGAAAAACGACTTTTCAGAATCATTTCATTTAAATGCTGCAACAATTTGAAGATAAACGCATTGCGAGTATATCGGAGTCCAACATTTGAATTTTTACTCTCACTACAAATGAAAAATGTTGAAATTCACAACCATGAATAAAACGTTGACGCTTTTCATTTTCACATGTACAGGGGTTTGATATAACAAACAAAACTTCTCCACTTAAGTACATATTCACAAATGCAATTTCAACTTGGCTGATGTTAGGTTCTTGTAACCTTCGATTGACGGGAAACCGCAAACATACTTTCTGGCTTTTCACATTGAGCGAAACGAGAAAATCCCTTTAATGAAATTTTTAATATTTGCTCAGTTCAACCTTCTTGTTCTCCATGTTGGCAACAATTTATTTCAAGGGGTAATTCATCATAATGCCATATCCATTCCAATGCTACATTCAAACTATTTTATTACAAAATCCTGACATTCTAAAATGACTTTCAGTGCTTTTTCCATCACATTCTTAATCATGAAAAACCCCTCACATCATGGTTTCAGTAAATGTTGATTCTACGTTTACCGAAAAATGTAAAAGAAAAGAAAATCTTTAGAAATTGACATACATGAAATGTTGAACAATTACTATTTGCTCTGTAAATGTTTCTCCACTTCAAATAAAATATTTTCATAACGTGTTCACATAGAAACGCTTTCGTATGAATTACCTTCCAACATTTAGCATATTAATGAAATGATTGAAATAACTTTACGTTGAAGTCAATTATTTATAAAAGTCACGAATGTTGTTAGTTAATAATTGTAGGAAATTGTAACATGAAGTTTATGATAAATCATCACGATTTTCTGATATGTTTCTAACGACTGAGTTGTCATGTCAAAGAGAACTCCTAAATTAACACACCTTCAATGATATTCGTAAAACAATTAAATTGATTTGAAATCTTATGTCTGAATGAGACATTAACTGTACAAATAAACAAAATAACTTTATTTAGCTTTCTGTAAATGTCTGACATAATAAATTGATCTACTTTTTTTACATGTCATCGATTTGTGGATATGACAAATTGTTTTCAACTTTCAACGACAGTTTTTTGACAGTAAAAGACAAAATTTATGGGCTTTTGAAATAAAAAAAATAGGAAGAACATAAAAAGGCCACCCAAATGATAGAAAAAAATATTTCGTGCTTCTTTTTATCCATAAATATTATGAAGGAAAACAAAAATCGCGTCTGACACGTTTGGATGAATGTGCTAACACTCATGAAAGTTTTTAATTTGATCCATCTAGCATCGAATATTTATGAGCTAAAAAGAAGCTTTCGGTCCTAACGTGATAAAATATTACATTCTTAGGTTAATTCGTGCTGACGTGAAATTATCATTGTGGAGCTTTTTTATGCATGAATTTATATTCGAGTCATGTCCAAAAAAATTGTTTGAATATTTTTCTCTGTTCTCAAAGATGTGATGCTATGGTGCAAAAGTAAATCCAATTTGAATGTGTCAACGAAGCTTGTGGGATGTCAGTTATGAATTTAATTCAGTTTAACTGAAGTGGTAAATCACTTGGAAGACAGACATTTTCGATTTTATCTTTGAAAACATTCAGACGTTCTCAAAATTCCTTCATTTCAATGTTAAAGTTGTCATTTATTAAAAATATGAAAAGAAAAAAAAGAAAATAAATTGAGATTTTTATCAAAACGTGATCAATGTTATTCTTCTAAGCCATCGGCATCAACAGAGTTTGAAAAGAAATCAAAAGGTTATTACGAAGCCTTCAAACGTTGATTTCCTAAGGTGGGATGAAATCTTTCTGACATAAAGTTGATGATAAACGCACCGATCATAAAATTCTTCAATCCAATTTAAAATTTTGAACTTGTTTTCCTCTCCCTACAGTTTATTCATGACACGGCGAAATCTCATGTGGGCGATTTTGACGATATTGAAAAAAGCTGTGACGAGACAAAGAGATTGGAAGATTGTAATCTGTTCAGGATGTTCAACAAGGAGCAATATGAGATGTGATGCCTCTGCGTTACTTGTGATCTGATATTCCACTTGAGGTTGACAAAGTTTGTCATTTAGAATATTAAATCTTCAAATAAACATCGGAGAAAGTTGAAATTGCCGAAAGCTTCTTAAATTTCACCACAAATTGTCCATCAAAGCAAGATGAAACAGGGAGAAGAAAAATGTTTTGGAAATAATTTATTTTTAGCGTTCTCCCGAGGACATTTTTGACTGCGCTTGAAAATAAAAAGTAAAAGTTTCGCGAAAGAGAAAAAGAAACATTCTTCATTGAAAGCACACGAGCGTTAAACATGTCTCTACAGCTCACAAATATTTTCTTTCTTTCTTTTTCTTTCCTTTTCTCTTCTTTACATTAGACTCATTCCGTTTTAAGACATTATGAAGAAATCTGATGAGTAAAAGTTTCCTTACTCACGTAGCGATGATTTGTTGAAACAAAACGGCGCAGTTGTTCATAACTGACGCAAGTTCACGCTTCGACTTTATCCACGAAATAATCAGGAAGTCGTTTGCACGGATCAAAATGAAAACATTAAGAAAGTAAAAATCTCTTTGCAGATCCTTAAAGGGCAAAGTTAACAAATTTCTTTAAAATGTGATGTTATCAAATTTGTTCCGCTCTCATCGACTCTATGAGAATGAAACAAAGAATAAGAAGGAAAGAAGACAAATAACAAAGAAATGTCAAGCATTTGTTTAAGTGTAAAAGTAAACTTTTGTTTTAATAAATTTATTCAAAATTGTTTCAACATGAAATTTAAATAAATTTGGAAATTGTTTAACGATTCTAATCGAACGAACATGTTTGCAATGCAACAAATACTTTGGATTGATTGGTTGATTGATTGATTGATTCCCATGAAACTTATTTATGTGTCTAGCTTGACATTCTTCTTCCAACATTTTGTTCATTTCAAACTGAATTGTACTCTAGGGTAAAATGAGATCTCTAATCTCTTCGTGATCCGTTTGTGCGACATTTAATGCATCATAATTTTACCGTGTGCGTGTGCGACGTGATGATTGTGATTGTTTTTGGTAAAACGTGAAAATATCAGCAATTCGATTTATTCATATGTGCTCAAGGATTGCTGACAGGAGTGTTTTCATATGTGTTGTGCTGCTAACACTTCGGACCATTTAATTAGTCAGGAAAGCATTATCCGGCACACTCCATTGGAGCAAATTAATTTTCATCAGCTGATAAAAACGAAACGTTGATCAATTTGTTGATGGCAACAGACTTTTTTTAATCCACACCATGTTCACCTCGACCCTTTTTTCATTTACTGTGGAACGGATAAGAAAGAAAGCCAACCTGAAAAAAGCTTTCGTGGCTGATTGGAATCATGTGCGAAGGTGTAAATTAAATTTCTGTTCCCAACTCTTCTGTGAGGTGACCTTTTTATTCAACAACGTAATGGCATTAAATATTTCATCCTTTCCTTTACCTCGACCAGTTTTCAACATATTTTCTGCTCATAAACATCATTTTTAATTCAAAAATATGAAATTTATTCGACGATATTTCTCATCATCCTTCCTGGAAAGCGTCTTGAAATCTTTTTGAAGACAATTACGAGAAAAAATTTCTTCTAATGATTCCACTTGATTCACTTCAATGAAACTATTCATGAAAAATTAATAAATGTTTGTCCCTTTTAGTGTTCGATGAACTTAATGAAAGTTAATAATGAACGAAAAAGAATAAAACAGCAGACGTTCAAGTGTTTTCAGAGTTTTTCGTCTTCTCATTTCACATTGTCATGGTTTCATTCTTATTCAGATGCTACAATTTTGATCAAATAACGCTGATGATTGATGATTGCGAACACTGAAAAACAACTTGATGTGAACTGTTTTTATGTTCGTTTCTCAGATAAAATTTAGGCACTTCCTTCCTTATGACTTTCCAAAGCAAAAAGTTATTGCCATCGAATCCTTATGAAGTACTTCCTAAGATGTCAAGATTTTGTAAACATCTGAATTACATAAAACAATGTTTGTTGGTTGTCAAGCAGATAAGTAATTGGTAGAAGTCTCAAAAATGGTTGAATAATTGTAGTCGGGAAAGTTCACATGACATATGTTACGTTATAAACGGCAAAGAAAAATGTTTTCCTTTTTAATATTCTGATATCTATCTCCTTAGTAACATTGGTTATTGAATTTCGATTCATTGTTAACAACGATAGAAAGCTACATTGAATCTATTTCAAGTAAAGCTTCACCCCCAATACACTTTTTTTTCAATATCGCTCAAATTCATAAATTTTTTAACAAAATATATTCGAAATACACGAGAGTTATAAAAAATTTATGTTATTTCTCGCTCATCACATCAAACATATTACGAGTGGATCAGGAGGGAAAAAAATAAACTCGTTTTCACCTCGTTTCAATGCTACAACACTTGCGATAAAATTTGCTGACAGAATTTATTAACTTTAGCAAACATGTTGATAACCTTGAAGAAACGTTTTGAAATATAATCAATAAAGCATCGAAAGCTTGTCAACATTTTTTCCTTCCTTAGATTAATTATCATTTGTTATTTTAATTTTATTCAAATTTATGTCTTGAATATCTCTTGAGATATTAAAATCAACATCTGAGGAAATTCCTTAAAGCAAATAAGTTTACAATTCCAAACTTTAGCTTTGGAAAGTTTCTTACACAGATTTAATCAAATTATAAAGTCATGAAACGCAATAATTCTTATTCGTAAGTTTCACAAACAATTAAAATTTTAATCACACAATAGAAAGTCTGTAGAAAATTTGTTCATTCTTAAGCTTAATTTCTAATACCTATGGAAAGATTTTCCTTTTGTAATATTTACACAAAAACATTTCCCGATAATCTCAGTTTTATCTCTTCTCAGAAAGTTTAGGATTGGAAAATGATTTGACATTGAGAATTTTCAAAGAAGACCATCATTTGAAATTGTTAAACATTTCCATTCAAGTTATCGAAAGGAATTAATTTCTGAATGAGAGTCATCTTTATAAATTGATTACGTAATCTTAATTGATATTATTATCATTGTTACTTTCTAATTTGTCAGAAGCTGATAAACTTCTTTCTTTGTCAATGAACGCTCCATGGTGATTACAGATTCTCGACCACCATGCCAACGCTACGTGATCTCCGCTCTTCAGCAATCAACCAGCAGAAAATTTCACCCTTCCAAAGTTCATCCAATTGAACGAATTCTTTACAAATTCCAAAATTAAATTTCCAAATATAGGTAAGTATCTACCGTGAAAGGTTTCCGAAAGCTTTTCAATTTTTTGAACGAAAGCATCTTGAAGCTCTAATAAAGAAATGATATTTTACCTGTAGAAAATTAATTCCACCGCCATGGTGATTATAGAATTCTATTTCTCCATTTCTTCATTTTTTTCGTTCTAACCGAGTTAATTAAATACATTGAATTGATGAGGAAATCAAAACGGAAGTCTATAAAATGGTAAAGATTGCAAATTAAACTTGTCAATTGACGTCATTCAAGTTATTGTTAGACGATTCTATCCAATTAAAAAATTCATAAGAAAGAGAGAGAAAAGCTAAGAAGCTTTTTATTCGATGCTAATTGCCTGCAAATGAAAGCTTTCGTCAATTCAATTGACAGGTGATTATAATTTCCATTTCATTCCTTTGACATTTCAATATCTTTAGACCGAAAAATCTCGAAATCATCATTCTCGTCAATGCAATGCTAAATTGAATTTCCATTACGGCTTTTTGTGGCGTCGTAATACATAATTTCGATGTCTAATTTATTGGATGATCTTTATAAAATGAATTGAATTGAAAATAATTTGATAATGAAAGACAAGTAAATTGGATTTACAAACATTTCAAAGTCAAACGAAAATGACAAAATTTATAACTTTTCGTGAGTAATAAAATTGTTGCATCGTTCTGCTTCAAACAAGTGAGCAGCATAACGAATTGAATTTATTTTACTCAATTTAAATTGTAAATTTTAAATCGGTAAAAGTCCTTTGACTTTTTTTTCTCACCAATTCAACTTTTTTTCATTCGAGTTTTTTTACAACACGAAAATAGTTTAATTTATTTTGGTCTCTTATTATTCAAATCCCATGTTTCCTCGCGAATAGAATGAAAAAGAAAACTTTTTCTCTTTATTTCTTTTGTGTTGTTAGAAAGCACAGATTTAACTTTTCATTCGCGAATTGTTGAAATGGAAGCGATAAATTGAATGATATGAAACTGCAGAGAAATTATAGTAGTTGCAGAAGAATTATCTGATTGCACGAGTGTTTAAGAAACATTCTTTGAATACTCACATTAAAAGCTTGAAGTGAATTCTTTCTGAGTCACAATGTAACGAGTTGTTGTTGAGATGCTTAATCTAAAACAGTGCGGTAGTCTTCAATCATCATGACAGAGAAAAAAACTTCATTGTTGTCATCTATTATTAGTGAAATCATTCGTGACAACCAGAATCTAGCATGAGCTGTTGAGTTTACAATCTTGTGTAGTTAGCAACGAAAATTAAATTAGGAAACTCTGTTGTCTGTTGTTTGTTCCCTTTCTTTTTAAACATCATTAAAAGTTGGAAGAAAAATGTTTTTAAATTTAAACTTGAGTGTATGATAAATGTTTAAAATGTAGCAAACTCATGACAGATTTTTATCTTTCTATGAAAAACATAGAACAAAATATTAAATGCTATTTTATTAATAAACCATTCATTAATTACAGATGAGGTTAGGTTGTGTTCGAAATGATTTATTAATATCGAATTTAAATTTATTTAAAGATTAAAGGAGGATTTTTCATAAAGGCAGTGAAACAAAAGCTTGCAAGTTGGGATGGAAAACTTTATAAAAATTCGTCAATAGTAATAAGTTTGATGATTGATAAAACATCTTTCAATATGTTTTCAATTCGATGGTTGTTTCAATATGTTGATGGAATGATAAGAATCAAAAAGCTGAATGGAGTTGAAGAAATTTATAATCAAGTTGAGCTACTTTGCACTCCTGAAGTTCCTTATAATGAATGCTTCAAAGAAACTCTTAATTGCAGAAAAGAAAATTCAAATTTTCAAATTGCAAATATCATCAAACAGCAAACAGTTGAAGAAAAATCAACAGAATTGTTATTTAGTGAATTCCTCAAGGGCCGAAAGAAAATCTTTTTGAATACAGCAAGAAGTAAAACTTCCAAGATTCACAGTCGCAAACCGAAATCGAAGAATTATTTCTAGTCTTAAATCATCCAAATAGTCACATTTTACTTTCATACTTTCATAGATGCAACTAGAAAAATCTTTTCCATTATTAATTTCCATACAAGACTGAATTAAATTTATTTGAATAAATTTTCAACATGAATCGTTGAGTAAGAGCAAATACGATTTAATATCGTCAAAAGAATAAAAGTCATCAAATATGTTTGTTAGATTCGGAAAAATAGCATTGAATGACATCAAAGAGAGTGAAATGACTAACGCTTTTACAGAAATGTGTTCGCTTTCAGGGTTTTCAACTGTTAAATCTCTTCTGAAGCAACATAAAAAATTTCTTTCTCTTCATTTCATCTACTCGGATTGAATCTTTCCTTTCAGATCATATGCAAAAATTTTCATATTTTCCAAATACATTTTTCCGTGATTTCTTCTTATTATGTGACTTTCAGACTGTTATCAACAAATATTCATCAAACGAACTGTTTGATGTTCTGAGAGTGATTTTTTTCATCAAATTTTGTTTATGATATGAAATTTCATGGGTAAGCAATACATCTAGATGAAAAGAATGCAAAAATATGACAAAAAAAAAGCGTTTTGTATGATTGTTTCACAATTTTAATCTGCAAAGTGCTAGAGTATAAATTTCAAGCTCATGATCTAAAATTAGACGGAAAATGACAAGAATTGTTCAAGATAAGTGAGTCATGACATTTCTTTTAGATTTAATACTTGAAGTTTTACAAAAAGCTTTTCACTTTTTTGATCTTAAACTTTTCGAGAAGTTTCACTATCTAAACTTTTAAAACTTCTACGATTCTCAAGAGTTTGCGGCAGTCAGCAATATTTTTTGTACCAAGCATAAATCTAATAAGAAAGCGTGAAATCTGCTCATCCGTTAAGTAATTCATTCAACTTCTTTCGATGATGTGAAAGGAAAAACGTTCTGTTTGCAGAAAGATAAGAAGTAAAATTAAATTCGAGTTCAACGGATCACTTCTTACTGCTGCAGCAAGAAACTTTTTTCTCTTTTCTCATGAATGAAAAGATTGAAGAAATGCATTTTATCTTGAAGTTTATGACAAAAAAAACGATCTCTGCGCGTAACAATCACTTCACCAAGTCCTTTCATTTACATAAAGACCCAGAAGAATTTTTCAAGCATTTCTACTTCAGCAAACTGTTGGATTGTAAAAAAAGCTTTTTGAAGTGATGACTTGATGGAAAAGTTTTGTGTTTAATTATCTTGTCATAAAGAATTGAACAACTGCAAATGCCGCAAGCAGATTTTTTTTTTGTAATGTCTGCATAATTTTTTGTTTTCTGCTTTCAAAAGATTAATATGTTGATGCAAGACAATAAGACGATGATTATCATCCTTAAAAGTGAAGTAACTTAGTCTCTGATGATTTACAACTTGCTGCATTCTCTTTTGTATCGAATTCAGTTTATTTCCAGAAATCTTTACAAAACTTATTCCAACATGAAAAAACTATTATTGCATCCTCCAGCAGCTTCTCAATTTTTATTGAGAAATAAAACAACGTCATGCATCGAGTAATTTAACGAAAAATAAAAGTTTTATTCTGGATCGATGAGAACACAACAATTGCATAAATAAATGACTGCGAACTGCCAACATTTGCTGCGATGCTCAATCAATAACAAATTCAATCAATGAGAAACTTTCAATGGTCTTTAAACTCTCGTTTTTCTCTTCAGTTTTTATCTACTTTGTAGGAATAATCAGCAAGGCTTTTGATATCATACTCAAGGAGTAACTGAAGTAGTGATAAGATAAGAAATTGTAGAGTTTATGGAGAAGAAAAATAATAGCCTGGAACCAAAGCTCCAAAGGTATTTGCAGAAAGCTTTCTTATCTAATCAGAGCGGTGGAGTGCTTCAAGCTCATCCAACATAACAAACAGCAATTGTATTTTCCCTCGAAACATACAGAAACATATTTCCACATAAATTTTCAATCTTAAGTGCCATAAAAGTGAAGCGTAAATGATTGTTGTTTCTGTTTAACAGAGCATGGAAAATTGAAAATGCTGAAGTATAAAAAGAAAAAATAAAAAAGGAGAAAAATAATTAATTAAGAGAAAAGATTAAATAAGAAAACAGAACAAAAATTAATATAGAACTTCCCATTCTTCTTCTTTCCTTTTACACGAAGCAAAAAAATATCAAACTTGTATACATCTAAGTATTGTTTGAAAACCCAAATTTGCTTTTCTTGTGAAGAAAACTTTTTTCGTCGCTTATCTTTTTCATTTTTCATTAAAGTAGAAGAAAGTTTTGATAATCGGTAATGAGTTGATAACAAGAACTGAGAGAAAATGTTTTAAAACTGATTTTTGCTTCAACATAATGTTCCATGTAATAACCGTGGGAAGATGGAAAAAATTTTGTTAATTACAGCGCTTGTCAACTAGTAATTGATGATGAAATGGGGGAAAGCTTGAAAAATATTTCGGATAATTTTCCTATCATCAATCAAAAGAGACAAATGAAACTCATGTGACATGACTTTAGTAGCATCCCAAATAATAGATTTCGCTCTGATTATGTTGTAGCGAAGGGGTCCAATGAGGGACAGAGAGAAAAACACGAGAAAGAGAGACAGACAGCGTAATAATTGAAAACCTCGCATTCATTCATAAAGCGGATAAAAACAATTTCCTTGTTGTGTTTGCCGCTAAAAATTAAATTCATCGAGACTGGAAGATTTCTTCAAATTAGTTCCGAATTAGATTTTGATGTGAATGAAAGTATTTCAATTGAGCTGTCAGCATGATAAAATATTTAATTTTAATCATTGTTGTACTGTTGTTAATTGCTTCAGTTGGTGGAATACTTCCAATGAAAATCACATCAAGCGTTGAAGTCAATGAGACAATTGCCAATTATAAAACTTTAAACGTTCAAATAGAAGCAAACAAAGAAACAGCTCTTGAACAGAGATTAGCAGATGTACTTTAATTAAATTACATTTCTTTTCAACTAGCATTGTGTTTCTTAAATGAATTCTTTTTCTTGATTGTTTCGTTTTAAGATCGTTTTTTGTTTTTTGAATTGAATGAAATTTTCTTTTCCTTCCTTTTTTTAATTGTTCAGATAGAAAGAAGATTGTCATCAGTTGAGCAACCGGTTTGGAAAATTGAAAAGTCGGCAGATATGAAGGCATGGGACCATTGCACAGAAACAGGCTTTTGTAGGTAATTTTTTAAATCGAAATAAACAAAATTTCTATGTTTAAAAAACATTTTTTATTTTCAGATGTATTCCTGCTCTTAAACAAATTACTTGTTGGCGTTTGAATCTTCGAAGCATTCCAGCAACGCAATCCATTCCAAATGACATAAGTCACATGTTAGTTTCGTTTTCTTTTATTTTAAAGTTTTTTCGTTTTTATTTCTTTCTTTCCTTCTTCGGAAACCAGTGACCTTTCATCGAACCACTTGTCAACCCTTCACAAAGATTCATTTCGGGGTCTAACGCATCTTACATTATTGGATCTTTCGAAAAACCATTTAGATTTCTTACCGAATGATTTATTGTTAGACTTGGATAGCTTATCGAACTTGTGGGTGTTTGGTGACAAACGGCAATGTGAAATCGATTGTAAAATTAACGCTTTACTTTTTTTTCTTCTATCCTCCCAGACGTCTCCAAGAGAATAAACTTGAAAGCTTAGACGCACAATTGTTTCTCAAATTAAGAAGCTTAAAGATATTAGACATGAGCCAAAACCAATTATTGTTTGCATTGCCATACGAGCTATTTCAATCAATTTATCACATTAGAGGTGAGATTTATTCCCAGATTTATTACAATTGATCTTTGTTCTTGTTTTTCTTTACGAGTATTTATTTACTCTCCCATTTCGTTGCATTCAATCCCATTAAACTGATATATCTTGGCGCTTATGTCGTATTGTGTTAAATTGATTGTGAAGTGATCAACCTCGCACACAATAAATTGAGAGATTTACCGAATCTACAAGAGCAAGTTGTGTTAGAGGAGCTTGATATATCAAAGAACGAGTTACGTTCAATTGGCAGCAGTCATTTCAAACAATTGAAAAATCTAAGAACGCTTCGATTGTCGGAGAATTTTATTGGTAAATAAAACTTCTGTTGAATAAGTTTCATGTTTTTAAATCATTCATTTTTGGCAGATGAGATTGCAACTGATGCATTCGATAATTTGATGCATCTGAAATGTTTATATTTGAAGAAGAATCTTATAACTCATATAAATGAAAGGCACTTTAGGAATTTACGGAATCTGATTATCTTGGATTTAGCGGCAAATAAAATTCAAAATATTCATTCCAACGCTTTTCACAGTCTCACGAAGGTTTTTGAATTGCATTTAAGTCAAAATGTCTTAAGAGAAATCCCTGAAAAGCTTTTTCTGAAGATGGAACGTTTGAGAAAGCTCATGTTGTTTAGCAATGACTTTCGCTATTTACATTCGCAGAGCTTTGTGGGTTTGAGGTAGGTAGACATGCACGAGTTGTGATTAGATATTTCTTTTCATTCTTTTCATTTTGAGTGACTTTGAAAACTTTTTCATATAATTTGAGCTCGGTGAGAAATTTATTGTTAAACAACAATAATCTTAAAGATTTCAATGCTGATGTGTTTGCTCCGCTCATAAATTTGACTAAATTGTGAGTTTAAAATCTTCTTTGAATTGATAACGAAAAGGAAAAGTTTGTTGTTTAACGATGACTTGCGATTGTTTCAGGCGATTAGACTCAAATAAACTTCAATATTTACCGAAAGATTGTCTTGATAAAATCCCGAAGCTGCTGAAAATTAAGCTGGATAAGAATCCATGGCATTGTGACTGTCACTCAATATACCTCGCTCGCTTTTTACGTGAACATTACACAAAGTTATGGAATGGCATTGCTGGAGGGCCCATATGTTTGGGACCAGGTAAATCAACGTTTTTCGTTTCCATTCTCATTTCTATATATTTATCTAACATATTTTCAGGTGAACTTGGAGGAAAACAAGTAAAAGAATGTTTTTGTTTTCATGAAATCATTTCATCAACCTTTTATTTGATAAGTATGAGTATACGAAGTAACTAAGCAATTACTTTTCTGTTACCAAGTCTTACCATCATCTTGATTACATTTGGATTGTTCATTAATTCTAATATGTTTATAAGTATTTCATTGTTGACAATCAACATATTTCAGGTTAGCATTTTGAGATTTGATCATCTTTGCTATGGACAATGGTACTCGATGGTGAACTTATCTCCAAGACTACCGATCAAACAGCAATCGTCCGATGTTATAGAAACAACAGAGTCATTACGAGATAATGTTACGGAACAGAAGAACAGCGGAAAGACATCAAATAGACGAAATCATTTGGTGACCGAAAAGCCAGATTTCGAAATAATCGATGAAGATTATTTGCTTTAACTGTTTGGTTATCTCAATTGCATAATATTTCTAACCAAGCCATATCATAGCATAACATGTCGTGAAAGGAAAACGAGAGAAACTCGTTATCTCTTTAATGACCTTTTTTCGTCGGCATGTTCATGTTATGCTCTCTAAAAAAATTGTTGCAATAAAAATTCATTGCATGGAAAATATTCGGAGATTTTTATCTCATCGCTCTTTTTTCGCTTTATTTTATTTTTTTCATTCGAGTAGAATTATTTGCATTGCCGAAGGCACGTTTTTATTCAGTCTAGTTTTTATTACGCTCAGTTTATCTGCAGCATGGAATGGAAAACTTTTCACTTTTCCTTCTTTTCTTTTCGACATTCTTTTTATTTTGCAGTGGAAGCAACTTTGTTCCTGGAATTTAATTTCATTCCTTTTTGTGATGGAAATCTTTGCAATTTATGTTTCAGTCGCTAGTTTAACTCATTTCGAAAGAAATAGGAAAAAAGTTCCGATGAAAGTGTTACACGGGATTTCAGTTTCCGATGTTAGTTTGAATATTTTTTCTTAATATTTTATTGCTTTTCTTTCTGCAGGGGTTTGAAGTTTGCCACATAAGGTTTAAGTTTTCCACCTTTTTTCCTACACACGTGTTTAAATGATTCCAATAAAAAAAATTTAAGTTCTAAAAACTTTCGACATTTATGTTTGGTTTACAAAAAAAAATTATTTTTGATAGGAAATTGTGAAAATTTTTCTCATGAAATTTAATTAAAGTTAAATATCAAGAAAAGTTTTTACTTAAGATTTTCTGCGATGAAAATCCACAAACCTCAACATACTCACATACAATTTTGATGTTCGTTCAAGAAGTTTCAACAGCACGCTGATGTGGTTTCAAGTGCAGTACGAAATTTCATCTCACACACGTCAAGAAATTTGACAAAACATTTTCCAATTTTCTCAAAGCAATTAATTTTTTAAGACAATTTATGTTGAAACAATTTCGAAAAATTCAATCTGAAAGAGAGTTCTAGTGGAGTTTCTAAATGAAACAAACGAGAATAAATAACGTAATTTAAAAATTTTGATTCTGTTGCATAAATGATGATGATAAGAATGTTAATTCTTCCAAACACTAAATTATAACATTACATGAATCTTTTGCCTTCTTTCTAACAGTGAAACACATGAATTCCAAATAAGGATCGTAAAACACTGAATCCAAAACGAAAAATGCTTCTCATTTATTCTCATTTATTTATACACAATGTATGTAATACAAAACATTCTCAGTTATAAGTATTTAACCTAGGAAGGAAAGAGATAGAGATAGAGAGAAAAAAGCTTCATTGCGTGTAATTATCGTAACACTTCCAATTGAGATATTTATGCTTACTTTACTGTATGTATAAATATAAATGTTTAGTGAAGTAGGAGGAAAATGGTTGGTTAGATGATTTTGATATCATTTTAGATTTTGGATTGGGGGGCCGGGGACGATGAGAATTTTTTTAAATAAAAATAGATTTGACATTGATAAGGTTTGCCAAGGTAGGATTTTAGACAGGAGGACAATGGATGGAGATTGATTTAATATTATTTAATTCAATTGTCATCTTTGATGAAGCACAGAAATTGTTATTGATATAAATACAAGATAAAAAGCAAAGCGACTCCAGCTGGTAATTGTTCCAGATTGCTGTGCTGCAGCAGGATTTTCACCTAATTAAGTAACCAACGAGAAATTTATTACACATTTTCATTATTTATGGGAAAATTATAAATTTAAGCTTTACCATTCAACACATGGACGGCAATTGTTGTTTTTGCGGAATCGCCTAACGAACATGTATAATTTCCACTATCATATCGATTAGCATTTGCTATGTAAAGTCGACTGACGGCACCTCCCGAGTTCAGGTTTGTTTTAACGCTGTGAAAAGTTAAAAAATTAAATAAATTCTCATTAGTGTAGTTATGCATGTCGGCTGTGGTGTGGTGATTTAAATGAAATATTATTTGAAATTGAGATGGAAAAAACTTCCACAAACATAGCAAATTACGAGACATGAAGAAACTGATAATAGTTTTAGAGCTTAAGAAAATAAATAAATAAATGAAGACGGGAAGAAAGAGAAGTTCTTTCGCCGCATTTGCCTACCTGATGCCACCTCGACTTGTATCATAATTTAACATTCGCAAACCATGCTTCCAGGTAACGTAACTTGTTGGTTGTGGTATTTTGCTGATTACACATTTCAACTCAATAGTGCTGCCAGATTTGTAGAACTTATCAGATGTCTTCAAGCCTCTCTCGTCTACAATATCAACTCGTGGAACTGTGTTTATTGTACATGTTTGTTTATATTTTGCGTATGGAAGTTAGAAGGCAGAAAAATAAAAGATGAAACAGAAGTAAAAGTTTTATTACCTTTTGTGTCGTGGAAAGAAAATTTATTACTAAGAGGAGTGAAACCCTTTTTAATAGAACAAATTATAGGAGGTGAAGTGGCAATGGAAGGATTTTTGTTTTGTTTTGTTTTCTATTCTATTCTTTCTCAGTCACACGCCAAGTCTCCCGCACAGTGCGCTTTCTGACGATAACAAATGTTTTGCCATAGATTTGAACACAACTTTTTGAAGGAAAGTGAAATATCAAACTCCCGCTGGTGACTTCAAGAAAACCATGAAAAAATGAAGAATAAAAATGGAAGCAAGGGCGATGGGAATCAAAGCGATTATGTTTTCATGAGTTTAACATGACATAAAGTACTTTCCGCTTCCACATAAAATATTTAGATGAAGTCGCGCGCGAGAAGATTTCAAAGACTTGGTTAGAATGAGAGGGATCTATAAGGAAGGTCATAAATTACGTTAGACTGTAGGGAGATTAAATGTAAACTTCAAGACATTATTCCCTTTTTGAAGGCGTTCACTTTCACTCAACTCAAGAAAGGAAAGAACGTAACCGACGTTGAATTGAGTTCCATGTTAACCATTTTTATGGGAAAATAAAATCTTGAAGTTTAAGATGAAGAGAAAGCGAGCTTTTCTTCTGCACGTAGGGAGAAAATTTAATAAGTTTTCAAATGAAATCGACATAGACGCTCTTACCTATAACTTCTAGACAAACAATCAAAATCAATGGTGGACTTGTATTTATCTGACATTCAAACTGACCCTCATCACGTTCGTTCGCATACTGAATATGTAATTGCCAATCGTTTGGCTGCTTAAACTCTAATGAATATCTTGAATCACTGATGTAAATGGAAGCACCGAAGGTTATCAAATGAAGTTGGTCGCCTTTCCGACGCACCCATGAAACCTGTAGAGTGGAAAATTAATTAACAAGAATTTGAAATCAATTGTTTTCTGTTCTGTGATATCTTTGTATGTTCATGCAGGTAAATTGTCTCTTATCTCTCATTTTCTGTCTAAAAGCTAAACTGTAACTTGAATACAAATCTTGTGAACATAGAAAAGCCATCATCAGCAACCCACAATCTGTTGAATTAATTTTCGACAAATTTCTGAAGCTTTCAATTTTCAATTCGATCAGATAGGAAATATTTTCCCTTTTCATTGTTTTTTTTTTCCCTCAATTGAATGAAACTCATGAACCGTCCCAGCATGGCTCTTAATTAATATTCAGTACAATTGCTTCTCCAAATGAGTTTTCTCATCTCCCACAACTCTTACTCAAGCGAAGGAAAGTTGAGGTGAGATGAGAACTAACAATCAAATGTATTCTGATGCCATGCTACTCGACAACACGTCCGAAAAAGGCTCTCAACACTTCTACGAGTGACGTGCTCTGAAAACACCTAGAGAACGTTTTTTCTTTAACATAATAAATAGCTTAGATATTTGTTTTGATACTTTAACAACTTCCCGTTAGATTGTTATTCTTAAAATAAAAAGTAAAGTAAAGAAATTGTTGAGGAATATGTGAAGGCAAACATGGGAGGAAGAAAAGAAGAAATGAAAGCTGAAGGAAAAGTTTTCGGTTTGAGATTAAGCTCTCAAGTTCAACATGAATGTCTATTTGAAATTGGTGAAGGCAATGTTAGGGAAGTGGCATAACTTTTGAGGTGTTAAAAGCACGTCGAAAACTTTTCTCATTTTCAGATTTTCTAAATCACTTTTATGAGACGAGAGAGGCAAAAAGTCTACTTCTACAAAACTTACCATCTTTTCACGTAAATCATTAACTCGGCAATGTAAATAAACGTCGCTTCCTAATTGAGTCGTCATGTTAATTTGTGTAGAATTTTCTTCAAAGAATGGCTCATGAACGTAAGTCGTCGTGTCGATGACTTCCTCGCTTGAATCTGAGACTGGCGTTGACACTTCATGCCAGATACTGTTCGATAAATCGTGCGGTGATTTAGTTTCGGGCACTGCGACATTGATAAAACAAAGAAGAGAGAAAGAAAATAAAATGAAGCAAGAGGCACATAAATAAATCTACGCAATCAAGCATTGAAATGTTTCATTTGATTCTGAATTACTTCATCGATTGCGGTCTAGTAATAATGATAGTGGTCGTTGTGGTTTTGGTGATTACAACAAAATACACTTTCGATAATTACCTACAATCATTGAACATCTGATATTCACTATGCACAATAAAGCGGATAACCATTTAACATTCCACATTACGTCATCATTTTTTGGACACTTTCGAGAGCTAATATATCTAAGCAGAAGCACTGTGTTTTATAACGTTTACGTTGACAGTAAATATTTGGCGTAAATTCCTTCTCCAAAGATCATTAAAATTCACTCACGGGGAACCTTAATCACATAACGACACAACTTTGTCCTCATCTAACATTTAATCTAACTTCAAAAGTATCTTATTATATTTTCGTCACGTTTCATCCACTTACCAACATTTCTTTTGCTAATAAGAATCGAAAGAAAAGAAAGAGAAACAAAAAAAATCAACTAAGCAAAAAAATCGGTTCTATTTAATGTGATAGAGGGAGGAAGGATCCCTTTTGAGTACATCCAAGGGATCATCGACGAATTTCTTTCAATAAAGCGAAGGCATTTTAAATAATAATAAACTTTTTCTTAACATTATTATTAATATTAGATGCTTATGAATGTGTGCATGTATGTTGTGGCACACAAAATTTGTAGCAATTTATCATTTGGTATTAGAGAAATCTCATTCCATTCGCTGTAAATAAATTTCTAGGGCAAAAGGCGAGACAACAAGGAAATGTTGTCGGTGAAGTGAACAGAAGACGATGAGATGAATTCAATTTTATTACACACTCATTTGTTAGACTTTCGCCCTTTCACTTTTCTTCCTTCCATCATTTCATTTCATATAATTTTTTCAGACGTTACTCGATAAATTTCAAGATGAATCATCATGCTTATGATGACGAAATGATTCAATTTAATTTTATTAAGACACACAAAAATCTCTCAGCCGTTCATTTCCATCGATTTTATCGGCGGGCGCGGCAATTTATTCTGTTTAATAAAAGGGATCAAGATGTAAAGCTTTTCACATTCATTTTTTGTGCTTCTCATTTTCTTGATTCAATTTCAAAGAAAATCGATGGTAGGAAATAAAAATCTGAATGAGTAAGATTGACTTTTATACAAATACCAAAAACACCCACGAAAAAAAAAACATTTTAGACGGAAATGACGAAGAAAGAAAAAAAGCGAAAGAAATCTTTCGTGCTGGGAAAGGAAATAATCCAATGATTCACTTATATATTTCAAGCATCATTACATCTCTTTTAACTGAATATATCCATTCAATATTTGAATCGTTTATTCAAAAGCTTCACTTCTAGAACGGTAATGTGGCTTGTCGTTGTATCACTGAAATGTATCTTTGAATAAATTTCCAACACTCAGACTAAATATTGTAGCAATAAATTATTCCAAACTTCTTAGCGTGCTACTTTTCACTGTTTATAACTTATTTTTTTATTTATTTATTTTTTCCTTCGCTTTTCAATCTTATTGTAATTTATGAGGCTTTAGAGGAAGAATTATTTTCCGTTTTCATCGCAAATGATAATGAATCCGACCGTGCTTTACATATCCTCACAACATACTGGTTTTTCCATCTTCACTTCAAACATTTATTGAATTATCATCACGGTCAGGATGGGAACCGGTTTGGAATGATGTTGCGCATGAATCATGCGCAAAGTATTTCCACAAACTTTTGTTCCAAGACTAGATTTTCTTCTCACTTTAGCAACGCTTTTATGCACATTTATACTTTTCTCTAGTGTTAACAACATGAAGAAATTCGTTTCGAAGGGGAAACTTTCAACTGCCGCGTGTGGCAGAAAAGAAAACTTTTTGAAATGAAAATCATCGTACAGAAAATATTTCATTTATTATTTATTCCAATTTTATGAACTCAAACGCACATGCTTCGGGTGTCGTATCATGTTTCGTGATTTGGGGAAATTGACTGGGAAAACATGAGAAATTCATCACGAATCGTGACTGAAGGATATCTAACTCAATCCTAAAAGATGCATATTGCGATGATAACTTTTCTATATTTCATGCACAACATGAATTTTATCTGAATCATCTACTGCATAGGAATGAAGTGCCAGCAATATCTACATGTGACTGAAACACAAATTGTAATTTAAAAAGAAATATTTCAGTCTTGAAAATCACTTTATCATTATTGAAATGAAACTTTGGTCAATGTTTTTTATCAACTTTAGAGATGTTTTTGTTTGCACGATGTTATCAAGAATTATTCATATGGAAATTAGAGTGTACACTCGTAAATCGGTTTGTATCTTGTCGGAACATTTGAAAATGTTTCATTGTTCGATAAATAAAATGCATAAAACCAAAAGTCTTCCCATAGATACATTTAAATAAATTTAAGTCTTCTCGGTTCACCCCAAAAAGCAATCACACGTCATAGACACTTAATCTTCCAAAACTTTCACATAAAATTTATGGTTTTATAGCTTGCTTTTTGGTTGGTGTTTTAATTGAGAACAATTTCATTTTACATTCATTAAACTGAAATAGTTTGAAGAAGAAGACAGGGCCGGAAGCTAAATTTAACTGGCGCCAATGTCAGTTGAATGTAATAAATTTTGTTTGAATCACACAAAAAGGAAGGAATAGAAAATATCTTGTCTAGTTTAATGGATAAATTGTCAATGATAAAGTTCTGAAATAAAATCCAATATCCTTTTACGAAGAACGCATTTTTTCGCTAAATAAATTGTTTGTTCGGATTTATATTTAAAACAACTTTTTTCTATTATTTCACGGAAGCTTACTTAAAAAATGAAAACAAGAAATGTTTTTTATTTCCATTGCAAAAGGAAAAATATGTTGTAGTTTATGAAAAAACCATTTGTAAGGCTGGCATATGGCTTACCATGAAACAAGCCTTTTCCTTATCTCGCAATAATTTTCGCATTTAAACTCACGGGCATGAGTCAGAATAAAAATTTGTAGGGGAAACTTCAACGAGATATGATGAGAACTCTCAAAGAATATACCAAGGAAATAAAGTGAGCGAAAAATCACGGAGGAAATTTAATTCAGACTTTTATTGTTGAAAGAAAAATACCAACGAGACATTATAAATGAAAGAAAGGTGAAACTCAACATTTCCTTTGACTCACGAAATCCAACGAGTTTACATTTGAATTAAAAAGGGATGTTGATAACTGGAAAATAGAGCGGAAAATGAGATGTGACGTGGGAAAAGTATGATAATGTCATTTTGTCGTTGTTGAATACAAAAGAACAAAAGAGTTGGAAGAATTTAATTTACACATCCGCACATAATCCCAATCAGTTTGACGAAGCTTTTAATCCGCGTGCAAGTAAGAAGATTACCCTTAAAAAAGGTTTAACTTAACATGAACGGGGTTACTTACATACGTTACCTACAAGTTATAACAACTTAATCAGTCTTCTTTATAATCTGATGGAAATTAATGTGTTTCAAATTTGAATCGTGTCGGAAGATTTTCCGTTCGCATATCACAAATTTTACATGTCTATCAAATTTCTTCAAAATGTTATGACACCACAACACCACAGGGGGTTTGCTTTCATTGTTGAGCTTTTAATCGACACAATCTCAATTATCACGTCAGACACGCAGGATGTATTAAATGTTGTCCAATCGATTCATGGGAAGATTAAACGCCTCGTTAAAATGTTATTTGAAGTAAAATTGTGCCAATCTTTCAACTTTATGGGCATGTTACATTAATTGACTTCAATCTACGTGATTACTTTAAGTAAGTATGCGATTCCATGTTATCATCGAAATATTTTATTAGATACATAAAAGCCTAAAAGTCACTACCGATTATACAAATAATATTTGCATACCTAAAATGCTCATCAACAAAAAGTCTTTCGAAGAATTTTCTTTTAATCTTTGAAAGCGTGAAAATAATTCCGCTATTTCCTTTTATGGTCGTGATTTTCATAATTTTTGCATATTTTTAATCAAATTTATAACGCACAGATAGATTTTTCTACACTTGAAAATGCCCCCAAAGGGAACATCAAAAATAAATTATTTTAATATAAAAAACTTCTCTTTCAAAGCTAAGGTAGGAAGTTTTTTTTCTTGGGAAAATTAGGTCAAAGTATCATCACAGGATCAAAGAAAAATGAAGAAAAATCTAAGAACATGAATTAAATAATAATTATCGTCGATAGAAAATGACTTGGAGCCTTGATCTGATGTTGAGTGTATCAAATTTCTTACAACTTGTAAATGATTCTTGAACCAGACTTATGGAAACAAAATGAACAATAATTGTAACAATTTTAACGAGTTTTTAAATATCCAATTTGACCTAATTTTATTGTTACTGATTGTCATTTTCACCCACTGACATTGGTTGACAAACTGGTCACTATAACTTTTTATTGCTTATTGTTGAAAATTTTTTTATTGTTCGCGCATTTGCCATCACTTTAAAGACGAGGGAGAGAAAAAAATAAAGAAAAAAGAGCAGAAACTTATTTATTCCAGATGCTTTGAAAGAACGATGAGCTAAGAAAAATGTTTGAGAACTTTCTTGTCATTATTTTTTCTTAGAAAAAGAAACCCAAATAAAATAGAAATGAAAGCATCTGAGCGAATCTTTCTTTTTTTTATATTTAAGTCTATTTTATTATAATAAGATTAGGATAGAAATTTCTCAAGACATGTTTTTGAATATTTCAAGCGGAGGTCTTGAGATATTTTGCACAGCAAACGTCAGACACATATCCAAGCAAAGTAATAAAATGGACAATAAAACTTGGACAAAACAAAAATATTCATATTCTGCGAAGGTCGAAATTCTTTTAGGAAGGAAAATACTTTGAGGTGAAAGCTTGTTCGTTTATATTTCACCCAAAGTAGGAAATGTATAAAGGAAATTATAATTTATAAACTTCTTAGAAATTTCAAAAGCCCCAACCTTTATTTACGAAGTAAAAATACTTGCTAACAACTGACCCCAATCAAAATTTACTGAATGAAATAAATTGCCACTAATTAATTAGATACATACAAATTTTTTAACATAGAACAGAGGAAGTTGATTGGAATGAAAGTATCCAAGGAGTTCTCAGTTATCAAAAGAGCTTACAAACACATGCATGTCGCTATCGGTTTCTTAAGTATCAAAACAAAAGTGAATGCTGAAGAGAGAAAAATAACATCCTTAGGCAACTTATATTCTTCCCCGCTGTTTTATGTTACATTGATCTCCAGCTCTTACAAATAAATAAAAAAGAAAAACGAAATCTTCTATTTTATATCTTTTTATCTTCACGGTATCATATCCAAGTAAATTATTCTCTTTCATTATTGTCAATAAACAGTAAGACTTTTGCTATTCCTACTTTAATGAACTGATTTTTTCCTCATTCTTATTCTTATTATATATGTAGATGGAAACATATACGATTAAAATGGAATGTCTTAGCAGTGAATTCTTATCTCACTATAAGGAACATTTTTGCTTCACGTTAAATCTGATGGAAAAATGAAAGCAAAAATAAAAGTAGAAGAAAAAAAATGTTTTCAACTTCATCGAACACAAATCATCCCGATTGTTTTTTTTTTCCATTCCATTCTCTCCAAATGAATTATTGTTTGGCGAGAAGGTTCAGTGATCAATTGAATAAATGAAAATTTTCGGCACTTGTGTTTTTTTTCTCTCGTTCGTTCGTTCGTTCGCTCTTTCAACAGCAGCAACATGTCATACACTGATCGAGACACTATGATGAATTGCCGCATTGATAGTCGCCTTTATCAATTTCTGCCTCTTCTCCACGATTGAATTTGTTTGTAGAATTTTGAAATATGGCCTTGTCAAGGATTCGAGCATGTGATTGGAAATTGAATTTATCTTTTAAATTGAGTCGGGATTTTGTCACACCAAATGTACTTGTTTGTGCATCATATGTTGCGAGCCTACCTATGTTGTTTTATTATGAGTAATAATTTGAAAACAACGACATTGAATGAAAGGAAGCACATGATTATGACGCAGATGATGTGTGCCATGAAAGCGAATGTTGAGTGGATCGGAATGAAAGAAAATATATGAAAATTTATCACAAGCCAAGTCATAAATGCGAAAAAGAGATTTTCGGGTTGCGTCATGTGGATGAAGTGTGTGTGGAACTTAATCATATGGAAAATAAAAAAAAAAGTTTTAATAGTGTTTGAGTTATGGAATCATCAATCATAATCATGAGATGAAATTTTTACAAAGGTCTAAATGGTGGAGAAACCATTTTCTTGCTTTTAAAAATGAACAAAAGCGAATGATTCAAACCATAAATCTGTATTAGAATAGCAGAAATTGTTGTGTACAAGTAGAAACGCTATTTGCGGTCCACATTCTTCAGCATGGAAATCTTAAAGTTCTCATCTGCTTAAGATACTTTAACTCGTTTTCTTCTATGAAGTTTTGTTTTTCATATTCATAACCATTGCTAAGCAAAATATTTTAAATATTCAAACATTAAAAATCGAAAAATAAATACCTCGAGTCTGTTCTTGTCATGCTGCAATTCAAGCAAAAGAAATTATATGAAATGGTAATAAATCATTGTTTATCACGTGTCGATGTAGAATATGCGTTGACTCGACATTTTCATTTAAGGTAAATTTATTCTCAATACAGTGGAACTTCGATAAGCTGATGCCTCAATAAACTAATATCCTCGATAAGCTGATATTTTTTTCTCCCCCTTGAGATATCAGCTTATCGAAGCTCCACTGTATTCTCAATGTGTTTCATCCAATAACTCTCTACGATATCGTCAAAATATTTCAATGAACTCGTTCAAAAACATTCCATAAAATCAATTTGAAAGCTATAACAGATTTTTATTCTGAATTAAAATAAGTTGTAAAATTTCACTTGCTACTGTTTTAAATCAAAGTAGTTCACATTATTTGGAAGTGCTCTCCAAACTCTGCTCGAAATTTTTGTTCAATTTTATTTGTTGAAATTCAGGGAATGAAGCGATTCATAAAATTAATTCTCCTCTTTCGTCATAAAGCTTTTGTAAAGATATTGCATTCGAAAACGCTTTTTTGTTCGCTTTTTCACTCAACACTTACGTATACGAAACGAAAAGAGTGAGTGGAGAGAATCACATGATATCAGAGTGACTTGCATTGCGGAATAGCAAATAAATTAGTATGTGATGTCAATAGCACATTTCAGTCATCAAAAGTGTCTCAAAATTCAATTTTCTTGTCGTGTCGAATACTTCACTTCATTTAATATTCATAACATAACAACGTTCGTACAGAATTCATCATTTTTCCATGATTTTTCTTTTCTTTTTCTTTCGTACTGGCAAAGAATGCCGGCATCAATTCTGATTTCCATTTGAGACATATCGAACATTCAGTCGTTTGCCATTATTCGAACATAAAGCTCTAACTGACTTCATGAATTCCTGACTTTCTTTCTGAAAGGAACTTGTTAGTGACAACCAAACTTTCAATACATTGGAGTTGTCGCTCCCAAGTTCAGATTACAAAAAAAATTCTTTTATTCAAACACCTTGAGAGCTCTCGTGAGACACAAAACTTTTGTCGATTATTTGAATATGAATGGAATTATCAACATTATTGAAATTTATTGTTTGGCTCAGCAAAAGTCACATTTTACTTTAAAAGTCAGCAGTTTTTAATTACAATGTAAATGTTAACAATAAAAAAATGTTTTATAGACTGTAAAGCAATTAACTTCAGACTGATGAAGATTTTTAAACCTTTTTCATATGATGTAGCCTTTTAATCCATTTTTAAATGATTCTATTGCCTACATGTATGTTAAAAATCTCGTTAGGCCGCCCATACAAAAATTAATCAGTCTGTAAATTATTTTTCTTTTCCAACTTTGGAATAATTTAACGTAATAAGTCATCAACTCATTTAGACAGATTAACATTTCATAAACAGATAAATAAAGATGAAAGTTAAATCAAATTAAAGTGATATTTGATTATTCAGGAAAGTAAAGTTTCATCAAAGTTCTCTGAATTTAGGGCAGAAATCTTTTTTATTTAATTCTCAAATAAACGATATTTTGTGAATAAATTTCTCTTGAAGATCTCATAAGATAAACCCGCAGTTTATTTCACATTCTTTTTGTCTTTATGCTTTGAATATAAAGTTAGAAAAATGGCGAGAAAATTGTTGACAACAAATCAAAGTGAAAGATTAAAATGACAATTGAAATGTTTATATACATTGCGATAGCTCAGCCTGCGGCCATAATGATTGAAATTTATTGAATTGTAGGAGTGTATGAGCTTGGCTTAAGGTTATCAAGAGTCTGTTATATTCTTTACCCAGTGAAATCATATAAAATGAAGATGCAAATCTTATAAATAACTTCTATGATCTGAAATGTATGTATGTAAATAAATATGCACGATTCTTGATGTCAGTCCCTTTCAACAAAGAAAGTCAAATACATTGAAAATAAGAATCAAATGTTAAGATCCTGAGGCTATGGAAATACGGAATTATGAAATTCCTGACATTAAATTTGCTACAAATTTTCATACGTCAAATGCCTTTGAATATTCCGTAATTACTCTCCCACGTTTCAATTAACGTCTTATATATTTTCAGTGGAATCTCTATAAGTGGAAGCTGAAGGGGGTTTCGTTCATGGAGCTTTTCTGTTTATAGAACGGCTTTCAAGTATGAATGCAGCTGAATGGGGTCCGCTCATGGAGCTTTTCTTCTCATAGAGCTTCCGCTTATAGAGCGTCGACTGTATTTAATACAGAAACATTGACGTAGTAACATTCTCATTAGGATACTTTCATGTGAAACATTCAGGGCAAGTAATCAGTCTTCGTTAAATATATTTAAAGTGAATTAAGATTTAGAATCTCTGCAATTAAAGAAACATATTTAAATCGCAAATTAATTAGAAGAAAAACAGAAATGTTGATCATTTTTTCCCTTTGTTAATCATAACAATTTTCCACACAAGTGATCAATAATTAAGAATATCAACGGAACTGACATGAATTTTCCAAAAAACTTATTTAGACTGCCAAATCATTTGTTAAAATTTATTTATGATATTTTTTATAGCCGTAGTGAAAGCTGGCAAAAGAAAAGACGAAATTTATTAAAGCTTTGGCTATTGTGAATTTTATGTTCAAATCTTTGATTGTTTTCAATGAATTTAATGTTAATTTAATTCCAAGGGTTTTTATGAGATTTCTTAAGGATGTAAAGCAGAAAAACTAACTCAAAGTTCAAGCAATTAAAATAACTTTTAATAATTTTATCATTCTTTCATCATTTGTGTCTCTTTTCCTTTGACTATTTCTAACATTTCGTCTCGTTACTGATGAAAAGTTTACTGCCATTACGTGATTGTAGAAGGATGTGTTGCAAAAAATAAACGATGCAAGTCAAGTTGGCACATTTCTCACAAAATCGTGACGAGAGTTTGAAACTAAATGAAATTGCGAGGTCCACATAATGTGTTTAAGTTAATTCGTTTGAACTATATGACAAAAGCTTTTTCATGCTGATTATGAGTTGATAAATGACTGTTAATTAGCCGATAAAATATTTTCTTCAGAATATCAGTTTGACTTTAATTATTACTCCACACAAAACTACTTAACTTTAGAGCTTTGGTCTTCTCTGTTCTCCCTCATCTCGCTTTTGTTTTATCATTTCGACTTTTTAATTACATCTTAATTGTAGTCTCGAAAGCTTAATCACAAGCGACACAGAACTTATCATTTCGAAAAGTTTCAAGCTTCTTCCATTAAGAAAACTCGTTTAATTCCATTTAAGGGTTTCAAAACTGTTGCAAAAATGAGTGAAAATAACAATTTATGGTGGAAAGTTTGTTTTTTAAATTGCGTTTTGCATGATACCGTAAAACATTAGCTTAGGTTTAAACTCAATCTTTCCCGATTAAACTTTTTTTGTTTATCTCGTTCTTGTTGTGTAAGATGTAAAAGTTCTTTACAAAAGAGCTTTCGTTATGTTCAAGTAGGAAGTTTGATAAAAAAAAAGATTAAAAGGGCTTTTTGTTTCTGGCAAATCTTTGAGTTTTATGATTGCAAACAATAAGCTCTAACAAACGCAATTTAAGAATCTCGTGGGAGTTAGAGAAGGCACATGAAAATTTTTCTCTTTCTTTTTTTTTCTAAATATTATAATCCTTGAATATTTTCATGAGAAAGACTTTAATTATTTTCATTATCCTTCTGCCTTTTAGTTCTTCAACCCAAGTAATATTTTTTTGTTCCAGACATTTTACAATCATTAGATATTGAAATTATTCGCTTTGAACTTTTCCTTTATTTAAGCTTTGTGAGGAAGTGAACCGAATTTTCATTGAGGGAACGAGAATGAAAAGTAAAAAAAGGAACGTTTAGACTCTCACTAGTTAAATTTTAATGGAATCACAAATTAACTTAATTTGGCTTTCAACAGCGATCGTGTGTTTCCAACGCTTGATTGAACATTTGATAGACAATAAATCCAGAAAAGATTTAGATTAATTATATTCGATGAAAGCTGAAGCTATTGTCGAATTTACGTCTTGAAAAGCCAAATTAATGAGTTTTTCGTCGTTTTGCTTCGAACTACGTAGATAAGTGTACATAAATATATACGTAAATATATTTGTGAGCGAAAAAGCTTTTGCTGATGCTGAAGCTATAAATATTTATTTCAGCTTCATTAGAATAATTAATTATAACAAATGAAGGAAGTTGTTAAAAAAAGCTTTTAGTTCTGATTTTCTTTCTGCCAATGAGTTTGTTCATGGAAATGCTTTAAAAGAAAAAGCATCTCAAATTAATTGATAGAATCGGAAGATAAGAAAATTTTATTTAAAGTTTACTTTCAAATTCACAAAAGTTATCAAACTTGATACGTTTCGCAGTTTGAAGCAAGAAATCTTTACACTTAAACCCTCATGAAACGAGGTTAATATTTAAGCAGTTTCATCGGATATTCGCAGGCATATCACGTTTTGTAGTCAAACTTTATTAAAATGAACGTAGCCTCGATGTTGTGTAATGATTTCTGCTTTTCTAAATTCCGTTTTACTTATTTTCCACTCAATACCTGAATTTTAATTCGGAGTTGTTGGATCTCCTATGAGATTTTCGACTATCTATGTTCAAGTCGATCTCATCTGCAATTATCGAAAGTATTTTCAAGACTTTGTCTGAGACGCTTTGAAGACGGCTTTTATAAGCTTTTAGAATTTATGTTATTTCGGTCTTTATTTTCTATGCTACAAACGAGGCCTTTTTGCAGACAGTACCCTAAATTAAAACATAATAAAGCATTGAGTAATTTGATAATGACGCCGATAAGCGTGAAACGTATTAAAACATTAGTAAGCTACCGATTACAGGGAATTTCTAAAGTCTGGAATTATTATGCAATATTGCATTCATTGTCATGAATTTCAAATTAAAGCCTCAATGCTAATAAATCATTGACGTGAGATAATGAAGCCTAACCATTAATTTATGCAACATTGAACAACACTTAATTCATGTGGATTTTCAATTCATTTGAGTTTCATTGTGTAGTGATGTTATACGGACAAACTATGTAGGTAGAAATAAAATATTCTTCATTAACATAAACAAACTGCGGTATAGCGATGACAAAAAGCAACTTTTATAATGAACCTGATCCGATTAAAAGTGAAAAGTGGAAAATTTATGTCGACCAAACCGAGGAGTAGCAATAAAAAGTACTTAAGTTTCTTCTCGCATTAATTAGCCCGCAAAATGCTTTCATTCTAGGCTATTTCTAAGGCAACAGCTATCGTTGGAATTAAAAGAGAGGTGAAAATTTCCTTAACTACTTTTGAAGAGAGTTTTCATGAAAAGATGGAAAGAATGAACATAAAGTGGCGGCGTTTGGTCTGTGAAAGAAAACAAAAAAGAAAGTTGCAAAGTTTTCAGATCTTTTGTGTTTTTTTTTTCTTCTTTCTCTCCCATTCAAAAACATTTGGAATAATTATCGTAAAGTATGTGAGTTTCCGGCTGGTTTTATTGTATCATCCATTAAGGGAGGCATGTGGTAAGGGCGTTAAGAATATAAGGATTACGATGAAAATTAATACGACTTACCTCTTTTCTACATTACACACTTTACATACATCGAAAGCTCAAATGCTAAAAAGCTTTAAATTATGATAACGCTTAACACCAGTTAGAAACGAGAAGAAGCAAATTTAAGACGCTCCATCTGATAGCTTTTGCCGTAACAAGCTCATGTTTTGTTATTTATGACATGTGTAGACTTAATGTTCTTAACATTTCTATGTAAGAAATGGCATAAAAGATAACGTCTGGGAATGTTGTGTTGTTCTGTTGTTGTGATAAACATTCATTTTAATTTCCTGACGCACATTAAACCTAAAATAAATTGCTTAGGGGTTTCGCTGTTCTTTTGCTAAGGGAAGTTGCTCATTTGCATCATTTTATAGCCAAGATTTATTTCGCGAAAATTCTCAGATTTCAATTTTAAAATCTTTTGAGTCGTATCCATTTTCATGATGGAGATTATCTGAAATTGATGCTTCTTGAGGCTTGGGTAGAAATATACATAAACCGAAGCTTGTTGTCTTTGCAATGTTTATGGAGATATTTCTCACTTTTATGGTTTTGCGAATAAGTATTTTGAAATTTAATTGAAATCCATCAGAAGTAAATTCAGATTTCAGATTGCATAATAAATTACTTATTTATGGAAATCTTTCATGTTTGCATCTCTGTTAAGTCTTTGAAGTTGATGATTATAAGAAACAGCAAAGATACTAATGGAATGTTTTGAAGTTTTTTTTATCAGTTAATGAAATTATATTTCTTTAACTTGAAAATTTGGATAATGTTGATAAAGGCGACTATCAATACGGCAATTCATCATAGTGTCTCGATCAGTGTAGGACATGTGCTGCTGTTGAAAGAGCGAACGAACGAACGAGAGAAAAAAAACACAAGTGCCGAAAATTTTCATTTATTCAATTGATCACTGAACCTTCTCGCCAAACAATAATTCATTTAGAAGAATCGTAAACGAAGAGAAAGCAATCGGGATGATTTGTGTACGAGGAGATAGAAAAAAAAATTCTCTGATTTTGCTTACCACACATTTTTCTGATTCCGATGAGGTTTTTATAGACAACGAAACCAGCAAGGAACAATCGACGAAGTCTATTTTTTCCTACACTTCAATAATAGCAGATTAAAGCATCAAATTTCATTAAATGTAAAGTTTCTTCTCAACAATGTTGAAGTTGAGTTGAACATTCCCTTCGAAATATGATGAAAATTTTGGGAAATATCATAGATCTTCATGAATGACATTTATGAAAATGCATAAGTGATAGAAATAAAGTTCGCATGTGAAACTATGGTGATGAATATGTTGAGTTCATGATATCAAACGACATACATCGTGACAACATGTTTTTCCGTTTTATTAAAAACGTTAAGTGCGGAATTTGGAATGGCTTTATGAAAAAATTCATTTTGTTTACAAAATTAACAATCAAGGCAATGACTTTTGATAGATATTTATGAACTACGTGACATGAAAGAAGGAACGAATTTATCGGAAAACCCGCATGAACTAATATGTCAACAATTTTTAACGCGCTCCAAGACATCATCCGCATAACGAAATAAATTTTACATACTTTCACACAGAAAATTTATCACGAGTTCGTTGAAGCTCAAATTTGATTGAAAGCGGTCGAAAATTTCTCAAAATTTTGATTACATTTTGAGACGAATTATAAAAGTTTGTAATCGTTTCCTTTCACTCTGCTGAATCTTTTTAACTTTTCTGATCCATTGATTGATCTTATGAAAGTGATTGATGTGATTCAAAGTTTCAAAACTGTTTTAAAACTCCTTTCAAGGCAATCTAAATCAATGATAGCAAATATCTGGCATTTATGGATTTTTCTGGTACCTATTTGCTTTCCATGCCTCCTTTTTCAAAGCCGTTTTCTGCAGAACAAGAAGAACTTAACGAAATAAGTAGATTTTCGGCTGATGGAAATATCCGTCAATATATAACAGCATTCTTGGGACGATTCTTTTCAAACACCAACATCAGCAGAGAAGCACTTTGGCAGTGATTAACTTGAATGGAAATTGCTGTCCCACTTGGATGATTTATTATCAAAATTCGCTCATGAGCACGTCTCGTTGCTCATTTAACTACTCAGAAAACAAATCCTACTACTTTGAGCGTTCAAACTTTGTTGAATGTTTATTCGAAAGCTTTTGATTCAAAACGTTTTAAAGCATCTCTTGAATTCGCTGAGCTTACATTTGTCATGTTGTTATCATTGTATAATTTTTGAGTTTAAAGCATACTTCCCATTTTATTTCCGGTACTTTTGATAATGTCAAAAGTAAGAGCGCTGTGACATCTTCATGTTTATACCCATAGATTTTTTTTTAATTTGTTTAGAAAGCTGTGAAAATAATATCAATAACGTTTACATTGCTGCTTAATATGATGACACGAGGACGATGTAGCAAACGTAACGACATAAATCATACATAAATAATCTTCTTTTTTCATATCATTTCATTTCATAAATGAAGAGAAGAAATATGTTGCAGATGAGTTTATGACGCAGCTGCCATATGTAACAATAGTAAAACATAATTATCCTTCACGCCCTGTTTTGACCTTATTGAGCTTACGACATTTAGAGGAAGAGTAAAGCAACGGCTTAATTGACGACATGTGTCGTTATGATGGAATCATACAACATTAATATATAAAAGCTTTTGTCTCATATTGAACATTATTTTAACAATGGTGATTGCTTCATTAATTGCCATCAACATTTCACTAAAAATGTGCGAAGAAAAGCAGTAAATTTTTGATTAAAAGAAAGCAAATTCTCTTCCATTTTATAGAATCAACAATAATAATATTTTATGATATCTCATAATGTGAAAATAAATATAATTATGTGAATGAAACGCTCGAGAATTCTTTTCATTTAAAGTTGACTCAACTCATATTGTGTCGTCAATGAACTTCTTAAAACTACGTGCCAACCTCACATCGTCACTTCTAACGTCTTTGTTAGAAACTTATTACAAAAGGAGACTCCGAGACAACCTCAAACCGAAGTCTTGACGACGTTATTCAGTATAAAGGGAACATTTTCTCGTTCCACCATTAATTCTGATTTAATTATCTGTAAGGGCAAAAGCTTTTTGGCAATTCTCATTTAAAGAAAAAGAAGGAAAGGTCAACCTCCATTACATCATGAACTGATAAAATTTTTTATGATTTATTCTCTAGAAAAAGTTTTATTGAACTTCAACGATGTTTTGAAAAGCATTTCTCTTCTTTACATCAAACTTCCATATCTCGATGAGAAATCAAAGGTTAGGACAAATGTAAACTTTGCTAAACTTTTTCACTTTTTAACTTACATGCATCAGTTATCATCCTAAGGAAAATGTGTTGTCCGATAACTTTCTTAAGAATCCTCAAATTTAGCAACGAGAAGAAGGAAAGAGAAAAGTTTTGTCGTCACATATTCGCACTTTAACGCAGCTGTTACAGAAACATGTTTATTATGAATATGTGCTTCTTTAAGAACTTTTATCATTTCGTACGAAACATGAGAGAATTACATAACTTTTTATTAAACGCCAGTGAATTACCCATAGGATGTAATTATGTGTTAATTTCAACTCTAACAATAGCTGAAGAGTTTCGCCTTGAGTGTTCTGTTCTTTAAACAATTATTTTCACTTCCTGTGTTGAGAAAGTTTTTAAAATTTGTTTAACTTTCTTTATACTTTCGTTATGTATGAGAATATATAATTGTAACTGTTTATATGAAGATTCGTTGCTTTGCTTGAGAAATTTGCTCTAAAGTTTCAACTCTTGTTGTTGTTTCGCAATCAAGAGCGGTTTGAGAGTTGAAAGCAATAAGTTTTGAGTCTTACGAGAGAAATTTATTCATAAACACACGCATTTTAGCTCGATGGAGAAAGGCAGAACAACGTAAGTATGTTCGCTTCTACAAGCTTTAACATTTCGTGCATATGTCAAAGCTCGGAGAGATCCTTTTAATTTTCTCTTAATGTCATCTGACAGTATTTGCTTAATGAAGAATGCTTCTGTAATACGTTTATATTTTTTTCTTTCATTTTTTTCCTTTTTGTTTTGTTCCAAAATATGTATGTCTCTGGAAACATTTCACAAACATCCCTTCAAGACAAGACTAGGAAGAAAACCTCCGACATGAGCACATACGAGAAACATTTTTCAACTTTTATATAAGACGTGAACACCGAAGATAAACCGAAATTTACCATTCTTGATATTATATACATATTTAGATATATTTTTTGCTGTAAAACATACTTGTTTGAGTATTCTGGGAATATTAAAAGCTCGTCATGGAGATGTTCAGAACAGGGTCTTCAACTCAATTAATTTTGTTTGTTCTAATGCGTTCAACTCATAAAAACAAACAAACAAACCGTTTTCGATTATCCACAATTAAATGTATGTTGGTGGTTTATAATGATAAACAATCAGTTTAATTGTCATCGTCCGAAATTTTGCTTGATAAATGAAAGTGAAGAAAATTCTTTCATTATTTATCTAAAGCTTCAGAAAGCGAATAAAGAAAAATTCATTAACTCTTCCAAAAGCAGCTTCCTTCAGTGATGTTTGTTGACACTAAACGAAAGCTTTACGTGAGAAAAATAAAATGAGCAAATCAATTCGATTTTATCAATAAATTTTCTTATTAAGAGAAGAAGGAGAAAAAAGATTTGTTGAAGATATTAGAAAGGCACAAAGCAGAATAAATAAAGGAAAGTTTTGATTGTATTAAATGATGCGAGTGAAATATTGATTTCTAGATTACACAAAAGTACAAATATTATGTCATTCATACTTACTTGTCCCACTTTTCCATTCATTTAGAATTAATCTCGTTTCATTTCATGTTAAGCCTATATACATATACGAGCCTTTCCTATGCTTTAAGTTTTCCTTGAACAAAAGATGTTATTAATGAAATATTCTTCATATAATTTGCTGAATCAGATTCCGTTAAAGACGAAATTTTCTTGCTAACAACACAAAAAAAATAAATCTTATCTGCGATTCACAAGTGTCACTTTTTCTTCGTCCACTTTCTGCTAAATGAACTCGAAAAACATCATCACCTTTTGTTTCCTTTCAACATCACTTAAGGACAATTGTTCCAACTCAATGACTTTCTTGTTTCTACTTCAACGAATTTTACTGTGAATTCTTACTACGAAAAGTAGGAAAAGAATGAAAAAAATTTAGCTTATCCTTCCTTTTCAAATCAAATCTTATCAAGTGAAGATTTTCTAACTCAAGGAATTCCTTCAAACACTGAATCAATGTTAGGAAAGGGAAATTGAAATGCAAATCAACTGCAATAATCGATTCCCTCCCATTTGATGACTTAAATGTTGAATTATTTATTCAATTTCTTATTATTTATCATATCGTGTAGTTATAGGAAATCTCAAATGATAATTAATTCCCCTCCACAAACCTCCTCACATAATCTCCATTAATTGAGAGAAGGGAAGAAATTAAATTAATGTTGTATGTTATTTCATGACATAATTCATTCATCAATTATTGTAGCATAATCATTCAATTAATCCTATTTTCTCATCTCGTTTAAAAGCCTTTAAATTTTCATATGAATGAGATAAACATTATTGTATACGAGTGTGAAAATTTGTGTGATTGCTGTTCAGGTTCGTGAATCATCAACACGACCTGAACATTAAGTTTTTTGGTCATAAACTCGTCTGGGAGTTTATGATCAAAATTTCATTAAAATAGATTTAAACCTAGTATTTTATGCATTTATTGTAAGGGCTTAATCCTAAACTCAGACGAGTTTGGGTTTACTGCGCATGACTCATGCCAATAAATGAGTCCTTTTAGGGATTACTAAAATACATTTTTTCTGCATAAAATAATAAAATTAAGTGCCTAAATCTTTTCGTCTACGGAAAGATTAGGAAAGAAATTGGCCGCATAAGAGAAAAGAAGAATCCCTTGCACATGATGGAAATTCCGTCATGCGTAAGGCGGCACGAATTTAGCCGAAGTTTCTTCTTTCTCCTTATTGACCACTTAGTAAATAAGGAAAAGAGAATTCTCTCTTTTCCAGAATAATTTTAAGTTTATAAAAGGAAAATAACCAGAAATAAAATTATTATTGTCTTTCACATCAAGAACAAAACTAGTAATCTTTCTTTAAAATTTATTAAAGTTTTTCAAAAAGATATTAAACTATTTTCTTAGAGACGTCTAAGAAAATATTTAATATCTTAACAATACGTTAGCATTAGCGCTAACAATTGCCTTTTATCTTTTTGATTCACATCACAACTTGTGAACAGGTTCATTTTCTGAACCCAAACATCATTTTTATCTTCAACAGATCGAAGTCTAAACTCATTAAAAATGTTTAGATTTCTTAATCACTAAATGATTCAGTAACATGAATCATATCAATGAATAATGAATTATGTATAATATTTTGTAGATAACAACATTGTATATAAACTCAAGTAATATTTTAAAATAAATCAGTTCCTTCTTAGAGTTACAACAAAGTGTTTCTCTCAAATAATTCCCTCAAAAACAAAACGGGCATCTTAACACAAGCGGTCCTTCGAGCCGGATTACGGCTGCCGTGCAAGGCAGCTGAAGAAGTTACTGCCGCTTAGAAGAAGCTGCCGTTGCTAAAGAAGAAGCTACTGCCGCTCAGAAGAAGCTGCCGTTGCCTAAAAGAAGAAGCTACTGCCGCTCAGAAGAAGCTGCCGTTGCCTGAAAGAAGAAGCTACTGCCGCTTAGAAGAAGCTGCCGTTGTCTGAAAAAAGAAACTACGGCCACTTAGAAGAAGCTGCCGTTGCCTAAAAGAAGCAAGTATAAACAACCTCTAACTTTTGAAAAACAACGAGACCAAGCAAACAATGGATTCTAAGAAAAAGCAATATGTCATCTTTAATGATGCCAATGTCAATGCTGCATCATCATCGAAAGCCGCACCTGATCCTGAAGTCAAGACACAAGCTCTTGAAATTGTTGCAAGATTCCATTTCTTGGTTGACTCCTACATGGTTGAAAGCGCTGGAAACTCTATTGACAAATGGAACAACGTGAGTTCAATCGTTGCTACAGGATTCAATAGAATGAGACAGGGAATCAATGCATGCGGTGGACTAAGAGCCAAGTTGCCTGATGGTGCGGAAATTCCTGGAACGGGAAAAGCAGCTGGACCTCCGACAAAAAGAGTCAAGACAGCTGAAGAAGTAGATGATCCCATGGGAGGCGAACCTTCAGTGCAAACCACCATCGTTGGGACTACCTATGAGAAAATGAACAGAGATTTCATTACAATCATGGAGAATGTCTCAAAACAAAAGAAAGTTGAGTTGCAGAAATCCAAAATAATGGGAACAACTGCCAGCATCCTTTCTCTGTTCACAAGCTTCAGCCAAAGAATGAATGAAGTCATGTATCCAAGCATGGAAGTCCAAGTCGGAATGAATAATGGAACCGTCAAGGTCATGAAACTTTCGCAGTATGGCTACACAGATGGACATCAGCATTTGATTTCTGGAATCTCCATGTCTCCAGTTCAGCGGTTAGTCCAGATTCAATCCTTGGGACCAGGAACAATCATGTTGGGTTTGATAACTTCTCCAAATAGCATTTATTCCAAGAAGTGGAAAAGTGCATTTGTCAAATGCTTTGGATTGATCGATGGTGCAGCCGAGCTTGCTAATGAGTTGTTGGGAAGTAGACTTCCGAGATCGGATCTAATCCACTACGTGGCTACAGCAGCAGCATTGGGATTGTGTCGCGTTGGAAACAAGGCATATATTCCCTTCGCTCTCGTCAATGCTGTTCTTGGTGACAAGCAAAACTACAGCTCTGCATTGACTTACAAGTTCCCTGCATCCATGATGGATTCGCCATACTTCAAGATGGATTTCTCGGGAAAAGGATTATGGAGATTCCTTAATGCTGCTGCAGGAAAGAAAGTCGTCATCAAGGGACCGAAGGAGATGGAAGAAGTTGTTATCCATGGAATGCTTGGAACGCACTTGAATGACTTGAGAGTTGTGTCATGGATGACCGGGATGGACTTCAAGCCGAGGTCAGCTTATCCTTCCTTTGCCAAGAGATCTGAAATGGCCAACAAGGAGATAACACTCCCAAAATTCAAGTTTGTCTTCAAACTCCTGAGTGCCTCTGCGTCTGCATCGGGATCAAGCGGAAAAGGACAGGATTTTAGGTTGCCTGTTTTCGCCGGAAGAGTGCATTCCAAGATTGGTCCCCAGAACAGTTTGTTCCGAATTCTTGAAGAGGAAGGATCAAAAAGCGCTGTTTCAAGTGCAACAGCTGTAGAGAGATTCAAGGCCCACATCACCAAGGTTGCTGAGAGAGTTAAGAAGGCAGGATTCATCAATCTAGGAACTACTCCCTTTTACAAGAACAAAGATGGTGAGGATCCATATGGAGAAGAAGTTGATTTCCCTTCAACTGGAGATTCGTTGTTCTTCCATGGCCGTTGATTTGATCATTTTCATACAGTGGAAATGCATGTTGTGCCTTATTAACATTTTTCTTTTTATGATGGGTGTATGTATAACATTTTTTACTGATTTAATAGAATTAAAAAAAAAACAAAAAAAAAAAAAACAGCCGGTTATAGGTTCTCGGTTATCGGTTTTGATATCTATTATTACAAATAGATTAAAGTTCAAGTCCACAGCTAAAACGGCAAAATCTATAGATGAGAAGTAGTTGGTTAGTTATCTGTAGCAAAATGCAGTTAACACATGACGAGAGTCTACAACGAAGTGTAGACACACAGAAGATGCGCAAAATATATTAAGAATTCTAACTTAAGTTATCTGCAGCGAAGTGCAGTTTTGGAAAAGTCCAAAGAAGTGTAAGAAACACAAAATATGCGCAACTTGAATCCCTGCAGCGTCATGCAGGTTTGGAAAAGTCCAAAAATATCTACATTGAAATGTAGAAGTCAGCTGTTGCGCAAAGAAATCAAAGCTTTGATAAACAGGCCTTCATTACAGGAATGTAGCGAACTACATTTAATGTCTTGAAAATAAGTTCAGAACTGATCGATCAAACAGAATAAATGTTGTATAGAATGTATGAATGAATTGACAAGTAGTTTAGAAATGCATGATTGAATGTTAGGTACCTTACAAGTTCGACTAACATCTTAGGTGTGTAGATAGATTACTAATAAAAAGGAGACAATTTTCGTAAAAATGAAAATTTCATTAAGAAAGAAATTTTCAACAGCTTAATGAATGAAATTATAATCAAAAGAAAAGTTTTGTAAAGAATGAATTTCAATTTAATCCTTTTTTAAGTAGGAACGTCATTGAAAGATCTTCAATGATAGTTCTTCGATGGAAAATTTCCTTGAGTAAAAATTGTTAATTTTAAAAGAATCTTCGAAGGGTATCTCAGTCTATTAATGAGCTGATAATATTGAAACTTAGATATCCCATCCAGAAGATAAATAAAAGACAAAATATGCAGCAAGAGAATTAAGTCTCTTGTAAAAACAATCAAATAAGATGAACAATTGTCTGTAAAAATGCAGCAGTGCTTACAGTTCATCAGAAAGAATTAAAGAAGTAAACTCAATATTTAAAATATAATGGAAAAGCAATAGGAAAAGATTTGAAGAATAAGTCAAATATTGAATTTTAATGTTGAAAGAACATTATTAACGAAGAAGAAAAAAAAAAGTTATTGAGAAAAGCTCAATGACAATGTAAAGTAAGAAGACCGTTCTAAAAGTGTTCTCAAAACTTTAAACTTATTAGAAAGAGAAAATCAATCATAGATTTTAAGAATAATCTTATTAAAGATAGAATGAAATCTATCGTAAACTTTTAGAAAAGATTTTAAGTTTCGGATTTATCAATTAATGAATAAGATACTTATGTTAAACCTGCTAAAAANCGAGCGAAATACGGCTGCCGTGCAAGGCAGTGAGTGTTATTTCCACATAGAATTGTGGAAATAAAGTGTTCTTACTGCCGAGCAAGGCAGTTGAAGAAGTTATTACTGCCGTGCAAGGCAGTTGAAGAAGTTCTTACTGCCGAGCAAGGCAGTTGAAGAAGTTATTACTGCCGTGCAAGGCAGTTGAAGAAGTTATTACTGCCGTGCAAGGCAGTTGAAGAAGTTGTTGCTGCCCGGCAAGGCAGTTGAAGTAAATGATACTGCCGTGCAAGGCAGTTGAAGAAGTTGTTGCTGCCCGGCAAGGCAGTTGAAGTAAATGTTACTGCCGAGCAAGGCAACTGAAGAAGTTACTACTGCCGTGCAAGGCAGTTGAAGAAATTTCTTGATAACTAATGGAAATACAGTGGCACTTAAAGGAACTCAAAACATTTCCACCAATAATGTGGAAACAAAACCTACTGCCGCTTAGAAGAAGCTGCCGTTGCCTAAAAAAAAAAATCTACTGCAGCTTAGAAGAAGCTGCCGTTGCTAAAGAAGAAGCTACTGCCGCTCAGAAGAAGCTGCCGTTGCCTAAAAGAAGAAGCTACTGCCGCTCAGAAGAAGCTGCCGTTGCCTAAAAGAAGAAATCTACTGCCGCTTAGAAGAAGCTGCCGTTATCTAAAAGAAGAAGCTACTGCCGCTCAGAAGAAGCTGCCGTTGCCTAAAAGAAGAAGCTACTGCCGCTTAGAAGAAGCTGCCGTTGCCTAAAAGAAGAAGCTACTGCCGCTTAGAAGAAGCTGCCGTTGTCTGAAAAAAGAAGCTACGGCCACTTAGAAGAAGCTGCCGTTGTCTGAAAAAAGAAGTTACGAAAAGTTCTTATTCCAGCTGGGTAAAGTATTATTTAAATTATGCAAAATCTTTTGGAGACATAATTTTTCTCTTTGTTTACTGCATCAAAATGCAGTAAAATTCAATTCCTCAGCCAAGTGAGGTAAAGTTAAGCAAAAAGTAATGTTTGAAAACATAATTTCCATTATGTTTCCCTTGTTTACTGCATCAAAATGCAGTAAAATTCAATTCCTCAGCCAAGTGAGGTAAAGTTAAGCTAAAAGTAATGTTTGAAAACATAATTGCCATTATGTTTCCTTTGTTTACTGCATTAAAATGCAGTCAAATTTAATTCCTCAGCTAAGTTAGGCAAAGTTAAGCTAAAGTAATATTTGAAAACATAATTTTCTTTATTTTTCCCTTGATTACTGCATTAAAATGCAGTCAAATTTAATTCCTCAGCTAAGTTAGGCAAAGTTAAGCTAAAGTAATATTTGAAAACATAATTTTCTTTATTTTTCCCTTGATTACTGCATTAACATGCAGACAAATTTAATTCCTCAGCTATGTAAGGCAAGTTGAGCTAAGAATAATATTTGAAATTAGATTTTTTTTTACTACACCAAAATTAATTTCCTCAGCTAAGTAAGGCAGAGATAAGTTAAAAGTTATATTTGAATACATAACTTTAGAACGAATACTTTCTGAAAGTAATTCACAGCCCTACAAGCTGTTTCTTTATTTCAAAATGAGTCATTACGACAATGACATTCACAATATACGAAATTTTCCTATCTGCCACAAATTACAAATAGATTAAAGTTCAAGTACACAGCTAAAACGGCAAAATCTATAGATGAGAAGTAGTTGGTTAGTTATCTGTAGCAAAATGCAGTTAACACATGACGAGAGTCTACAACGAAGTGTAGACACACAGAAGATGCGCCAAATATATTAAGAATTCTGACTTAAGTTATCTGCAGCGAAGTGCAGTTTTGGAAGAGTCTACAACGAAGTGTAGACACACAGAAGATGCGCAAAATATATTAAGAATTCTGACTCAAGTTATCTGCAGCGAAGTGCAGTTTTGGAAGAGTCTACAACGAAGTGTAGACACACAGAAGATGCGCAAAATATATTAAGAATTCTAACTTAAGTTATCTGCAGCGTCATGCAGGTTTGGAAAAGTCCAAAGAAGTGTAAGAAACACAGAATATGCGCAACTTAAGTTTCTGCAGCGTCATGCAGGTTTGGAAAAGTCCAAAGAAGTGTAAGAAACACAGAATATGCGTAACCTGAGTCCCTGCAGCGTCATGCAGGTTTGGAAAAGTCCAAAAATATCTACATTGAAATGTAGAAGTCAGCTGTTGCGCAAAGAAATCAAAGCTTTGATAAACAGGCCTTCATTACAGGAATGTAGCGAACTACATTTAATGTCTTGAAAATAAGTTCAGTACTGATCGATCAAACAGAATAAATGTTGTATAGAATGTATGAATGAATTGACAAGTAGTTTAGAAATGCATGATTGAATGTTAGGTACCTTACAAGTTCGACTAACATCTTAGGTGTGTAGATAGATTACTAATAAAAAGGAGACAATTTTCGTAAAAATGAAAATTTCATTAAGAAAGAAATTTTCAACAGCTTAATGAATGAAATTATAATCAAAAGAAAAGTTTTGTAAAGAATGAATTTCAATTTAATCCTTTTTTAAGTAGGAACGTCATTGAAAAATCTTCAATGATAGTTCTTCGATGGAAAATTTCCTTGAGTAAAAATTGTTAATTTTAAAAGAATCTTCGAAGGGTATCTCAGTCTATCAATGAGCTGATAATATTGAAAATTAGATATCCCATCCAGAAGATAAATAAAAGTCAAAATATGCAGCAAGAGAATTAAGTCCCTTGTAAAAAACAATCAAATAAGATGAACAATTCTCTGTAAAAATGCAGCAGTGCTTACAGTTCATCAGAAAGAATTAAAGAAGTAAACTCAATATTTAAAATATAATTGGAAAAGCAATAATTTAAAAAGCAATAGGAAAAGATTTGAAGAATAAGTCAAATATTGAATTTTAATGTTGAAAGAACATTATTAACGAAGAAGAAAAAAAAAGTTATTGAGAAAAGCTCAATGACAATGTAAAGTAAGAAGACCGTTCTAAAAGTGTTCTCAAAACTTTAAACTTATTAGAAAGAGAAAATCAATCATAGATTTTAAGAATAATCTTATTAAAGATAGAATGAAATCTATCGTAAACTTTTAGAAAAGATTTTAAGTTTCGGATTTATCAATTAATGAATAAGATACTTATGTTAAACCTGCTAAAAACGATGCCGATGTATTAGCATATAAACAAAAAGATGATATTAAAAGTAATCTCCACTTCAAGTTGAGGAAATAGTAGCTGCTGCCGTGCAAGGCACCGAACAGATTTCTACGAAGAAATGGAAATAGTTCTTTACCAAGACGCGCCGCATTAAAGCCTTGACGCGGAGAAATACTACAATTAGACAAAACTGCCGAGAAATGCCGAAACAAAAATTTTGCTGCCAACAGAAGTAGCTTGACTGATATCAAATACGAATTATGAAGATTGTATTCACCAAAACAAATAGTGAAGAAGCCGACAAAGAATTACTCATCACCTAGATAACGTCTTAACCATGAGAAGAGAAGAAAGTTTGGAAACATGAAGACTACAAATCAAGGTCGTCAGCTCTAGATGAAAACTTTCGGTTGCGACAATGTCTTTAAACAGAGTTACAACTCATAAGATCCCACTACAATTCAGTCAAACAACGAATACAAGTAATAAGACCAAAAAGTCGCACTAGAAGATCATATTTTCTTTTGGTGCGATACTTTTCAGGTTCATTTTCTGAACCCAAACATCATTTTTATCTTCAACAGATCGAAGTCTAAACTCATTAAAAATGTTTAGATTTCTTAATCACTAAATGATTCAGTAACATGAATCATATCAATGAATAATGAATTATGTATAATATTTTGTAGATAACAACATTGTATATAAACTCAAGTAATATTTTAAAATAAATCAGTTCCTTCTTAGAGTTACAACAAAGTGTTTCTCTCAAATAATTCCCTCAAAAACAAAACGGGCATCTTAGCACAAGCTAGGATGCACCTGTAACAACTTGTATGTCGTTGGCTTAGCCAACAAATGTTTAGATTTGTCTAAAATTAAATTTATTCATACTTTCCTTGTTTTGTGCATTATCATCTGCATATTAGATTTCATGCTTGCTAGCTCTCTATGAATGCATTCAGAAAGACGCAAACATGTAATCAATGTACACAATGAAGTCCGAAATTGAGTTAAACGAGTAAATGTGTGTCATCTAGAAAATTGGAAAGTCCATCAAGTGAGTCTTGAATTATATTATGATGGCAGATCATCATTGTCGAGATTAAATCGAAAATATTTCATTATTCTGTGAGAAAAAGTTAATAAACTTAATGTCTGTATGTGACCCTTGAGGGAATTCCAATGAAAATTACGTAATATGAATAACTTGCATCCAAGAAAAGGCGATGAAATACATCGTAAGTTAATTTCATTAATAATTGTACGAAAGAAATTACATCATTGACATTTCAAGAACCATTTCAGCAACTACATTTGCTTTTTGTAATTAATTATTTTCCCCAATGTATAATTTGTGTGGATGTTTATGTTAGCACAAACATGAATACTCAAATAATTGACTATGAAGGATCTCTAAGTGAATGAACTGATGTTGATGTGACGTTATCCAATTTTCTTTGGTTTCATATTTCTTTTGCTTTTTCAGCTTTTAAAGCAATAATATTTTTAATTTAAATAGTAACATAAAGAGAACTAAGGTGACCTTGTTATGAATATTTTTGAATTGGCTTTCTTTACAATCCTTTCTGTTTTCGTCATAAGCACTTTTCCATAAAAAGTTCATGAAAGAAAATTTCTTCAACAAAAACTGTATGCAAAAGTTTGGATAGAGAATTTTTATTCATGCACATTGTATCATGACTCCTTGCCGTAGTAAAGTTTGTCCCAAGTTATGGTGAATAACTGTTTAATTTAAGAGTTATTTGAATGCTCAGTTTGATTTCTTTCTTTTTTTTTGCTTAAAATATTGTTTACTGAATATTCACAGCAGGAAATTTTTAAAAACTGCTCGTTTTTCTATACAACAACAGCATAAAACATTTCTACGTAAATATAGAAAATAAATTTACATGTGGGTTATGTTTATAAATCAATGAGAACAGTTTTTCCTCTTTTTTTGTCATACAATTGAACACACAACAAAGCAGTGTTTATAAACATATCCACCTACACAAAAGTGATGTTTTTAACAATATCGTTGGATACTTTTGTTTTATCAAACATTATACAATATAACCAAAGATTGCTTTGTAAAATATTTAAAATTCTCTTTTTCAGTCCCAAAAATATTCTGAAATTTTTATGTGAAACTAAAAGAATTGATTGACGTAAAAGAACATTAAATTAAAAGAAATTGCTGCTAATCACTACAATCATCTACAGAATGATAATATTGACAATGAGATAAAAAATTCAAAACTTAACAATTTCATTAAATTCGTTTGAAATTGTCCACGCTTTTATTTATTCGCTTTAAATATAAATAAAACAATTCATGAATAAATTTGAATCAAATGACGAGCCTTAAGAAGAAAAACTTAATATTTATTTCGGAAAATTTAATCATTTCTAACGTGATTTTTCTACGAGCTAGATATCTAAGCCCTGAAAATTCTTTTTTAAGTTATAAATCATCTGATGCCTAACATTATCTCAAGATAGAAATCCTAAAGGGTTTGAATCATAAATTTCTAGCGTGTTGCTTCCGTCTTCGTTTTTGATGATTTAGGAGAGGAAACAAAAGAGAAGAATGAAAGAAAGAAGATAAGAAAAGGGATTTCCTTTCACGGTTGAGATCTCAAATTATTAATTAATGAGAGAAATGTGTAAAACGACAATGAATATTCAACGATATTCTTTTTAAATATGGAGCGTGCATAAATTCCAATTTATGCAAAAATATCAAATGTTATAAACGAAAGAATTATCATTCACTAACGACAACTTCCTCACAAAGCTTAATATATCTAATTTGAACTAACATCTTTTCCTTACATTCCTCTTGATGAAAATCTTCACTGCAAACTATACCCAAAAGATGAACATTTTATGTCATAAAAAATGCATTCAAACTGTGCAAGCTTACAAGCAAACATTAAGGAAAATTTTAAATTATTCATATGATGCTGCATTGCTGCAATGTAAAGAAAAATAAAAATTAAGATTGACTTGTTGTAGGAAAAGCTAACAACTTCATTCAATGTCATTTAGTTATAAGAGCATTCCCATATGCAGATTGAGTTCTTCCTTAAATGAATGAATAAATGAACTGAAACATCGGTTTGGTGTAAATTATCTTCAAATATGCTTCGAAAACGAATAACAATTTAATCAAACGAATAACATTCATCGAATTATCTGCTATGAACTCTGAAATTTTTTATGCTTTCATTTTACTGCTTTTAGAATTAGCCAAGGGCCTCATAAAACATCGCATTAAATTTATTTCACGGAAGATAAAATATTTTCGATTTCATCTTGATGAATTTTGGACTTTTGGAAAGTTACTGATTGGTAGAATATTCTGACATAAATAAGTCATTTAAACTTAATTTCTACATATTTTCTCTTCATTTCAACGCTGCATCAAATGTGAGTTTAATAATCAAAAACATTTGTGTATAGTTTGGAAAACTTTTCCGTTTACACTCGTCTAACTTTAATTAAAACAATTTTACACTCTTGAATGGCACTCAAATTTAACCACAAAAAAGTTCAAGTTTAGACCGGAAACCATTCCGAGCTTTTTGTTTTTGTTATGAAGCACAACAATTGTTTCTATCTAAGCTTTTGTTGGAATACAATTTGAATGCAGCTAAAACCACTAATTCTTATTGCTTAAAATTATAATGCTTTCGCCACAGTCATTAACATGACTTTTTTATGTTGAATGCTACCAATGTATGCTACGTTTTGGTTTTATTCGCCAGAAATGACAGAAACATTTCAGAGTTTTTTTTTCCATGGCTTTAACTATGCATGAAATTGAAGTAAAATGTTAAGCAGCTCTCAAAGAAATGATTTGCTTCACCTACTGGAAAAAGCTAATTTTCTTCAAAAAGTTATATTTTATTCTAAATTTTAATCTAATTAGTCTAAGCGTCTTATAAATTTTTCTCGCTTTTTAACGCTGCCTCGAATGTGTGCGAGAATAGACGCATTACTTTTTAATGGGATTAATGCGACACATATAGATATACGAATATATTTTGATGATACTTCCTCTGCCGATGCTCTCAAAGCTTAAACCGCATCTGATAAGAACAGTTCAGTGATGAAAAGCTCAATGGAAAATTATTGGAAACTTCCAAAAGTTTAACATTCCATTCGGTTATTCTTAAATCCTGGAAATTCCTTCGTGGAAAATCAGTCAGAATCAGAATTCATACCGACAAGACGGATTTTTAAGGCAGCTCTCTTGCTTTCATATTACTTTGTATTCCTCTGGTATAATTAAAAGCAATTAAAATTATTTACTAATGGAATTTAGTTATGATAATTTTAGTATTAAAAAAATTCTCAACGAGTAAACTATTCAAATATCACTTTTAAATAATATGAAAGATTTCCTTGCCGAATTTCCTTTTAGATCTTTAAATATTAAATGAAACATAATATTTTATGCTTTATGCAAATAAATGCCAACATGATGGGAAAAGATATTATAGCTTAACTGAAACAGTTTTTTACCACTAATATGTAACTTTTCACTTCTTGATCATCACTAAAGCATCTGAAGCTTTTATTACAATGAATTTTCACCGACAATAATAAATTTTCTTACCGTGACAAAAGACGATAATAAAAGTTTTATGTTTGCATCATCTTGCGTAGCGTTGCTTTCGAGTTCAAAATCCAGCATTAATACCACAACCAACAAGTTATGCTAGCAATATGCATGGTGTGTGAATATAGAAATATGACGCTGATGTTAGCTGCCATTAGGATGGAAACATTAATGTGGAAAAAAGGAAAACACTTAGACTTTAGCAAAATATTTATGGGAAACTATTTTCCTTCGCTGTCCTTTTTTTCTCCATGAAAATTTATTAGCATGGGAAAATTCACATTTTCTTCTTAATTTCTTCCATTTGTAGCTTAATATGTATTTATTGGAGAATTCAACCCTAGGTAGTCAATTTCGTTGAATTATCAATAATTAATTAAAGTAAATTGCTAAGACGCTTAGGAAAAGATTTTAAAAATCTTTTCAAAAGTATGTTGATGATAATTAAATAAGAAAAATATTTACATAAAAGTCTTAAAGAATCATTATTCAGTTCATGTTTAAGGGAACATAAGACTATTAAAAGCTAATGCACCAAGGAAATGTTTTTCCACCTGATCCTAAGAAAATATACCCTGAAGCAGTCGATGTTGGACCTGTCTGCCCTATAATTACTCAACCATCATAAATTTAGTTTAAGTAAATATTTAAGTTTATTACAATTTGATCGTCTGACGTAATCTTAAAGAAAAAGTTTTGAACTTTCTCAAAAAGGTTGTGACTTTCCAAAGTTGATAAATTATAGCAAATATTTATTCAAGTAAAATCCACTAATAGTTTCGATACAAGAAAAATTAAAGAACTTAAACAAAGAACGTGACATACAATGTCTGGTTTTGCTGAGCTTCTCACATTTATAAACTTGTGCAAACACAGAAAGTTGTTTTAATTTTCATAAATTTTAAGAAAAAATCTTTGTGGTTCGTGCTTCAATTTTTGTCATTTTTAAGTTTGGAAATTGAAAATTTTAAGACTGGAAAATGATAAACAAACATTTCAGTTTTGGTGTTGACATTTTATGTTCAGGTAGGGTTGTGTCAATTTACGAATATTTTTAATTAAGAAATACAAAGAATTAGCACTTCATCTAACACTTAAAAAGTTTAAGGGATTACAAACCTTTTTTAATTCAAGTGAAATGTATTTGATTTCTCTTGCTGCCTTTTAATTTTTTTCTGGTTTTGTAATTTCTTCGAAAGAACATCAATAAAAGGTTGCGCCTTAGAAAACTTTTAATGATCAATTTCAAAGTTCGCCGCATTTTGATTAATAAAATATTGCGCAACACGATTGAGAATAAATCGGTGAAATAATTCGAAACATTCAAAATTGATGAGATAATTTCACGGATTATTGGTGAGGTAAACTTAACATTACAAAACATTTTTCATCCTGTTAGCGTGATTGATATGCAACAAATGATGGCAGTTTAGTGAATAATTGAAATTTAAATTATTTTCGCGTGAACATTCAACGTAGTGGAAAACTGTGCTTCGATGTGGAAAATTTCCCACAATTTGTTTAGTCTTGAAAAAGAGAGAAATTTAAACGAGAAAAAGAAAAAATAACAATGCGTCGATAGGTCCATTGGGCAATAAAATTTTGCCGCTTGTCATATCTACCGAAAGTAATTTTGGGATTGTTTCAGTGTAAATGGAAAGGAAAAATGTCGAAACTTGAGCATTTTAATGTGAAACTTTTTTGTCGTATCAACAACCACAAAATTTCATAGCTTGAAGTTCTAGTAATGGAGTGAAACGATTGTAAAATAACTTTCGTGTGTAATTATTTCAACTAAAGCTTTTGAATGTTGAAACTTTATTTTTCTCTTGTGAAATTTTAGTGTTTTTCTCGCTTTCAGTTTAGTTAATAATCTCGAAGGAGCGATGAATGGGAGTGATGGTGAAAATTGTGAAGAACTTTCTTCGGTTTTGATATAAATTCGTTATTTTTGAAGTTCTGACTTAGTAAAGTTTAGTGAAAGATTTAAAAAGTCTCAAAAGTTTTGAGATTCACTTAACGTTTAAATTTTTCTTGCTGAAATAGTTTGACTGAAGTTTTAAGATACAGTGGAATTTCAATAAACAGATGACTCAAGGGGGATTAGTTTATCAAGGTTATCAGTTAATCAGGGTAATCTTTCATAGTAATTCGATTCAAGGGGGATAAAAAATATATGTTTGTCGAGGTTTACTTGTTTATCGAGGCAACTGTTTATCGAAGTTCCACTGTATCATAGGAAATGAAAATATCTCTTTGTTGATCTTTAACAGATACCAAAGTGATATCTTAATTTGATTGTTTTGTTTTATGAGAAAATCTTATAAAGTGCCAAAGACAGCCCCAAGAAGAAATGAAAACAAGATAACTTACTTCTTGTTGTTCCAACAAAGTTATATTTAATTCACTCTTGTAAGAATATCTGAGTTTGTGAGAGATGTTAAAATAAATAAATATTTCTGTCTCAATTCTTTTTCAACAGGGACTTTTCTATTTCTGACACCATTAAAATGTCTTCATTGTAAAAACAAGCATCAAATAACGTTATCGTTTGTATTAAAACCAAATCTGGTCTTTGATGTTTTTATAAAAGTGTCAAATTCATTTTAGACATCAAAGAAGCAGAAAATTTTTGTTGTGGATTTCCGCAGAAAACTTCAACAACAAAAATGTTTGTCAACCCTTTTCAGTGATTTTTTTTCTCCTCATTTTCATATTACATTTTTCTTGTTGATTATGCGAAGACAAAGAAGTTATGTAAACACATTCCAAGTATGTTCAATTTCTCCTGAAATAAAAATAAATTTTTGTTCTAACGCATAAACGTTTGTCAGGAATCAAACAATATTAGAAATTTAAATTGAATTTCGTTTCTCTTCTCCTAACAACGATGCATACTTACATAGATACAAAAGGAAAGATAGCAGAAGATTGAAGTCAAGGCAAGGAAATATTTGTCGCTTAAAGCTCGTAATTCAATTGAAAATGCCTGCGAATTGAATACGAGAAGAAAAAAAAGTAGAGGAAGTCAAGCCTTGAGAATTTTACCCTTAACGCCCTATTTATACACTCACTTTGAATTTCTGATAAGAAAAAATGTAAAAGAGGAATACGAAATTATTGGAATTATTCGGAATATTTGAGTTCCAAAAAAGAATAAAAAAGGAAACCACAAACAAGGCTATTTGTGAATAAAAAATTCGTTAAACTGCCATTGTTGAACAAGAAATTTGATCTCGTAAAATTTTATTATATTTTAAACATCAGCCATCGGTTTAACTGCTCGTAATGATGCCGTACGCCGTAAATTGCTCGAACTGGTGGGAGTTTCATTACGTCGAAATCGATTGGAAGTAATTCGAAGAATTTCCCTCCTGTTGTGTGTTCCTTTTCAATCCTATAAGATTTTCCTAAACGATCGAAAAATATTTGTTTTGATTTGGCAATTCTAAGAATATCATTAAACGATCGATTTCCTACAAAAATGCCTAAGTCAGTGTTTGTAATGTTCTCAAGCTTCCAACTTTCATCCGGCATTTTTAAAAGTCGTTCTCCGTTTTGTAGATGGTCGTGATAAGAATAATTATCAGTTTTCATTACAATGTGTTCATATTTCCAGTAGTTTTGCGTTTCGTTATCGAAATGCATATGTACAGACGGAATTATGATTCTCAATGGAAGGTCAAAGTCAGATGATTCACGATGTGAATGATTTATGTTATTGGAATTATCAAGCAAGTCTTCGATATTTTCAACTTCATCTGTGTCGATATCGATGACAGGAATGTTCATTAATGATGATGTATCAGCAATCGTGGAATCATCTTCAATTGTGCTTTTAGACTCAACATTAAAATCTCGATCCGCTTCTGTTTTTACTTCCCCTGACAACTGTTCAATGATGTTTGAAGCAAGCAGCTCTGAAGGACAGGCGCATGGCAAATCGATAATCGTCGATATAGTCGCAGCTTTCACATAAGGATGCTGTGCTGAGCTTTATTAATAAATTGACTATCATTAAGGGGCATTTAGAGAGATTGTGAGAAAGATTTTACCTCCATGGCGGCACAACTATAAAAGTCAATTTGCCGCATTGATCCACGACATAAGCATGCAATTCATCGAGGTCTATTACGAAGCCGAAATCGCTAAAATCATCTTCATCAATCACCACAATATCCGATGGAAAGTCTTCCTTCTCAATAAAATCCAAAACGATATCACTCGAATGATCCGACGTGATTACAATGAATTTTTGATCGAGGAAAATCGAAGGCGCTTCAGCAAATCGTTTCGCGAGATTCAGAAATCTTAAAAAAAATCGAAGTTAGAGCTGCATTAAAGGAAATCGAAATGGTACAATTACAAGACGAGTTCACGTTCGTTCGATGTGACATTAACTTTAAATATGACAAGCACGTGATTCTCAAGATCATATCCAGCTAGAATGTCTGTAATGTTTGTTTGGCTGCAAGTTACGCCATCATCAGAAGATGCTTCTTCGTTTGTCGATGATGATGACTTTTTAGTTGTTGTTTCACTTATATTATCGACCTCATAGTTGTTAACTGTCACTTCAAAATATTCACCAGATGCTTCATAATCGAATGTTTCATCTAACCGTTTGTTCATTTTCATTACACGACCTTTCACGTCATTACGAATCAATATTATGATGACGACGAAGCAAATGCACAAAAACTTTGTTTTCATTTTGCAAAAGATTGAAAGTACTTTTGAACAGCTGACGGGGTACTCTTGAAATGAGAGGTCAGCATTTCAGGCAGAGAATAAACATACAAAGCATACATTGCTGTTATCACCACTTAAGTTGTCGGAGACCAGAGAGAATTTTCTGTTTTCTACTCGCTGAAATAAAAAAAAAGAATGAAATAAGAAAAAAAAACGTTAAAGCTAATACTTTATCAGCACAGTAAACAAAAACATTTGCATTCAAGCTGTGCATGGGCGAGGAAACAAAATCCTAATCTTGCTCTTGTGGCATGATATGATGGTAGAAAACTCAGTTTCAGTTATGATTCTATGTTGAGATTTTCGAGTTCATTGTGAGGATTATTCTGAAGTTCTACAAATTGCATTTAATTCTGAGAACAGCAAGGAGGGTTCGTGAAGCTTGCTTAAAGGTAAAAATTTACCTTTTGGTGTATTCCTTAAAACTTTCTAATTGTTCTGTTCATCATGTAAACATTAAATTTCTTTTGAGTTTAAAGTAGGTAATTTTGTTTAATTCCGAATAATTGGAATTTCTTTGTAAACAACAACAATGATGGGTGGCAAAGTTTTGTTTTCTTCTAAACAAGAATAAATACTTACCAAGAATGCTTTAAGCACTTTGCTGAAAAAATGGAGTAAAATAAATTAAAGGAATAAAAAGAAAAGCTAGATAAAGAAGCATTAATGTGACGATATTGTTGATGCTATAAAATGCTTTCCGGTAAGTTTCCAAATTGTCAGTTCGCCATGCGCATAGGAAATAAACTTTTTGAGACATTCCAGTAAGAAATTTCCAAGAAATATTCACTAACAAGACAAGATGTTTAAATATTCCTTGATAGCATCGTCGAATGATTTGGAAATTGGAAAAGTAACGAAGGATTTAAAATCATTTTGAATTGAATTAAAAAATCTTGAGAGATTATAGAACAGTAAAATATTGAGTTGCATGAATATGTTTTTTGCAAGAATCTTGTTACATTTACTGTGAAACTCATTCATGAATGCTATTTAATAATTTTACCCAAGATAAATCAAAGAAACGCGATTTAAAGTTTTAATTGTTCGACCTGATATTGCAGAAGGTTGAGGAAGAATTTCGGAACAACAAAGGAGTTGTTTGTCGTATTAATTGTATTAAATCTAAGTTGATTATGCATGAGTAACTAACTTCAGCTAAAACCCATAAAATAATTTTGATAACGAAACATGAAAGCGAGCATGAAATCGTAGAAAGTTTTTCGTGTTTACTTTCAAAGAAACTTTTTACAAAAAATTTTAAATTTATAAAAATCGCATTTAAAGGAAGAATTGAACGAAGATTTTAAAGCTTCTAAATTAAAGATCAGAAAAAAGTTTTCGATGGAAGTTTTTGGAATTTTTCTCACGTAAATCATTTCACTTCAATGAAATTCGTCATTTTCTTTTTTGTTCTTCGCGATGCTTCTTGTGCATTCCTTGAATTTATTTTTAAAAAGATGATACGACAAAAGGTGATATAAGAAAGTAAAGAGAATCACGTAATTTTATTGATTTTTGATCCAAATATTTATCACATTAGAGATGTCAAGTGAATGCTTGAAAGAGTTTTATTTTCCATTATGCGACAAGATGATATCCATAACCTAATTTCTATTCATTAATTACTGAAGATTCATTCATTTAAGCTTTAGGCTATGGCCTAATTTAAGAAGTCTTTATATAACTGAGTTATGTGAGCTTGAATGAATAAGGTACGACAACATTTAAGGTATCACTGGAAGGAATGTCTAAGAATACTGAGAAATTCTCCACCCACATTAAGCATTCATAGTACGCGGCATATTCAAAACGTTAAATTTGATCTAATCAAATGGAATAAAAGAGCGAAAACTGTGATAAAAATAAAACATTTCCTGTTCACTTCCTTTGCCTGTATTTGAAATTCATTCCCTTTTATTCTCCGCTAGAACTAAGTTATTCGTAAACAATCAGATACACAAACAGTTTCTCATTTACACAAGTTCACTTCTTCTCCTGATTCAATTAACTGAAACGTTAAACTATGCAATGAATGAGAATCCATTAGTGAAAACGATGGAAAACAACAAGAAGAAAGACTAATTGGAGGACACAGATAGTTACACATTAAAGAAACTGAGCGAGTAAGTTGAGTGAATGATTCAAGATGCTATCAAGCAATAGTGAAATGGAAAAACATTTTCTGATAAATTTTTTATTGATAAACATCGTAAAATTTATGAAACCTTAAAGTTGATAGTAAAATGTGTTGTCAAACTCATTGATATGCTAATGTCAAAAGACAAGTTTTGTTTTGCATCTGGTGAAGCAATTTTCTTATTTTAAACATTCATCGACACTCGACATCATAAGTGCAACTCTGATTGGAATGATAATTTGAAATTTTCTGTAAGACTGTTGGTAATCTTTCAACTCTTGCATGGCAGATGTTTTTGAAATGGAATTTATAAAATCAATTCATGTATCACAAAACAACAAAATTCGATATGTTTGACTGCACCATCAGTTGGAATCTCATCTTCTAGTTTCTCTTAAGCGAATTCAAAGGAATCTACAGTCGAATCGCTATAAGTGGAAGCTGAAAGGGGTGGGCATGTATGGAGCTTTTTCTTCTTTTAGAGCTTCCACTTATAGAGAGTCGACTGTAACTTCATTTTCTTCGTATTTCAGTTGAACATCTTGCAATTAATCTTTCATCATAACGATTCACGACAATAAAGCATTTCAATGTTGTAAAAAAATTAATTTTAATGTAATTTTAACTTCTTTCATGTCAATTATTTTTATGAATGAAAAATTTCATATGAAAATTCAATATGTTGAGTGCTTTTGAGCTTTACTGTTTTATGTATAAAAATAGAACATTCATTAAATTCCCATCTGATATGCGTGGATTGAATAGATTCGATTAAAAAAATAAAAAGGAAAATTGTTGGCAGGAGAACCAAGAAGACAATCAAGTTTCAAATTGCAGGGGTTATAAAAGGGATTACTTGTTGAAAACAAATGATTTTATAATTTAAATACGAAGTTAAGCTCTTCTGAATTTATGTTACACCAACCAACTTTCATTTTGGAACAAGAATCACTTGGTAGATAATAGAAAAGGGAATCGTAAATCACAGCACGTTGACGGATCATACAGCAACAGTATGAAGATGGAAAATTTTCAATTTAAACTTGAAATTGATCAATTTAAACTTTTAACGATTTTTCATTCAATGGCGACACTTGCTGTCGTTCTCGTTTCGATCCAAAGCAATGAAAGTTCATTAAAATATTTTTCGACTCTTACGCATAAATATCTTGTGAAAAGTTCATTACTCAACAGTGCGTCGAGATAACAACATTCCTTGGGAAATTGCGTTGTTTCTGAGCAATGTTGCTGTATCCATAAATTTAAAATTCTATGTTATCACGAATGCGTGAAATTATTCTCGTATTAATCTTCAAATTGACATCAGGCGACGATTTATCAAGCGTTGGATGCCTGGAACATTCTCTCTCTGTGTTTTATTTATGTTAGTGATTCTCCGCATTAATCGTTAATGATTTCATGATTGTTGTTTGCTGCATACATCTCAATTTCTCTATTAACTTCCATTTAATTAAATAATAAAATAATAATTTTCATTTTTTGATTAAAGTTCTCAGAACATCTCAGAAATTTCTTTTTAACTTGGGAAATGAAAAGGAAAATCTGATTAAGTTATTTGATTTCAAAAGATCAGGAAAGGTGCTGCGATTGCTTTTTTTCCTTCCTCCTCTACTTAGATATTTAAAATTCAAATAAAAATTCTTCTCATCGTTTGATGCTTAAATTTGTCCCAAATGACAGGATGGAAGAAGGAGAAAGAGAGAAAGAAACCAATTAAATTGGAATTAAAAATCGGTTTTCTGATAAATAGCGTAAAAATGAATCTCCCACTGTGCGTCCTGGACCTTGGCATTTTTGCTGTCTTCTCTTCCTAACTGTTCATTGAGATGAGGGACAAAATGTCTTTTACGTGCCAAACGATAAATTGAAGCTCTACGTTCATCCCTGTCCCATGACTACATTCGAATTCGTGACAGAATTTTAAAATATTGTTGAAAATAATATATCAGAAGGAATGAAATCCCATCCCAATGCATCACCATTATGGGAATCGAATGCTTTCATTTGACTCATTAAAAACTTGAGATACTAAGTTAAGTTATCTGTTATGAACACTGACAATGTTATTGATGTTAATCAAACTCTTTTACTTATTATTTCACTATAAAAATGAAGGAAGTTTGTTGACAGTACTCAAGTTATGAAGTGAAAATTGTAAACTTTACTTTTTCTATCATCCTCCAAGTCAACAACGAAAATATAATTAAAAAAGTTTTCATGAACGTGACACTCGTTGATGTACTTTAAGATGTAATTTGTGAAGTCTCTAATAATACTTAGATTATGGTCAAACTTTTGTCTTTACACACTTGTTGCAAGAAAAGAATAACACTTGTTGTTAGTTAAATCAAATTTTAATTCAAGTCTGCTGTTTGAATGAATCAATCTTCATGGAAATTCCGATATTAGAATTCTCCGCTTCTTGACTTTTTGTCTTTAACAAATCATGTAAATTCGAATTTCGAAATCCCTGGAAAAGCTTCTGAATTTGTAAATTTAATTTTGTTCACATCTTTAATTAAAAGAAATTTAAATTTTTGGAAAATTTATGATGAAGAATTAATAATCATGCCTACCTAGCCAAAGAACTTTAATGACGACAAATCATTGAAAACATCGACATTGATAGTTTAGTTGAAGTTCCTAACTAAATTCAGACTTTCTACTTTGTTGAATTTATGAAATTAAATTTGTAAATCTTCTCAATGGAACATCAATTTGCATCGTAAACAATTAAATTTGGAAAGACTTCTGCAATGCCATGAAGCATATAACTAACGCCTCGAATATTATTCTAATTCAATGCCTTAATTAAACAGACTGCTGATGTTTCTAACATATCTTCAGGACTATCTACGAAAGCTTCATCATTCACAAAACAAAACTTGAAGCTTTTATTGCATTGCCATGGAAATATTTTGAATTTTTGATTTCACATGTTAGTGCTTCATATTCAAAAAGTTCCACTTTATCTCCCTCGTCAGAGTGCAAAGAATTCCACCAACAATGTTGAGAATGAAGAAGACAGAAATTGCTTTCCTGATACATAAACAATTTGATATCATAACTAATTAGAGTAAAAAATTTATGAATGGTTAATTTTTGCATATTTTGATTTTGATAGTCAATAACTTTTTTTTCTTTGGGTTTTTCCCTATTTTTAAGGTTTTAAAATATCAATCAACTTAGCAACAGTTGATTGATATTTAGAGAAAAAATATGCGACGTAAACTTTCGGCACACGAAAGTGAAACGTAAAAATCTAATTTGGACATCTAAAATCAAATGTGGACAATTGCTCGATCGTTTGTGGACAGTGTTTAAACTCGACAACAACGTTTGAAAAAAAGTCATTTGTATTGAAAAAATTAAAAATACTAGGAAATTAATAAAAATACTGTCGACGGTACATTTAATTGATAGTAATTCATGTTTATGATGTAATTCCGATGTTTTAAATCGATAATTATAATCATTTTAGGAATGCTCACTTTTTGAAAATTATTTCACCGTTAGATTTTCAAATGTGGATCCATATAAAAATTGTGTGTCCACATTTGATCTAAAAAATGTATGAGCTATTTATTTAATAGTTAATTAAATACAAAGTGTTGTGAAATATTCTTTCATCAATTCACTTCTGCACATAATTTGCTATCTTTTTGTGTATTTGGAATCGTAAAATGATTAAAAGTAGTGTTATTTTTCGCTTCTCAAACATTTGAAGCGAGAAGAAAAAATGGCGGTTTTCGGAACAGATTTTTTTTCATGAAATTAATTAAATTATTTTGTGGAATTAAACTNTTTAAATAAATTTTTAAATTAGAAGCAACATTAGATGTGTTCCTTATTTTATAACACCATAATTTCTGTTGCGGGTCATTTCTTTTTGAGATATAAAACAGAGATAAACAAATTTAAGGCGCAGAGTATCGAATTAATAGTCGTATCAAGGAGAAATAGAGAGATTTTGTAGGGAATGAAGAATGTTGTGTTTGACTCTAAGAATCATGAAAACTAAATTATTCATGAAAGGTGAAATTAATTTCCAATGTAAGAATCTTACTGACAAGTTAAAGTCAAATTTTCACGCGTAAATTATTGTATAAAACTAGTAACAGACTTCAAACACATTTTATGTAAATATACTAGACAAACATTCGTTCTACGTGTGCTTACATGTCTTCAACACATTATTAGCAATGTTTTCAATTACATACATATTATACATTGATGAAACAAGATATCGATAGAAATTGTTTAATTCATGCCTTTTCTTTTGATCATAAGCTTTACTACATCTAATTGTTAGCGAAATAATTTTAAATAATTGTTCATTCGTTCATTTCATTTAATTTCAAATAAACTGACTCAGTTCTATTCATCAGTGCAGTTTTTTAACAGCACCTTTTCATGCAAAGCCTTTTCTTCAATAACTGAAAGGATCCAAAAGAGACAAGATTGATGCTTTTGTTTTCAGTTAATTCTACATGTGCTTAAATTTAAACGAACCTCATGCAAGTAACAAACAGATGATTATTTTGTACTGTCATACTTATTAAATTTATTGACATGATAATGACGCGTTTTATTGTTCATTTCGAAAACCAGACATTTATAAAAGAAAAGGAATTTTCAATATTTTGTTTTCTTTACATTTGATTTTCGACTATCTTTATAAAATGATGTAAGGAGATGTGGCATGGAATACGCACTTATAGCTTAAAAGAAATCGTCATACATCGATATTATTAAAACTTTGCATCAGTTAATCAATTAAATTGTTAATTTATATTTTCAGTAGAGTAAAAAATTTAAGAATTTCCTATTTTTAGGGTTTTAAAATATCAATCAACTTAGCAAGAGTTGATTGCTATTTAGAGAAAAAATATGCGATGTAAACTTTCGGCACACGAAAGTGAAACGTAAAAATCTAATTTGGACATGTAAAATCAAATGTGGACAATTGCTCGATCGTTTGTGGACAGTGTTTAAACTCGACAACAACGTTTGAAAAAAAAAAGTCATATGTATTGAAAAAAATAAAAATGCTAGGAAATTAAAAAAAATATTGCGATGGTACATTTAATTGATTATAATTTATGTTTAAGATGTAGGTAATTCCGATGTTTTAAATCGATAATTTTAATTATTTTAGGAATGCTCACTTTTTGAAAATTATTTCACCGTTAAATTTTCAAATGTGGATCCATATAAAAATTGTGTGTCCACATTTGATCTGAAAAATATATGAGCTATTTATTTAATAGTTAATTAAATACAAACTATTGTCAAATTTTTTTTCATCAGTTCACTTCTGCACATAATCTGCTATCTTTTTGTGTATTTGAAATCATAAAATGATTAAAAGTAATGTTATTTTTCGCTTCTTAAACATTTGAAGCGAGAAGAAAAAATGGCGGTTTTCGAAACAGATTTTTTTTCATGAAATTAATTAAATTATTTTGCGGAATTAAACTTATTTCAAGGCCCATTGAGTAGCCTATAATGAAATTTGTTAATAAAACTTTCAGCAAATATTTTTTTTTATGTTGAAAAATAAATTTTAACGCCTAAAAATTGATATCTTAGGTGTCCAAATTAGATTTGTCCACAAATGATCAGTGTCCAAATTACATAAATAACTCTATAATTAATATTTTTGGTTTCCCACATTTTAGACAAATCACTTTGAATGTTTAAAGCTTGGTATTTAAAGTATGAATGAATGTGGAATCATTCCCCGAAATTATATTACAATCGCTTATCCTCAAAAATTTCAAAGTTCCGATAAGACAAACACAAAAATTAAAAGCAAAACAAATTTCATTCAACTTTGATAAAAATCTTTTCAAAATAATTAAATTCATAGTATTTTGTTCTAGTATATTTGATCATTAAGTATCTTCAAACAATTAATTTATCTCCTTTTGTTTAATTAAAGTATTGTCATTTAGGAAGCTTGAGCAAGAACGACTCTTTAGTTCATTCAATTTCGTATTTAATTATGGATTGCAACGAGTAAATTTCCTTTAAAAGCTTTCTGTATCTTCCCATTCCTTATTTTGCATACCTAAATAATCTCTTTAAGAGAAGAATATTGAAGAAATTCCTTCCATGAAATTGTTGCTTCTTGCTCTTGCCTTCAATGAACAAGACAAAAAATATATCCCTCGAAGGCGAAAGATGTTCAATGATGAACTTTTCTACTTGTTATATTGACTCATAACGATAAATCTCAAAGATAGTAAGATGTGCATCAGAGGAAGCTAAAATAGAATGAAACGTAAGCGAAGTAAATTTTCCTTCTTTCAAAGGAAACAATAAAAAACATTAATGATACAAGAAGCACTTAAAGAAAGGAAAATTTCATTTGAAAACCTTTAAAACTTAAAAAAGAAAACGTCTTGGTGGTTTTACAAATCAATGCCAGCGAGGCGTGGAAAAAGAAAGAACAGCAAACACTTTCAACGTCTACTGCAGAATTCATCCCTTGAGGGCCTTTCTCATATGCTCTCTACCTGAGCACAAAATCTTCTTCTGGTGGTAATTGTAAATCCAAGGTAAATTGCGGAAATCTCTATTGATAAATATTAAGTATTTCCAATCCCAAAAAGTGAACGCAACAAACATTCTTAATCGGGTAATGTGGTTTCTCCCTAATGCTTTGTTTTCACAAGACTTGTAATCTCGAAGCTCATTAATTATTACTTTAGTAGATATCTTATTGGTTGAAGTAAGGGAGAAGAAAAAAAATTGTCGGATTATTGCTTGCGTGAAGTAATCCTTTGTAAGGTGAAAAGCTCATATCTTATCCACAAAATTAAATGTCATAGAAAGACTTTTTTTTCCCTCTTAAGATTAATATTTCTACGACAGGTTTCTCTGTTGGTCTTGTGATTTCCATAAATATCCTCAAAATCTCATTTCATCGTCATTCTAGTTTATTTCCTTTTATAGAATGAAACACTAACAAACGACAGAAGAGTGGAAGAGACAAAGAAAGAAAGAAAGAGAGAGAGGGAGATGAAAAAGGTTGAAGATTGCCATCGTCTGATAGTAAACAGTTGAATTTATTGAATGGAAATTTAATGAATTGGAACCTGATATCTTGTGTCTTGTGCTTCGTTAACGGCATTTGCGATTGAAGGAAGCTGGAAGCGATTTCAAGTTCACTTAACTATGCAAGCAGAAAGGAAGAATCGAGAAGTTTGAGGATGAGAAAAAGGAAAATGTTTCTCCTCTGGCACATAAATTCCCAATCTTAAGGGCCATAAAATGAAAACCATTAAGTTTTCCTACCGTAGGAAAATTGAAAAGTTCACGAAAATTAATTAAGAAATTGTCTTAAGAAGGGTAGAAGAGACGACTCAGTTTACATGCTAAATTTTGAGTTCAATTTTTTGTTTAAATAATTGATCTCTTCATGTAAGTAGCAGAAAGAAGTTGTAAATAATATCTCAACATAAAGATTACTCTTCAATCACACCAAGAAACATCTTCAATTGAATTCTGTTGACAGCTCAGTTAATGTTCGTTGAGTTTTAAACTTTTTTTTTCTTTTTCCGCCTTTCGTTTACTTTTGATTTATTGCTTTGTTTATTTAAACGTCCGCATTTTCTAATGCTTTTTTATGTTCAACTCTAAAACGAACTTATTTCCTCTTCTGAAAGTCAATTTTTTATAATGATTGATCCTTAAAATTCTTTGTGAGTGCTTTTTAATTTGTACTGAAAGTTGAAAGTGATATTTTAAGCTTTACATAATTCTATAAAATATTGTGCAACATTTTTAAGTTTGTAGCAATAAAGCAACACCAGCCAGAACCCATTTTGCAGGCTTATCTTTGGTCTTTAAATTGAAAGTCCAAATGTATGTTGGACCTCGACTTCTTGTTTTGTAAACAGGGCATTCGTACATATTTCTGTTGTCTTGTTTATCTTGTGTAATAGCTCGAATGTTAATGACTGGCAATGGAGGATAAAGTTCCTTCAATTTTGAATCTGTAATGATGCCTTGTGCTGTGTCCCATCTTGCGCCTTCCATAAATACTCCATAAACATAAGCTCCGTCGCGTGGCGCAGTTGTGAAATCTTCCTTCTGCTTCTTAGTGACATCACAAAAAAGACACATTTTATCCAAAGGTAATTCAAAACGCCGCGCAGTCGACTGCATAATTGCTGTAAGCAAAGATTGTGGGTTGAAGAAACCAGCTAACCATACACAAATTGGTAACACAAAGTCACTCGACCACGCTTCAAGTTCACGAAGTCGCATCACCAAGTCAGTGAACCATGACGATAATCCAAGCAGAGATGGATAAGCTCTTGCTGTCCAAATGGCCGGAACTTGATCGAGAAATAATGAATTCTCCAGCTGTTCCATGTCACTTGTTATCGTCAATTCACCCTACATATAAAAAATTGTTTACTTCGATATTTTTTAAATTGATATGTGATTGACCCGAAACCATTTATGTACCTTTAATCCTAAATCCAATTCTCTGAGGCTTCGTTTGATTTCCGATGTTAAGTAATTCATTCTTTCACATTCCTGAAAGGCAACAATGACGTAAGGTGTCCGTTCTTCGACCTTCCCCATAATCTCAGTCATGTTGTACTCTTCGGGAAGTTTCTCAAGAATCTCATCGAGCATTTGTTTAACTTTATCTTCTCGAGTAACTGTGGCGCCGCCAGATGCTCCAGCATCACTGTTGTTATTAATTGGATATTTATCTAATGCTTTAAAATTAACTAGAAATGCTTACCGAGGTTGCATTTCAAAAACTGTTCGAAACAAATTTTCACTGGTGGTCGTTAGGAAACCAATTTCAGCATTGGGATGAAGTCCATACAAATATGGACTTTCGGGTGGCATCGTTTCATCAATGTAATTGTGATAGCCTTGATAATCAGTGTTGGGTGGAGCGGGAAAGCTCGGAGCAAGATAAAGTTCGCCATCAACTAAATCTGGTTGCATGTATCTGATTGAAAGGAAAACTTTTCAATTAAACTCTTAAATTTCAATGAAAAACTTTAATTTACTCTTCCAAATAAGTTATGCACAATCTCCGGTCCCAATCATCTGTGATGTGACCGCCGTACATAATCTCACCGAAAAGATATCGCAAGTCTTCCCATGGCACTTTTGCATTTGCTTCCAGATAGTTATATAGAACAGAGACGCTGATATTTAAATCGCCTGAGGTTGAGAGAAAGAAAGAAGACAAAGTTTAAAAAGAGAAAATTGATTCCATTTAACTTGGCAATGTAATCACGGATAATCTTACCGACATTGAAGGGATAAATTTTATTCCATCCTTGGGGACCAAACTGTGAACCAAACACACACAAAATTATAATAAAAAATGTGAAAGAATTCAAATAATTTTTGGTAGAGCAAAGAAGAACTCACTTTGCGACGTTCTGCGACAACGGCATGAAAATAACACAAAGAGAACAAAATCACTTTGAACTCCGCTTCCTTGCCACACATTTCGAGAGTTTCTTGTGTAAAATTGTCAAAAGCTTTGTGAATGTTCGCTTTTATTCCAGTTGGTGGTTCGTTTGTGATTTTAATGCTTGATTCAAGAATTCCCTGAGGAATAATATGAGCGGCTGCTGTTGCTGCCGGTTCAGCACTAATAAACACCCGGTAGTTGTCATGTGAACCTTCTGAATAATATTCAAGTTTCTTCTCCAATGCCGGCAACCATTTACGCACCAAATGAATGTTCTTGGTTAATATTAGTATGAGACAAACATAAATAAGCAAAATTCTTAATGTCGTCACTTTTATGTTGTATAAAAATACCTGCAAGACGACCCAATGACCTTTTGTCGCTCCTTCATCCATCGCAACTTCAGCGACAACCTCCTGACCTTGACCGAGAGAAACATTATGAAAGTTTCCGTTATCTTCAGTAAATCCAAGCTGCTTTCCAAGCTGTTCAACATCTTTCAATGGATTAACACCGGGGGATAGGATAAAGAATATCGGCGTACTTGGCGACGCTTCTTCGAAGGACTTTGCAAACTCCATTGTTCGATTCTTTACATATTTTGATCCCAGTTTCTCTTCGATGAAATCTCTGAAATGAACATTTTAAATTGCATAAACATCGAATTGAAATTCAAGTGACTTACGTCAAAGCGTAACACATTCTGTCGGGCCTCAAAGCTCTCATCATGCAAAGTCTCTGCAATGGTGTTTTATTTTTCCATTCTTGTGGAAATTTCTCACGCTCAGGACATTCCGATTCAATAATCTTCTTCCATCGGTTTGCTTGATTCTCTATATCCCGATCTAAGTTACGAAATTCTTCTTTTCCTGACAAACTACAAATGCCACCCCAAGCATAATTCGAAATAAAATCGACGGGTGATGTAACGTGAGGTTTTACTGGAAATCGGAGCAGAAAATCCAATTCCATGGGAGTGATTTCTTCAGATATTAATAGAATCTGTGGTGAAAGACAAATGTGGTAATAAGAATGTTACAAATAGTCCCTTACTCAATGTCGGTATGTTTATAAAAACCTGAAAAGTCATTTGCGATGAAAATATAAGCTTATCGCACTCAAACAGGCCTCGTGTTGTGTATTGAAATACTGAAAATGTGATACAATCAATCAGCTTGTTGACACGCTCTGCAACACTTTCATCGCCAACAAACTCTGCACGCAAAATCGCATTTTGAAAGACCACACTGAAGGCTTTCAATGAGAATTGATAAATCGGATTAATTGCATTCAATTCATTGAGAATAAAGTAAAGCAAACTGGCGCGTGCAGCAGCTGGTCGATAAATTTCACGTGCTACATCGATTTCCACAGAAGTGACTTTCGCTTCGGCCACTTTCAGTTCAATTTCAGCAGCTGTTTTCTTCGTTGTTTCTAAATTCTCAACCAATGCCGTATCTCCAAGAATATTCTCCCCAGCTGACGATAATCGACTCAACAAATCATCTTCTAATCTATTTAACATAATCTTAAAATCATTCTGCTGTTTCGTTAAATCAGCTTTCAATTCTTCCAGATCTGGCCGTTCAGCTTTCACGACTTCAGCAAGTAATTGATCTTCTAATCCATCACGTGTCACCGTAAAGTTTATTAAAGTTGTTTGTGCTTGCATTTCTGGTTTGTAATGTGGATTAGCAAGTTTCGTTTGTAATATTAATCGGAAATTTGGATTGTATTCAACTTCTTTGTCACCAATTTTTATTGCTTTTCCTTTCTTGATTAAATTTCGTCCAAGGAGTGGATCAAGTACTGGATCAATATTCTCATCAATGTTTTCAATTAACACTGTATAGCCTTTGATTAAGGAATTTTCAATACTTTCTAAATAACCTTTTTGTCCTAGTCTTATGACCTGCAACTTTTCACCATACTTTTGTTTAATCCATTTCAAACCCTGTAATTGTGGATCAATCATCAATGGCCAACGATCAGAGTTTGTCAAAATTGTGGCATTTTCAGTTGACATTCTGTCACTTGGTAATCCCTCGTTGAACCAATGAGCGATTGTTGTTTCATCAGTTAAAAGTCTTAATGGATCGACTGTGTCGTTGATAGGGATTGGAGGTTCAAGTGCACGCAGATGTGGCAACCACATCTTCATTAGTAAATCTTGACGGAAAGATTTTGTGAAACATCCAACATAAGAGATGAAAGCTGTGACAAGAAGAATATCACCAGGAAGTGTTGTGCCTTGTTGCATGAATCTGTTAGATAAAATGTATGAAGGAAAGAATTATTATTAATAAACTAAAATGAAGCAAACTTACTCAGCAACAGCTTCAGCCCAGCGAACATTTTCCGATGCCAAGCCACCAACAAGTCGATTGGCAAGTTGAATTGTCGCTTGTGTGGCATCTGCTTCTTGTTGACAACGCAATTTTTCAGCTGTTGCTTTTTCAAAATCTGCTGTTAGTTTCGCGAGTTGTTCTTCCAGTGACGTCACTTTCTGTGTAATGACCAATAGCTTATCTTGTGCTGCTGCCAACTCTTTATGAATATGAAACGAAAGGAAAATTAAGTAAAATAAATCTCAGTGAAAATGCTTCATTAATAATTTACCAGCATTAGCAGCTTCAAGTGCACGTCGTTTCGGCTCAACATCACAATAAACCTCATAAAACTTGATAATGTTTATTACCCAAGCACATAAGCCAGCAGCTGCTGCTGATTTTGATCGAACAAACTCTGGTTCGAATTCGGGATTCTTCAAATATGGTTGAATGGCTTTGATGATTTCCGGATGAATGTTTTCCTTGTCATAATTGATTAGAGCATCTAAGAAGCCATCAACTTTCGCCATAACAATCTTTGCTGCCTTCCATGAACGATCTTTTGGAACTTTTCCTTTTGGTGCAAGTAAAACCATGACACCAGCAGTGACGTTCGTGACGACACCGGGTGGAGATCCAAAAGACTTTAACTCAGTTAAATTTGCTTTGTTGAGAGTGTTTAAAGCTTCTTGAGCTGCAATCAGAGCTGGTTCAGCTTTCACCAAATCTTCTTCACAATCTCGTTGCTTTTTCGCAACTTCTTCAGCAATAAATCCAACTTTTTTCTCTTCTTCGTCAGCAAAAGCTTTTTCGTTTTGAACCTTTTGCGTCTCAATTCCAACAATTTCTATAAGCTTATCAGCAGCCTCATTTTTTTCCTTCAGCTCAATTTCTTGAATGGCCAGCTTCGACTTTAATTCATCAACTTGAGCTGCTGTTGACCGAAGCTTATCCAACCCATTTTCAAGACGAGAAACTTTTTTATGAAGTTCAGAAAATTTCTGTGTTAACAATTTTCCGTATAAGCTTATTTGTTCAAGATATGATTTGGGTGTTGTGTAGTTATACCGACGTTCATTCTGAAGGTAAACTTTCGACGTTGAGTTGACACTTGTGTGAGCGTAAGACATAAATCTTTAAAAACAATGAGAATTAAAGAGTTTTTAAAGTATTAAAGTTTCTTCTGTCTGCTTCATTCATTATTTATCTGCTTCTTACCTCGCAACAGTTTCTTTATATTCCAATGGAAGAATATCAAGATCTTGAAGAAAACGCTGTGCAACAGAAATCAAAGCTTCTTGAGGCCATTCGTGGAACCAATTTATTTGTGTACAATTGATGATGGCTGGAAACTTTCTTGATCTAACTCTTAGTGTCGAACCGACAGGCGAAAAACAAAGAACAACTTTCATTTGACGTCTGACACGATCAATAAAAAACTTCCAACAATTTTCTCTGGTGTCAACTAAACCGGCACCTTTAACTTCGTTTCTTACACCTGCTAAGATATTCTCAACTTCATCGTCTGGAAATAAGTCTGGCACTTCTCCAGATGCTAACAAATCATTGATAAGAACGAGAAAATGTTCATTGGGTATTTGAGCGTCTGTCATTAAGAACATGATTCCAACATTTTTCATTCCAGACTTCAAATACAAGCCAGCCAGTTCTTTCTGAAATATTTCAAGTAATCCTAAAGTGTTTGTTCAATCGAAACTTTATTCTTATAGATACAAACCTTAAGGTCAGGAATCCCATAACCCTTCTTCAATTGAATTTGCGAAACTTCCAAACTTGAAATGAAAGCCGCTAGCCTTGATAAAGATTGTTTACCACTTCCGCCCACGCCAACAAGGAGAGCATTGCCTCTTGGTAACTCAAGAATTCTGTTGATACGACAAACATGATTCATCGCGTCTTCGAATAAAACCAAATTCATTGCTGCCACAATGTCATTATAAGCCACCATCGCTTCTTGAAGAAGTTTCGTGAGAGTTTGCCAATCAGGTATTGGCATGTATTTAGGTTCACCAATGCCGCCAGAAAAGTGACAATAAATATTCGGCTTATCAAACACGATTGACTCATCCAACTCTTCAAAACTCTTTTTAACGATATCAGTTTGCATTTTAGTGAAACCGTCAATGTCTTTGTCGTCAGTAAACTTATCACCATAAACGCGATGTGATTCATGCATCCATAAACGAACCACGTCGCTTACTGATGTCAAACATTCATTTGTTGAGAAAAGCAAACCTTGATAAACATTACTCATGTCACGGAGATTAAATATGTAATGAAACTTAACAGCGGTGGGAAGGAAAATTTGTGCAACTTTCGCGTGCAAAGCCAATGACGCTGAAATAACTGAATTTGTTAATTTAGTGACACAGACATTGAATTTCTGTTCAGCGTTTGCGTAATGTTGCGATAAGATTGACGAGTAAATCATTGTCAGTGCTTCTTGACCTGGAAAGCAAATGGCAAATACTGCAAAATGTCTTTGTAGTCGAGGGTTGATTGTAAAACTTCCAGATGTTGGATTCATACACGACACATATTGACAATTGTGAATATCCTTGAGAGTTAATCTGTTGCGGTCATACCAATGACCATAATCGAGATGTTGACGAATGACAGTGTGTGGGCTGACAGTTCCATATTCATCAACTTCCGGCATGTTCATGTCATCGACAAAATAAATCATTGTTTTGGTTCCAGGCGGTCCATAATTTCTTCCAGCTTTCTTTTCAAGAGGTTTTTCTAAGACTTTCTGCAACATTTCCGATGTCGTGTAGAAATTGAACGGGACATTTGTTATCGCATAATTATCTGACAATGAACTGAGTTTGTCATTCACAAGAACTGTTTTGCCACAACCAGCATTTCCAACAAGCATCACCGGATGTTTGACTTCTAATAACATGTCAAGAAAGAATCTTACACGGATTGATTCCGATGTATGAACGAGAACAGACTGCAATGGAGTGTCACAATCCATTTCAAACTTTGGCAATTTCTCAGTCCATGGAATCATCTGCTTTGAATCTTGATCAATGAAATAATCAAAAACTGTTCCTTGTGGTGGAAATTTAATCGATTTAAATTCATTCACAAACCATTTACTGAATTCAACTCGATGATCAACTGCTTGATCTTGAAACATTGCCGATCCAAAAGCCCAAATACAAGCGAAAACGAAATAAATTTCATGCCATTCCTTCGGACAATCTACTGGAACATTCGATGGGATGAGAAGACATTCCAGAAGATGACAAAGAAGTTGGATGTGAGCCATTTCTACAATCGGCGTCACTTTCTTAAATCTTGTTCTGACACTTTCAAGACACGATGGCGTGTATTTATCAAAAAGAACCACAAGATTTGATTTTTCAGCTGGAACTGTTCTCGTCTCTATCCAACTAGTCACATAAGGATTCCATCCCAGATCTTGTGGATTGATGTAAAGAATGCCAGCTCTTGACACTGTCGCTGGTGTTGCAGTTCTAAGATTTGAAATTTCAAAAAGAAGTCGCATTGTTGGTGTCAAAGCAATTCGTTCATTACTCGCTAATGTCAAAACTCGGTTGTCATCCATCACAGTGTTGAGCGATTCAATCCACATGGGATCAATGTCACCGTCGAGGATAATCCACTTCGGATTGTCACCAGTTAAAGCTGCTTGATCTCTCATAATAACTGAGAATAATCCGTCTTTCCACTCACGAGTTGTCGGATTTATGATACCGAAAAGTTCATCATTTGTTACTGCTTTTGGATTCAAATCATTGAAAATTGGCTTCTTCGATATGTTCTGATAAGCTTTATGAAGTGTTTTCCAAACTTGTGTCTTTCCCGTTCCTGCACTTCCCACAATGAACACTGAGTGACGAACTTCAAAAAGCTCTTCAAGTTGCACAACTTTCAACACAAAATTATCCTCGGCTTGAAGTTTCAAGTCAGTTGTTGCTTGTTTCACGACTTTCTCAAAATCAACGTCACGTTTTCGTGGAACGTCAAGAGCTGGAAAAAGATCGCTTATAAGACCAATAAACACTGGCATGTCATCTGTGACAATCTTTGGTATGTTGAAATCTCTTAAAGCTCTCATAAGGACTTCTTCTTCAGGTCTCCCAGGGTCACCACGTTTCAAAGATCCAGCCACAACTAACACAGATTTAATCGCTCTCAGGCCCCAATCGTAATGATCTTGCTTCGACAACAATTCCTTGCACAACGTGTACAAAGTAATGAACTTTCTCGCCAACACTCGCGCATCCTGAAAGCCTTCAGCAACCAACATAATTTCACAAATCAATTCAAAATCTGGCACGACCATTGCACATGGTCTGAAAAGTGCTTTTAAATTTTCAGGAAGTTCTGTTCTACCAGCATAGCCAGGATTCATAGTGATGAAGATGCCAACAGTTGGCACCATCGCAATCATCTCACCCATAAAATTGAATCGATCTTTCTTGTCACGGATCGCATCTTGAACCGATTTTACTTGAACTGCAACAACCGAAAGTACTTCAACTGAGATTCGATTGAACTCATCGAAACATCCCCAAGCGCCAGTTTGTGCAAGACCTTTGTAGATGTTGCCACAAGATTTGTAATCCATTTGTTCACTGCAATTAAAGACGTAGACCATAATACCCAAAGCTCGTCCAAGATCCTTCGTTGTTTCAGTTTTGCCAGTTCCAGCAGGGCCAGCTGGTCCACCACCCATAACCAAATGCAAACTCTGTGTCAATGTGATGTAGCAACGATCAGTTAAAGGCGTTATAACAAGACGTGGAGTGCAACCCAAATATTCGTAGCTATAAGTAAATTGAGCATCACAAATATTCGCAAAGCAATCGCCTTCAGCTTCACCCCAACGATGTCGCAATTGACTCTGCCATTGAAATGCAGATGCCGTCTCAACTTTCGTCTGAATCAATCGACTAACAACATCACGCGAGTGAACATCAACAGTGCAAATTGTCATAATTTTTTGACGATCACCTTTGGTGAGTTCACCGATTAAAAGTGAGATGAGAGTGGACAGTTGTGAGATTTGTTTCTTGTAATAATCTTTAAGTGCATTGTCGTAACCTTCTTCAAGTCTACTGAATGCAATGTTGACTTCTGTTGTCCACCATATTTGAGTTCCACAAAGAGAGACTTGAGCGGGATAATCAAACAGCCATTGTTCCCTCGCCTTCTCTTCATAAGTAACGACAGCATTTCCCATATAACTTCTTAAACTTGATCGCATTCTTTGTTGTGTTTTATTCAACCAAATCTCAACAGCCCCAACACATTCCGAAATCATATCAAATGGAACGTATTCGCCATCTTTAGCGTACATTCCCAATGCTGATATTTCTTCTTTCTCATTCAAGCCAAGCTCAAGTTTTGCAATTGAGTCGAATAATTTTGTGAGGTGTTTCATCACAAGTTTCGGTTGATTTCCAATGCTGAGAATATCCAGCAAATCAGCTGAACTGACGAAATAGAAACGTGGAAAGTATAAACGTTTTGTTTCTAAATATTCAGCTAAAGCTTTCTCGCAAAGCACGAGTTGTTGTTGGATTTCTTCAAGACGTTCACAAAGACCATCACGATTAGTTGCTTTGATGACATTTGTGTCGACAGCCTGTGAAATAACAGCAATTAATGTTTTAATCATTAATCATTTAATTGCATTTTCACCATTTCATCCATTAAGATTTTAAAATCGCGATCAATTTTATCAAAACGATCAGAGTCAATTGGCAATTGTTTCCGTATGTCTTCTGAACTCATGAAAATGCTTTCCAAATGCGTCCATGTTCGTTGAACTTCAAACCAAACCGTAATTACAGCATCAGCCATCATCAACTTCTTTTGCCATGCTGAGACTTCTTCAAGAAAATGAGCGATGAATTTAGACGTAATTAAATTTTGAAGAACAACTTGATTTTCTTCAAGAGTTTCAATTAATTCTTCCGACGTTTTTAATAATCTTAAATGGAATTAATTATAACAAGATTCATGTCGAAACAATTTAATTTTATTACCGGCTTTTTGTTCTTTGATGAATTTCACTATCAAACTCCATTACATTCCAAGTTGTCTTCAAATCCCTCAAAATCTTCTCCATCGACATTTCTTTTACAGCCTTGTCGACGATATTCTTGACTTCTTCCTCGCATTCATGAAGATTCAAAGCCAGAAGCTCACAAAGTGTCGTCTCTTTGTCCATGATGAACTTCACCTAAAAGTTTTACATTCAAATTATTTTCAATTCCATTCATTTGAATTGTCAAAAATAAACTTTCCATATGGTGGGTGCCTTTACTACTACATTCATTCTTTATGACATGATCAGGTTGAAAAATGAATTTAGGATAATTTTTACTTAGTTTAATGTTTTTAATGAATTTTGAAAAATATTAAATTAGATAATTTACGATAAAAGCTTTAGTGACACTTACTGTTACTTCTGGAGGAAGCGCTGCTAAACTCTGAAATAAAATATTAATTAAAGTGTATTTACAAAGAGAAGGCAAGTTGAATTCATTCGTTGTCATCTTCAACTTCAAAGAAAAAGAAAATTCTTTCGTGCGGGGAAATAAAAAAGAATAAAATATTTGTTCGGTTATTTACAATTGCACATTATTTACATCTTACTAGTTACTTATCAATGTATCGCTAAATTAAAGGAAATTCAAGGAAGAAAGTTAATTAGAATTACTTTTGTTGATGTCATCAATTGATGCCAATGTCGTTCACGTATTGCTGGATTTTGAAGTTCACCGACAGCTCTCAAACTTGTCAGCATATTTTTGACTGTCGCTTCAAGTTGTGTGTACGTATTCCAAGATCTCATTTCTTTGTCGAGTAAGCGAACATCTTTGGCAAACTTTTTACATTCAATGTCCATGTTCTCAACGTCAATCTTTCGCCAAGGAGTTGTTTTCCAATCTTCAATGCATGTTTGCACGATGAACACATAATCCCAGAGTTGCTGTAATTCACGTCAAAAGGAATTAGAATCGATGCAAATTATTTGTTGTAAGAATGTCTTCGACATCGACGACATTATGAAGTGACAACGACACTCACCTTAAGCATCTTCAATTCCCTTCGACATTGTTTCAACAACTTAAACTCGGGTACGTTGACTTCAAATAAACTTCCTGATTGGAATATTGCAGCCATTTCATTCTCCAATCGATAAATATCATCACTTATACGATCCAACAGCAAGTATGGACTTTCACAATCAAACTTAAAGAATTCATAAGTTCGGAAAATCTCTCGAAACACGTTGATGTGAGTGTCAAAGTTTGCAATTCGATTTCGAATCGAGACGACTTCTGTTGCTTGAAGCGGCGCCACCTGCTGCTTAACAGTCACCGCAAGCTTTTTTGTATTTCCCCATTGTTCAGGAAGTTCCTGTAATAAAACATTCACTTCTTCCGGAATGTCCATGTCGTAATATTTCAGCAAGTCAATTGTCTCGCGCATTGGCTCGAACATTGCGTCTGTCGTCACAGCACGTTCCTTCACTTGCAAAAGAAATGCCATAATGGAGACGAGAGTCTCATAATCTTCAACACTTTGTAAAAGTCCTTGGTCAGCTTTACGTATGAAATTACTGAGATCAGACAAACTGCTGGTGACTGTTAAAAGAATATTAAATGATTTTTATGTTAATTATCGATTGACTGACAATCATCTACCGCTATTGACTAAATGGTCTTTAAACATGTTTCCCCAACGACGAACAATGTTAAGCAGTGCTTGACGAAATGGTCGAACATCAACCTGAAAAAATGCACTGAAAACTTGGTAAGGTGAAATTGCTTCAATTTCAGTATAAAGCGATTCATATCCATCAATCATTTCTCTGAACGCTTCTATTGTTGGTGGAGATGGTTTCGGTGCAGATGGATCATTGTTAGCAACAATTTCGATTTCGTCAGGATCTTTAAATGAAAAGAAGTTTGTTAAATTAATTATTTACAATTTACGACATTTAAACTCACCCAAAATCCTTCCAAATTCTAGAAACAGTTCCATACAATACTCTCGATCTTCCAACCACAAATAGGAATAACGTTCAAAGTCATGACAGAGTTGAGAAGCTTCTTCCAAAGCTTTATCAACATTCAACAATATTTCTTGTCGCATTTCTTTAATGTCAATTTCATTAGAAATTAATTCTTCGTATGTTTTGTCAGCATCTTTAATCAAACGAGGAATTAATGATGACATGAAGATAATGTCTATTAGAGAGAGGACAGTGAAACTTCATTTCCAATTTTCCTTTAAAATCTCTAATGAGTTAAGCAAGTTACCATTAACAAGATTAATTATAAGGCGATTAAAACTGTTTTCGTCATTTGGATCCAACGACGGAATAAACTTTAAGTAGGGAATTTCCAATTCTAATCGAGTCTCAAACAATGGAGGGAGATTGTTCATTGGATCCATGTTGTCAGCTAAATAAGCAATGCTGACGCCAACTGTGTGCAAAAGATTTTTGTGTATAATTTCATCACAAAATGAAATATATTCGGGCCAAACGTCTTCATTCATCTTCTTCTCAGCACGGAAGAATTTTAAATTTTCTTCTAGTAAACTTTAAATAAATAAGAAGAATAAGAAGAAGAAGTAATTAAACATTGAAGTGTCAACGAGAACTCTGGTAGTTGACATTTGAAATTACTCATGAATACGAAGAGCTACTTCTTTCATCTCGGCGTAACGTTTACTCGTTCGCTCGTCTCGCTCTTCAACACATAAAGTTGTATCTTTACGACCATCTTTTCTGACGAACAAAGGAGCTTTCGCCCACGACGTCATAACCGTTTTCACTTCATCAAGATTCCCTTGAATCTGAACCATTCGTGAATAAAGACATTCGACTGGAGCACGGAAATCTTGCATAAACTCAGTGATGTCTGAATGAAAAAGAAATTGAATTGAATTTAATGTGAAAAAAGGGAGAGAGAGAGAGAAATAGAAATAAGAAGATTAATGTTGCTACTTTCTGAATTCCAATTGAGTTCATTGCATCCTTTTTCGACGAGACTATCAATCAGATCAATCTCAGCTTGAATCAGCTTCAATTCAACTTCAGAACTATTCTTACAAATCTATAAGTTATTGAATTGATTTAATAGAATAAGAAATATGATCTGAGTGCCTTTCATAACTTACGCTATTGTACCACTCAATGCTTTTCTCCAAGTTTAAAATGTATCCACGATAGATTTCTTGTTCTTCCGAGAAAGCGATGCCACTTGTTGGAATATTTTCTTTATGCATCAGACGAAGGTAATGAACTTCACGGAGAATTGCTGACAATTCAGGATCGAAGTTCAAGTAGATTGTCTTCTGACCGTCTTCCCGCATCAGCAAAGACTTCTTTAAATTTATTTCGATTTGTTCGGGTACTTTCTCCGCCCATTTCTCAAAGATTTCTTTTTCGAATCTTTTCAAACGCTCCATCAAATTATTGTATCTTAAAAGTAACATTTGTGCATCTTCTGTATCTACAATTGGATGTTGAAGTGCTTGAAAGCTTTTAATCGGTGTTGTAATTCTCGATGAGAGTTGAAAACCCCAACGAAGTGCTGAAGATATTGGCGGTGATCTGAGTTCAACGTTTAAAAATCCTTTAGTGCGATAGTGAGTTATTTGTTTTTCATAAATCCCTTCACAAATGGATCTGAATTTAAATGGAAATGTTTAATGAAATATTTGAGAATGGAAAATGAAAATTTTCATTACATTTCATCACCAAGCATTACAAGAATGTGTTGATATTTATAAGTGAATTCTTCTTTAATCTTTGGACGTTCTAAAATGGTTCCAACAATCGAAATCAGTTTAAAAACACTTTCAAGATTGTGACTATCATCAAACGCTTGACATAAAATTGCAGCTAATTTCATGTCCAACTCTAAAATTCGATCTTGAAACTTTACGAAATCTCCTTTAAACGATTCATCGTCAGGATCAAGAACGTCATAGCTTTTTGAAGCAAATGATGAGAAGCATTGATTAAATTCCAATGAAACAGCAGTGATTCTAGCGCTTAAGATTCTTCCTTTCAATCCTCCAATTTCAACTTTTTCTAGCTTTAAAAACTCAATGACTGTGTAAAAGAACCATTGGATGGTGTGCAAGCGATCCAAGAATGCATTAAATCTTTCAAACACAGCATTTGGATGAAATGTCCATTGTACCTGTCAATAAATTTCCAAATCATTTGTCAACTTTCAAATTTTTTTCATAACAACTCACAACTGGCTTGTCACCAAAGAATGGCGCCAAGTTTTCTTTATACTCGTCAAAAATTGTTCGAAAATATTTTAACGTAGCAATCGTTTGTGAAATTCTTTGCATAGCTTCGTCAATGTCAGTGTGAAAAATTGACGAAGGATCGAGAAATCTTTTTGCTTGTTGAATGATTAAATTTCCTATTTGCTTTAACAAGACAATAAGCTTTGATGATGTTCGATAATAGTTTGAGTTTGCCCATAACTGAAACATTTTTAAATCAATTATTGATTCGAATTTTGAGATACAGTGGAACTTCGATAAGCCGATGGCTCAAGGGGGACCTGTTTATCGAGGTAAGTTCCAATATAAATTCGATTAAAGGAGGACAAACAAAATCAGTTTACCGAGGTTTATCGGCTTATCGAAGTTCTACTGTATTCTGATAATCATTATACGAAACAAGATCTTACCAAGCAAACAACGTGCATTAACTAAATTTGCACGTGAAAAAAAATGAAAATTTGTTAAAGATTTATCAAGATTGAAAAGCTTTTCAACAAAGCTTACCGGTTTCAATAAGATTTGGCTTTCGGAAAAATCTGTTTCCTCAAACTGCAAAAAGTGCTTCATTAATGGACTCAAATATAAAGTAATGTCACGACTCTCGGCTAATGCTGTCACAACATTCTTAAACATAGTTTTGAAACAAGGAAAATATGCTGAATCTGTGTGCTCTAAAATAAGTGCCATTGATTTAATTCTCTCATGTCGGAGTTGTTCATAAATGTAGCTGAAATAAATTCCTCATGAGAAGAAGTTTATGTCTTAATTTACGATCGTTCTTACGTCAAATTCTTCAATCTGTTGTTCCAAAAGTTTATTTCTAAGTATTGAGGTAAGTTGAAATAGTCATAAAAACAATAATTAGTTTAAAATCAATTCTTTAGTTTCTCAAAACCTCAAAGATAAGTGAGAACTTCAAGTTTAACATTGAGATCGTTTGAAAAGCAAAACAATTCTCGAGAATCATTTGAATAGAAAGAAACAAAATTATGAGTCATGGGGAATATTACTAAAGATTTTCTAAGAATAATGTTATAAAAATTTGATTAGTTATTAAACAATAAAATATTATTATGACATGTTCGTTTACCAGCAGTTGGTACCGGGTTTTGTCCATTGTTAAATGCACTTGCTGAGGTCTCCATGAAGACATCTTCAACATCATCACAAAATAAGTTTTCAATTTTAAATCAACGACAGATTTCTTACCATTTATTTGTGTAACCCATTTGATTACAACACCTTCAATCGCAGACTTCAAATACAAATCGACAGAACATTCAGAATTCTCTTGAAGTTCTCTTGCTGTCGTTATGCATTTTTCAACTCCAACAGGCATCGGAAGAATCGTTCTGCCAGATACTTGACCTTGCACCTTGAATCATAATCGGTTTCATTTAATTGACTCTTAAACGAAACTGGTTTAACTTACTTGATAAACTGTGCTTTTCAAGCTGTGGGTCTGTGGAATAAAAAACGAAACGTAAGCAGAGAAGAAAAAAAATTCTCGTGGCCTTGTACAAAGAGCAGTAAAGCGCGTTCGATCGACTCACATGCTTTAAAACATCTTGTGCGACCCTGAAACGAAGTAAAGTTAGAAAATATTCTTGAATGTTATTTTCAAGTTCATTGACGACAAAATTGTCATCGAACGTTCAATTACACTCTTCAAATCTACTTACACTTCGGGCCATCCCTTGTGATTGTCAGTATTGGAAAGAAGTGGAACGAAAATCTCATCAACTAAGCATGACAATTGATCAATTGAACGTGTAGCTAAATCACCACTGATAAGCCAAGTGCCACATTCATCTCGAGGGATTTCAATTGAAAGCTTCTTGACAAAGTAAACACCTGACATAAACAAAGGCACGGCGTTATATTTCACATTTGCGTGATTGAATTTTGATTATTATAATTGCAATACGCATTCACCTTTACTCTTGAGTTGTGTCAAAGGGAATTGCGTAACAGGCAAAATTTGTGCAGATTGAGTGACTTGAATGATAAGAACCATATGAGTTGTCTTGTCAAGAAAATCTTTGATGACTGTTTTATGTTCCTCAAATGTCAATAAACGTTGCCACTTCTCAGGTTTCAATTTCAAAGTTTTTGTTATGAATGAACCCATGAAATCGAGTCGCATATCAGGTCCTTCATTAACCTGAGTTGACTCCATTGTTGATTGTTGAATTTATGTGAAATTCTGTAAATCATATTTGTTAAATCATTTGTTGCATTAAATGTTCCAACTTCATGTTCAAACTTCAGGAAATCAATTCATCAACAGTTATCGAATTTTTCTGCTGGTTTTTTGTTGTTCTTGTTGTATGATTTGTCTAAATCACCTGTTGCTAAATTACTATAGAAACGGTAGTGAAGTTATGGAAACATCAAATTCTATGTATAAAAACCAGTTTGAAAGTGAAAAGTTAAGCGAAATATTTCTTTTTCCTAGTTGGTTTTAAGTTAATTAAAAGTTTTCTGTAAACGCTTTTATGTTTGTTTTAAATAAAATGGAATATTCACGAGAGAAGTGAAACCACTTCAAAAAGCTTTAAACAGAAAATTTTGTTTATTAATAAAGTTGAGGTTTTGATAAATGTTTCTTAAAATATTTTGTGGTTCTTAAAATTATTGAGAATAAATTTAAACAATTCCCAAGATCGTCTTCTCCGCAAGTTAAATTATTAATATTCAAAAGTTCATTAAACTCATTGTTTATCTTTTCACTTTCATTGAAAAATTCCGATGCGCAATGACAAAAATATTTTTCTTTTGTTATGTAACATCATTGATCGATTGTTTGGTGGCCATGTTTAAAAAATTGCCAAATTAATTCACGAAAAGCGTATTCAAAATCAACAATTCGAGATGAAAATGATGGAAAAATTTTTGTTTGGTTGTTTAAAGTTAATTGAATTAATTTTTAATTAATAATCATCACATTATCGACTTATTTTCTAATCTTATCACCTCAACCCTTTTATCTTAAAATCTTCTCAATCCTCACGTTTTCCACACTTTTCACATCAACTCAAATCACTTTTTCGCCTTCCAAATTGATTTTTCACTTTTATTTATTCAAATTTTCGGAAATTTCCAATTAAAATATTTCAAAGAAAATTTTCCAACTGATCGCGGACTCTCCAAATTTTCTTCTGTGACAGTTGAAAACTTTTCACGAATTCTTTTACGTGGCTTAGCGTGAAAAAGAATAACAACGAGAAAATTTGTGGTATTTGTCAAAATAAAAACAACAAATCATAAACACACACAAAACCGCCATTCATTAAATTGTTTATCAAAAATAAATAGACGCGGTATCTATGGGAATGCCATGTCAATGATCTTCAACTTGTTGAATGTTCTTCATTCAACTTGTTGCATCATTTTCATTGAATGTGTTAGTGTTAGTCGCATATGCTTTATGCAAATATTATTCAAAAACATAAACAAAACTAGCACATGACTTTGATTATATTTTTACTGCTGATAATGAATGAATGAAAATTAATTAAAGTCGTTTGCTTCCATGATTACACCAATTGTCATTGAACTTGCTAATTTTTATTATTTCCTTTGCGTTTTTTAACAGCTTCAAAGTTATGTTAACATAAATTAAATCAACATCTGATGCCTATTTTTGAAAAGCCTTTTTTGTTCTCGTGCCTTGAATTAACAAGAAAATAACGAACAAAGCGCTTATTGCAATCGCTATAGAAATTAGAGTATCTTTGTAACTATGATTTGACGTACTCTCGTCGACTTCCTGCCACCATGTCCAAGTGTAGTTAAAGTGTGCTGGGTCACAATTTGGATCCATAAGCTTTCGTTTTGATGGCACAACATTTTGAATGTGATTTTCAAGCAATGCAACTAGAAAACTGACCTTCTCGTCATAAGCATTAACTAAATCGTGTTGTTCACAAGGATCGTTGATAATTTCGAAAAGTTTCAATCCAGTCGTAGATTTTACATCACGAGAATGTTCTGAGTTTTCACATGTAACTGTGGCTGCAGCTCGCATTTCTTTTATAGTAACAGCGGATAATTTGGGTAAACTTTTCGCAGCTTCACTCTCAAAAACCTTTTTAATATAACTTCTAAAGCTGACATTTACATTTTCAAAGCCACTCACACCAATCCAAGTGTTTGTATTCATGTTCTCGGATCCATTTATCAGCTTCCATCCATCGTACATGATCGCACTGTAACCCACCGCATTCTCAATGTTATAAAGAATTTCTTGTCGTGGTGACTTCAAACCTTCTGAAATTGTTTCCCATTGATTGACGCTGTCAAGGGACTCGTCATCAGTTTCTATGCTTGCAGCTGTGGTGAATAATTTCAATAGATCAGTAACGTACATAAAATCATTAGAAACTCTCTGTGGACGCTTAATAAGTGGCGAATAAATGCATGCAACGACACGACAACCACCTTCATATGCTGTTCCTTTTTGCTGTACATAAATGAGAATAAATTATAAGAATTATCGATTAAAAGAAAACTTACACCCCTCAAAGGATGGTTGGAAGCTGCTGTAGAGTGTTGACCCTCAGTTGGTCCACCGTTATCAGAATAAAAAAGAATTATTGTTTCATTCATGATTCCTTTGTCATTTAATGCTGTTACAACTCTTCCAATTCCTTGATCCATCACCGAAATCATTGCTGAATATTTAAAAATGCTTACAAAGAAATATTCAAATGAAAAATTGTCAAATTTTTACCAGCGAGCGTTCGTCGTTTTGGATCTTTAATGTAATCAAACTTTTTAATTTCTTCCACTGGCGCTTCTAATGGATTGTCAGGAAATTCATTGCCAGCATGTGGTGCTAAATGACTTAAAACCAGAAACAATGGATCTTTTGTATCATGTTTGGAAATTAAATTAACAGCTTCATCGGTGAATAAATCTGTCGCATAACGTTTTGGTTGTTTGATGTGATTCACTTTCAAATTCCGCCTCATGTCATAGCCACGAGAATAGTTTCGATCGTGCATTTTTAAAGTGTAATCATAATATCCAATGTAAGGCCCTAAATATCCAAAGAATGAATCAAATCCACGCATTGTCGGTGTGTAGGCTTTTTTATAGAAGCCCAAATGCCATTTCCCTATAAGCGCGGTTTTATAACCGGCTTCTTTGAAATATTCCGGCATTATCTTCTCTTCCAATGGTAATCCCCATGGTTCATCACTGGGAATAACAAACTCATGCATACCTAAGGCATTTTATTACATTCTAATGTGATAAAAGAGAGAAGAAGAAAACAATTGTTTCATTCTCACCAATCTTTGATGGATATTTTCCAGTCATGAACGACGAACGAGATGGAGTACAAAGTGGTGGAGTGTAGAACCTTCAATAACAGAATCATTAATCGTGACGTATGCATGCTCATAGATATGTTTATTTGGAGATAGTTTATTTAGTTTCTTTGTGTTCACCTGTTCAAGATCACACCATTGTAAGCTAGAGCATCGATATTTGGTGTGGGAATTTCCGAGCTCCCATGAAAGCTGACATCATTAAATCCTAAATCGTCTGCCATAATTATCACAATGTTTGGTTTAGCATAAACATTTCTTGATATCACATTAATTAGAATGAAAGTGTTAATAAAACTTTTTAGATTTTTCATTTCACTGATGTTAAAGATCTTATTGAATGAAGATTATGTAATGAATATCAGCACAAATTAAAAACTTTGATCAAGGCTTCAAGCAATTTATTTAGTTTCGCGCTTTAAATTGATGTAATTGAATATTTATCCAGAAGAAGAATCTTATTAATGCAATATAGAATGAGACTATGCCGGTTTGTAATGGTCACAAAAAGTTGTAAAAGAAACTTCAGACGTTTGTTTACTTATGATGCCAAATTGACACTGAGTCGAAGAAGCTTCGCGTCAATATTCTACAAGCATGATTATGCATAAAATATGAAATTGTGTTAATAAAGGATAAAAAAAATACAAATATATTTAATATCAGATGTTCAGCAATAAAAATAGCAACACCATTTCGAATACTTTTAAAACTGAAAGGCGTTAGAAGCAAATCTTGTGCTTTTATAGATTTTTTTTAATCGTATCCTAAACTTGGAACGGAAAAAAGCATTATCTTCAAATCGATCAAGCTCTATTCATGATCAATCATATTTATAGGTTTCCAATTACCTTCAAACATGCACTACATATGAGTTAAAATGTATATAAGCAAATGTTTCAGGCTTCGAAGCTAAAACTGGATCGGTTTTGCACAAAATTTAGTTTGGTGACCGACTTTCGCCCAATAACAATGTTCAGGAAAAACAATTCATCATCAAAGTTATCAGTCGTGAAAATTTTCAAAAAACATTTTTTCATCGCAATTTAATTTATCTTAGAAAAAAGTTTTTGAATGTTTTTATTCATCGAAACTTTTGATAATTTTGTTATTAAAGATTGGGTGAATAAAATTTCTGTGATTTATCAACATTTCATAATGATCAACGTTGTCGTGACTCATGAATGAAAGGAAGGCGAAATGTAAATTGTAAGTAAGTCATATGCCTTGCAATTAACCAAAACATTAGTTTTTCATCCATTTGCATTCAAAGTTTGGAGAATTTCAGTTAAATTCATTTAACATTTTAATTTTTTTCACCTTCCAAAAAGATCTTCATGGACTTTTATTAATCATGAAAAAATCTTAAACGTTTTAATTATTTTAGGATAAAAAAGCGATTCATTAGATATCAAATTAAAGTGTTATAAAAAAAGTTTGATTCACTCAAAAATCTCTCAATTGTCAGAATGAATTCTTGTTGTTTTTAAATGTCCAACACTGTTTTAATCAGATTTCTTTTACTTACCTAATTCACTAATATGTGTATATTTACACAGTTTGCGTTCCACTCAACTCGGTGCTTTGACGTAGTGGCATACGATTCAAAACATATCGAAATGATGAGAAGCGGAACGAATATCGAGAGCCAAAAATTGTTCAACAATAAATGAGAATATTTCGTTGACTATAAAAGCAGTGAGTTCTACATGAAATATTCTTAGTTTAATAATAAATAGCAGTTTTCTCGGGTCTTTTTAAAGGTTTTCAAAGTAGACACATAGAATGGAGAACAAAGCTTTGCTTCTAGCTTTCTGTGTTGCGACGCTCCTTAGAGCTGCTGATTGTGGAATATTTCGTAAGTATAAAAATTATTGAAGGAAGAAAACAAAAAGTTGAAGCTCAACGTTCACGATGAGATACTTAGAAGAGCTTAAAAACCATTGACACATGAATAATTCATTTTATCAGCATAAATATTTCAAAAGAAAAGTAGCTTCTTTCTTTTGACTTTCCTTAATCGTTTTTCTTTCTGAATCTTGAACTTTAAATGCTGCACCTTGAAAATAAATTCATGAGATGAGATGAAAGTTGTAAAAGAATTCAATTAAAATCAATTTTCACAGCGAAAGAACTGCCAAGATGTAACTCTGGCGACAGTCAATGCTTGCCTGGTGTAATAACACAAGTCTTGCGAAGTGTAAAAGATGGAAATCCAGCTATTAATGTTCCAGCATTTGAACCTTTATATGTCCCAGAAGTGAACATTGTTCAAGGACCTGAAACAAGAATTCCAATCTCAATGAATTTCAAGGACGTGAAAATGTATGGAATTTCGAATGCAGTCATCACAAAAGCAATGTAAGAGAAGATTCATCAAGGGAAAAGTTTTTTAAAATGAACAATTTTAAACTTTATCATTTTTCATTTTTCAGGGGATTTGAAAGAGATCCGAAAACGTCAAAGTTCGAGATTCACGCAAGTATTCCGAAACTCATGATGATATCAAAGTATAAAGTTGAGGGTCGTGTGTTGATTCTCCCAATCAGTGGAAGTGGAAAAGCTAATTTAACATTAGGTAAATCCATTTTGATTGATATCCAATTACCTTTATCTTAATTCAAATCTTCTTAAAAAAGACAATGTCGATGTCAAGTTCAAGTTCGCACCAACTGTGACAGAGAAAAATGGAAAACATTTCCTTCAAATTCCACCAAACAAAGTGAAGCTTATTTTTGATATAAGCCGACTTCATCTCAAACTTGACAATCTCTTCAATGGAAACCAAGCACTTGGCGAAAATATGAATCAATTCTTGAATGAAAATTGGCAGCCGATCTTCCAAGAGCTCAAACCAGCTGTCCGTCAAACTCTTATTAATCTCTTAGGTATTGTCATCAACAGTGTATTTGATAAACTTCCGTATGAAGACATGTTCCTTGATACCGACATTGATTCGTAAATGTCATGTTGATTGTGCAAAATAAAAAATAAAAATCATTCTCAAAAATAGTTAAAAACTTCTTAAAAGTCATTCATTCTTTTATTTAACTCTTACCCGAGCGGCATGACTTTTTAGGCATCTTATAGGAAACTTGTAAAGAGAAGTCATGATTCCTTAGACATTTTATAGGAAAACTTCCAATTGCAAGCTTCCTATAAGGTGACTTTTAAGTTAACTTTTTCGCAATTGCCGCTCGGGTCAGCGGTGACAATGATCAGTTAGATGAAGGACAAAGCAAAGTTATTCAGTCTGCATATTCTCATTAAATATTCAATAATTCAAACCGGCTAATTAAGCGCCATTTTAAATAGTTCTAATGTTTTTTTTGTCTATCACTCAAACAAAAGGTTCATTGAAACTTTGACCACTGTAATAAGATATCAAAAGATCTCAAATGAATTCTCACAAGACAATTAATGATTCTTTTGTTGACGATTATTTCAATAATTGCGTATTAGGAAGTTCGATCGACCTTAAAGTAAGAATCTTCTCTAAGTAAGATGTAATAAATTAATCTGATTTGCGTTGTTCCTAGAAATATTAAACGATGAAACTTCGACGCCTAACGGGAACGTTAACCTTTAGCCTCACTTTAAACAGTTTTCACTGATGGCTGTTGATTCCATAGACACAACCCGCTCATGGATTGGTTGCTTGATTGTTTCAATTTATTTAGAAAGTTGATCCTTTATATTTCTTGTAACCTTTCTTCATACAAGTTTAGTGCCCTCTAGCGTCACCCTACTGAAATAAAATGTATTATGAAAAGTCGTAGCATGTATTAAGGAAAAACTTTCCCATACACACGAATTAGGTATCTCAATCCTATAAATACGAGTTTAACAAATATTTTTCGAAATAAATCGAAAAAAAGCAAGCAAGCAAGTCATGAGCGAGTTGATTCTCTTATTCGCACGGTGAATTTTTTTTGTTTATTTATTCTCTACAACGGCACGCGACGAAGATTATTAGCATCACGTCTGATGACGTATCGTTTCTCTCTTTATTATGCTTATATTTAACAGGTGATATGAATACATATTTACCGCCATAGGCGTGTTCGTCTTCCTTCCGTTCCTCCACAGAAACTTGTTTAACGTTCGTGAAATAAAATGTTAAAGTCATTGAAGTTCGAAGCCGAGGATTAAATAAATATTGAAGTATTGGAACAGACATTGTACAAATATTTGAATTGAAGCATGCCTTTGTTGTTGTGAGAAAATGAAATAAACATTTCAGAGAAGTAAAAGGTTTTTTCGCTTACAGAACGAGGAAGGAAACTTGATATTCTCGGCAACCTTGAATATTCTTTTCATTGTCTACCTAAGTAAAAGACACGATTGCAAGCCTATAAAAATCATATCATCAACTTGTCTTTAATGTTTCTTCGTGAATGCAGTCCACATTGCTCTTACTTTTGCATATAAGAACGTTCATTATCATGTTCACGTCTAGTTTGAAACTGTTGAAGATTGTGCTCGGTAGTTCTTAGGAAATTTTTTCTAAAGATGTTTAAGTTTCTTATTATCATTCAAATACTTCTAAATAGCATGTTGTGTGCAAAATTTCGTAAGTCTTACAGATTTAAATTTAAAAACATAAAAGAGTTTAACTTAAATTTTAGCGAATGACATCAAAAAGTGTAATTATGGTGACTCGAAGTGCATAATTAATTTTATTAACGACATCTTTGAAAAGAATTACCAAGGTTCGTTTCACACATAATAACTAAAAGAGAATAAAAGTTGAGTTAATCAATAATTTTTTTCATTAAAGGACTGCCAGGAATTGGTTTACCTTCGATAGATCCCATCAGAATAGAGAAAATGGACTTAATACAAGGTGAAAAAAGTCCTGTAAATATAGCTTTGCATTTCAGGGACATCACTTTTTCGGGACTTTCTAAAGCAAAAGTTTATAAAGCTACTGGATTCAGTCGTAACCCACAAGGAGACAAGATTGACATTCGATTCAAAGCTCCTAAAATTGCCATTCAAGGTCCATACAAATCTAAAGGACGTGTCTTGCTTCTTCCAGTTTCCGGGAATGGATTTTGTAACATGACGTTAGGTATTATTTTATTTACCATTCTAAATTTAACTCTTCCTTAACTTTAACTTCTCCCACGTTATAGAAAACGTTGACTTTCACATGAAGCTTTTGATGAAAAGCGTCGAACGAAATGGAAAAATTTTCATGCAAATTGACAAGACGAAATTTAATTTTGAAACAACAAGGTGAGAAAAGATGGAAAAGTTTATTTACTTTCGAATAATTATTTTGGTTTCGTGTTTACAATTTCGTCTAGAATTTACTTTTACTTCACAAACCTGTTTAATGGAAATAAAGAGCTTGGTGATAATATGAATTCATTTTTGAATGAAAATTGGAAGGATATTTTAAGAGAAATGAAGGCATCAATTATCGACGGATTTGGAAGTGTATTTAAAGCTATATTTAGTAATGTATTAAATAACTTTCCCTACTCTGAAATGTTCCTCAATTAATAAAGATTTTCTTCTTTTATTTATGTTAATAAAATTGTAAAGTTCACAAGATAAACTTTTTAATTCCGTTGAATATTCTATGAATAAATGTTTAAAGAACACAGCTGAGCTGAGTTCACCTTCTTGCTATGCTTATTTTAAAGAAAACATATATCTAGATGCTTCTAAAAGCTCTAAGCTCGTCGTAAATTATTTCTGTGATTCACGATGAGTTTAACGACTTCGTGCGACTAAGCACTACGTAAGAAAGCAGAATTGAGTTATGTTTGGAAGTGGTAATGTTGTGTAGTGATAACATAAATTTTATCTATCTGTAAACTTTGTTCAGTTTTTTTCTCCTTTTTTTTTGATTGGTGGAGTTTCATTTTTATACACTAGACTAGACAAAATAAACGGTCTTCCTTGTTTCTTTTTATTTGCAATAATATTTCATGGTTTCATAATTAATTTAGCAAAATTTATTGAAACCAGATATAGCTGAAGTTGCAAGGGTCATTGTACATATAAAATAAATCTTGACTTCCACTTTTTCTGGTTTATTTTTTCGGACTGTATTATTGCGACTGATTGATTCTTTCTTTTTCAAGTGTATATTTTTTATGAACTGATTGAATTTAATTATCAATGAGTTTTAAAATATTTATCTTGCTTGGATAAAATTAATCAAATAATGCACAGTGTGAACGTTTTGATTGATTCCACCGAAATTTTCATCATCACGTCTGTTATTTTATTTGTTATTCTTTCATGTTGAATTAATATGTCAATCAAAAATAAATTTTCAAAGAAAGTTAAAGTTTTTCTTTGTTTAGTTCTAAGTAGACTTACAATTTATTTACTTTCCTTGATATTCCTCGTTCATTGATAGATATGAAAAATTTTCCAGATTCAGAAAGACAAAACTTTGTTACGGAAGTTGCATACTCTAAGGGGTTGAATATCTTCAAAGAATGAACTGAACCCCTCAAAGTATGCAAAATGCACATCTTAAGCATTTCCGTTATATTTATTTCGCTTCAATTTCAAACTTTCAAAAAGTCTACAATTTTGTTGTTAATTTGTCGATTCTGATGCGAGCGAAAATTAAAAATTTATTTCAATATTGTATCAAGTATTAACAGATTAAAAGCGTAAAACAACATGCCACGAACCAAAATTAATCGTAATGCTCTCAGCAATAAAAGATTACGAGAAAACACGGCGGATTTAGAAGAAATTTTAAGAGAATATGATATTGAAGGTAAAAATGATTTACGAAGTTAATTTCAAACAAAAATTTAAAAGTTTTAAATAATTTCCAGTCGAAAACTCAATTCAACAACTTCAATCGGGATACAATAAACAGATGAGAGAAATTACAGCATTATTCGAAGAACTTAGAAGCTCATGTTCTGATGACATCTTGAAGACGAAAATTCGAGATTTGAAGAATGTTAAGGACATCAATGAATTGATGGTTGTTGAGAAAATGAGCAATTTAAATGCTACACTTAAAGATACTTGTCACAAAGCTGATGAAGGTAAGTCAACATTTTTATTTCTACTTCTCATCTGTGGTGCATTTGGTGTTTTCTTTCTCACCCTTCATCTGTCATTTTTCACTCTTTATGTCCCGTTTTTGCACTTGAATTACTTCAAAAAGGCTACCTTACAGAAGCAATCAGCAATAACAGTCGCATTACGTCTGGATCTGAAAACGGATCTGTTTATCAAAAACAAGGATTGGAACTTAGTCAGAACATTTCAGTAATCGGATCCTTGAGAAAAACAAAGACACGTCGTCGAAGCCAATCAGTGTCCAGTATCGTTCAGGAGAAATCATACAAAACTCCAGGACCGAGAGTTATGATGACCTCATCAAAAGGAAGAACTCCATTGCAACAGCAAAATCAACAAAATCAGCAAGGAACTCACACATCTCGTTCAAAGTATCGCACGCCAATGAGTAGTGCTTTGCGCCAAAAAGCGGCCAGTGTTGATCGTCTTAACTGCATCACACCGAGAGTTAATCCAAACAGGCCAATCTCCCTTTTACGTCATGCACGAGCTGGTGAAGCTGTTTTTTCAATCACTGGAAGTCCGATTGTCCCATCAAAGTGAGTTCATTTTTTATTTCTTGAATTTCCTTTTTTTCAAGACTGTCTTTATTAACAGCATTTGTGAGACAACAGCCAATGTCAACATTCCTGTATCTGACGGAGTTCTATCGATTCGTCCTCAATGCATCGACTCGGGCAATCTCGACCCAGCCTTGATGAAGAAAATCGATCAAAAGACTTTAAATCATTTATTGTTGTTAAAGAAGAATCTCGACATCATCATGGCTGGAGCTGGTTTCAAGCTCAATCATCATTAGGACAGAATTAAATTCCATCTTTTTATATTTTCATTTTTGCTTATCTCAATTTTTTCATTTGCATGTTTTCATTTTTTTTTAAGAATTTCTTTGTATCCTCAAATAAAACAAAAATATTTTCTCGCTACTTTTTAATTTCCTTTTAGACATTTAGATAACTTCATTGAATAATTAAAATTACTAAATAAGATGAGAATTCCAATTCGATAAGAAAAGCTGAGAATTTAATTTCGGTTTTGCATTCCAAGCATTTTTTTTTTCAAATCCGCGAATCTTTCAAATTGATTTATTTAAATGAGGGAAAATAAAGTTAACTGCTGAGTTATTTTAATAAAGATAATTGTTGTAATTATATTTGAACAAAAAGTTTTAAGTAGACATCTTTGTGATTTACATACTTTACAATTCGTCATTTCTATGCAAGTTTTCGTTCTCTTCTTCTTAAATATTTGAGAACGAGATTTTAATTACTTTCACATTTTCTTATTGTTTGAAAATTGAAAACTTGCTCTATTCACATTTATTTCGCGTCTTCTTTCTACAGCAATATATTTAAAAAAACCAACCCAAAGTTCCGAAGACGACTATCATCTGTAAAGCGTTTTTTGAACATTTTCAGAGCATGAAACAAAAGCAATTGCTTCACATTTCATATTTAGAACAAAAGCAATTTCAGTTGTGGCACGAGAAGCACATAAATTCTCACAGAAATGAACAGCACGACTTGATGTCTCAGCAACACCCACAACATTAAAAATAAAGACGAAATCTTCCTCTTAACTTTGCTAGAACGTTTTTCATTTCTCATTCTTAAAAATTACTTTTCATTTTTCCTTTTTCCTTTTTTCTTCTTCACTTTTTAGTGCTGTCTACTCTGTTCGCTTCTCTGTTACTAAATATGTAGAATGAATGAATCGTACAGAGAAAAAGAAAAGAAAAACTAACTAAGAGAAAGAAAACATTAAACTTTTCTTCCCCACCAGCTGAAAGTTCTTTTTTTCTGTAAAATTGTGCAACAATTTCTTTTGTCACATTCTCATCTGTTGATAAAGTAAAGGAAACAGCAGAGCTTGAATGGAAACTATGACATCCAATTTTATCCTTTTTTTATGAAAAAAGTAGCGGCACGTGATCATAAGCTTTGAGCATAGTTTCAATTATCTTCATATTTGTGCATAAAATCTTATAAAAAGTAACGAACAAGATGAATAATTTCCGTCTTCCTAAGCTGAGAAGTTTTAAGATATGCAAATTTTGAAGTTACAAAGAAATCGTGAAAAATCGTGCTCTTGAACATTTTGATTACAAAGATGAAAAGCATCTGATATGTTAAATAATTATGTTCAGCTTTATTATGATTTGTAGCTTTGAGCACAAACAGCTTCTCGTCATATTTACTTACATGGTTTTGCAATGCTGCTCACGGAAGTCGGTGAACAATAACAACAATGTAGCGAGAGAAAAACTGGACATAATGTAACATTATTCATTCAACTCAATGAAACTTTCTTTGTTTTCTTTCTGTTGATGGAAAAAAAAGAAAGAAAATCTCATGAATAAATTGATGAAAGCTTTGAAAAGAAAAGCAAATGAAAAGAACAGGAAGCGATGTTTAATTAATAAAGTTTAGAAACAGACATGCTTGATATTGACAAGCATAATTTGTAAAGCGAGAAAAGTTGCGTTTGAAAATTGACGATAAAGTTTAATGGTTTAAGTTTGTCATGAAAGTTATAATATTCTTAGTTACATAATTCCACAAATCTTCCTTTAATGACACAACTTTTGTTTCACTTCGAGGAATTGAATTTAAGTGTAAAACTGAACGTCGAATGAATAATAAAACGATCTCAAAAGCTCACATTTCTCATTTATCAAACTTTCTATACATATCCGGTTCTCGAACTCGTAGCATGGCATTTTCTCGCCACTGAATTAAAGCTTTCTCTCGACTAATGGTTTTTAAATGCGTCTTTTTTCCTCCATTACTTTCTCTCCTTCTCTGTCTTTCAATAATCGAAATGAAAAAAGTTTTTCATCTCTTTGTTTTCCAATTTTCCTCAAATAACTCAAACTTTTCTTCTTTTTGTTCTCTAATAGTTTGTGACATGCTTCTGCATTTTTATTGTGTTAGTTCATTTATTTATACTTATCAAGATACGATGAGTGAGAAAATTAATCAGTGATGTTATAAATAATATTTCTAGCAGCATTTAATGAAATAAAGAAGTCGAATGAATGCAGCAGTTAGCAGAGAACATGAAAATTTCCTTCAATTAAATTTAATTAAAACTTTTCTACAAACGCCTTTTTATTCTTTTCCTTTGGCACTGAGCAGAATAAAACCATTAGAGCGATGAGAATTATTTCTAATTAAAAAGAAAGCATGAATGGGCACTGAGCATTCAAATAACTTTACACGAGCTATTGTCATTGAGTTCAAGTAAATTATCGTTTATTTCGTTATAAAGGAACAAAAAATCTTTAAAAAAGAACGTTTCGAGTCCTTTTCAAATAAACTTCGAAGAGCGACTTCGCCATTTATGAATTTGACATTCTATTCTGTAAATCAATAAAATGTGAAATGTCTAGAGCTTGTTAAATTTATCATAAATTTAAGACTTTGACGGTGGAATGGAAAGCAGACAACGGAATGAGAAAAACTCTCGCTTCAAATTATGTTTTTCTTTGCAATTAATTTTCCCATTTTCGAACATAAATTGATTTGATTTAATCGACCGCGAACAATCATTTCCATTGTGTTGAAATTTGGGGGAAAAATTAATGGTCGGGAATTTAATTATTCGCTTTGAAAATTGACATTTTTAATTGAGGCGTTCATTTGTCGATTGTTGACTTGAAAATTCAAATCAATTCCAACTTTTTCATCGAACCAATAAACGCGGAAAACTTTTTTTCCTTTCTCATTAACGATTCTCCTTCACCGAAAATTGTAATTGGGATTTACGAAACAGCTACAGCAAAAAGTTCATCAGTTTCATTCAATTTGAACATGTAATTGTCTAAATTGCAGCATCAACTCGTTGGCGGAACACGAAAATTCTGTCAACCGAATGAGTCTTTGAGAAAAGCACGAAAACTTTCACAATCTGTTTAATGAATCGACTGTAATTTAGCTTAATCGTTGTTTCATGGGAAACTTTTTTTGTTTTCGAACCAGGATACATGGCATCCTGACATATTATTCTGTTTCGTCGGTATTGCATGGATGAATAAGCTGAAGGGGAGAAACAAAAAAAAAGTAAAAACTTTTTCTCTCGCTCGATTAACATCACGTGATATGCGCCACCATCAGACGATCTTTCATTTATGTTTTGATGTTTACCGCAGTAAAATGTTATTGATATCGTCGAGTCGCTCAGTTTTATAAAATCTCTGTCACAAAATATTCCGAAACAGCTAAAAAAATTGTCGTATTGAGAAGAGCGGGTAAACAAAATAATGAAATGCAAACATGTGATGACATCGAACGTTAAATGTGATAAACATATGTGACGGATGAGGGAAAACTTCATCATGACGTTTCGTAAGAATGGATATAAATTTGCTACAATGTTGTTTATAAAACTTTTAGTGCATGCCACACAACGCTTGATTCAATTTCTAAGAGAAAGTTTTCCCACGAAGAAGTAACATCAGCAAAATTACAAACTTCTAACTCAGAAGAACTTCGTTCCAACATTTATGTTTGGGTTATTTTTCACAGCTTTTACATACTTGATGTCGCTTCCTCAACATCAAAACATCATCGTGGTGGATGTAATCTCTCATTTTAAATCTGATAAAAAAAGATTCTTCAGAAGATTTCCAGTGTTGGATGAGAACAAAAACAAAAACCTGAAGCTGGAATGTACAGCATGAGATTTTAATGTGACATGATTAATTTTATAGAGGGGGAGAAAGACGGAGATTGGAAGTTTGTGGAAAAAATAAAAATTATGTTGACAAGAGATTTAAGCTAATTTTGCCACTTGTAAGAATTACATTAAACTTAATCACTGACGTGAAAGTATTTGTCACTCAGCTATTTAAAGTTGATGTTGAAGATCGTCTTCATTTCAACGAGATTGTAAATATATTGTTTGTAATTCATTAAAATGTTGTTAGTTGTGTTGAAGATGATAAGAAAATTGGACGATGAGTAATAACTAACAGCATTAAAGGTCAGAAGTGTTCTTCTAATCAGTTTCTAACATTCTGCTGAGTCTTCCATCAATCACTCAATTTTTATCATTTAAACAACACTCGCAGCATCATGACGAAATGATTATCAAAAATTATTTTATTTTTTATTTCATAAAAGAAATCAATAAAGCAACTTGTGCGTTGGCGGACGTTATGATGGACGAACATTAAAGGGATGAGACGTTCTTTTATTTCCTTCTTTTCCGAAAGCTTTCTAGAATACTTCGCTTGCTGTCAGCAATACTTGATGAGAATGTTATTCATAAATTTTCATTAGCTAAAGCTCATTCATCAGCATAAAGAAGGAAAAGAATATCAAGAACAACAACGTTTCTATTAATATTCATATTTCTGAATGAATGCTTTTGAGGGTCACAATGACGGGCATATAACTTAAATAAGACTTTGACTTGAGTTATGAGAAAGATCGGACATATTGTCGAGACATTAAAGCTATCATTAAGCACTTTAAGCAATAACTTTTTATCACTTTCACCATCTGCATTTAACGACATTCGTGTAATAACTTTCAACTCTCAGGACGTGAATCTTCAACCACAACCACACACGTTGCTTGAAATTGGCCAAACATTGTAAGCTAACAAATGCCATGACCCAATAAATGTTTGAATGCAATTCAGGCTCAAAACGCTATTTCCTGACTCTGTGGCGATTTATCGACTTTTCGAACTTTAGTGGCTTTGAAAAGCAAAATTGGTTGAAAGTTTTTATTTTAAATTTCTAATGGCTTCGAATGTATTGCCAGAAATGGAATTTATGGAATTCATTTCCACACTTTTAATGGCTTTTAATACATGAAAGTTATTTCAATGTAGATGCGATTGAACATTTTTGAGGGAAAAGAAAGAACAAAAGCCGAGGCATGAAATGAACTGGCGCCAAAAAATTTTCATCATTTTCCTGAATTATCTTAAGAGAAGCTTGAAATATTTTGAACATGAAAAGATTAAATAACTTCGATGTAGGTAGGTCATGAACTGTGTGAATTTAATAGGAAACCCAACACTTTGTTAATAATAGATGAAGATTAAATTGAAAAAGGAAAATTAATTTTCCACACCGATAAATGAAATTGCTCGATTAATTTTATATTTTTCTCTTTTCCCTAGAGCAAAGAATTTGTGAATAAAAAAACATAACAAGTCACTGCAACTATCGCACATTCAAAACAAATTGTCAAAGTTATGAGCTTTCAAATAAACGAACTGAAAAATTCTTTGCGTCAAAAAAAGGAAATTCGTTTAAGTGAGTTTACAAATAAAAATAATTTCACATTTGGAACTTAAAGTTATGTATTGAAATGCCTGACACGTCTCTCTTTGTCAAAGGATCATAAACAAGAGTTGAATCGTAATGCGACAGAATGATGTTTATGAAAAAACATCAGAAATAAACATTATGTGATACCCCCTGAGGGTGGAGTATTATTCATTCGTCCATTGACTGATGAAGTCGAGCCGAGGCCTTTTCCAGCATTAAATAATCAATCAAACTCATCTGTATGCCACACATTGACAAAGTCATAATCTACGTGATTGCCTTGAGAACTAACTTCGTTATTTACTCCCATCGTCAGCTAAAATTATTCCCTGCTTTTCCTTCTCTTCCTTTTATTTTATGCAAGCAACATAAAACCTTAATTACTTGATCATAAGTAAAAGTTGTTTAATGAATATTAAAGCACAATCGGTTGGGAAAATAAATATCTAAATCAAAATTCTTCCTTCATATAAGTTGATATGAGTTGCAATGTGAGAAACTTTAACCCAAAATTTATGTAGCAACAAATAAATTATTCCGATGTTCATAAATCTTTACGCTCACCAAATATGTCGTTCTATAAATATTGAATAGATAAAGGTAATTTGTCATCATTTCTGACCCATAATGTGTTAAAAATAGACCGATTTATTCCGTTGAGAAGGATTGCAAAAGTTTATTTATGTGAAAAGTTTCCTACTCGTTATAGCTTTAATATTACTATGTATCAGTATCATAAAGTGAAAGAAACATAAATGCCTTGCTATGATAACGATACAAAGTCAAGTAATAGTTTCAAGACTTTAATAATGTTTATTTGATTCTATTGCCTCACTTAATTTCATTGATATGGTCAGTAAATGTATCATTAGAAGAAGTTATTTAAGTAAAGTCGATGATACTGTCGTTGGTAAGTTACCAAATAAGGTCGAAAGAAATGTTATATTGATAAATTGATTGTCATAAATTGTTGCTTTTACTTAAACCGACATTAATATATGAAGAACTGTCACTTCCGTCATGACACTAGCACCCATATCAGTTAAGCTGGTAAAAAGAGAAACGATTCACAAAAAAAAAAGATATGAAAAATATTCATGACTTTTCCTAACTTTCCCTTTTTCCTATTCTCTCTCCCTCACTCACTCTTTATTTATTGGGGATATTTAAAAAAGTTATGAAGAAGACAAAAAAGGGAAAACAACTTCCTGATGATATTCATTCCCGATTACTACAGGAATGATGAATGTGATTTTCCTTACTGATTTCAAAACGATTGCTAAAAAATGAGAGAAAGAAAAAAAGTTTTCTTCTATTTTTTCACTTCACAGTTCTTAATGCGTGTTTAATATGATCTTAGGGTGAAAAAAGCGGATGTTGTTGGTGATAACAAGGTCAAAGTTAGACATCATTTTGATATCAGTGGAGACGGGAAAGTTTGTGACACAGTTGCTTGTGTAATAAATTATCGGATTTAAGTCAAAGTAAAAGATCTTTTAAATCTATGATAGATTTGAAGAAAAAGAAAAAGTTTCAAAAAGAAAATCAGCGACAAGAAAGAAAAATATTTCACAGCTCGTAAAAAATAATGATCAGATAAAGCTTGAAGCTGTTTTGGCTTCTGTCGGACTTCAATATGGCGTGTCTGTGAAAGATTTATCAAGACAGATTGCAGAGGAGTAATGAAATCATTCCTCACAATCGCTCATGGGGTTGAATGTAATAAAAAATTGCTTATAAGTGAATTCTAAGGGAAAAAAGCTGTTGCAAGACGAAACCTTATTAGTACAAAGCTGACCTCCTTTCAATAGAAATTCACTCACACACACAAATAAAATTAAATTTAGTCTCAAAATTAGCTTTATGAGGTCAGATCTGGAAAGGCGTTTATGTATTTCATTTCATTTCCTGTCGACTTATCTTGGTATATTGAGTGTGAAAACTCAAAGGGGGGAAATTGATAAGTAAAACTTATCCAATTAAATAAGTGCCTAGAGACTAATGGCCACTTTTCGAAAAAGCACAATTATAGTGATTTCCTAATTAAATCAAGAATTAAATGAAATCACGCAAGAAAACGATTTCAAGTCATTGCATTAAAGAACAAAATCTTAATCTTTAAATCATTGAGAACGAAATGAAAACCTTGAAGAAACTTGAATGATTTTTAAATATTTACAAAGTACAGTCGAATCGCTATAAGCAGAAACTTTCTTCTCATAGAGTTTCCACTTATAGAGCGTCGACTGTAATATGATACGAGATTAATTTTTTTCTTGATTGTGACGTTAATTATCCTGTGAAACCTTCTGTATCATACATCAAATATTTAACAAACTTCTCTTAAGTGACTTTCATTTATTCAATCAATTTTATTCTCGAGTCATTAGAGCTAAGCTTAAGAAGAAGATTTCATAATTCACAACTCTGAAACTTCAAAGATGAAAATTAATTAAATTTATAAACAAAATTATGAAGGATGTATCAATTAGATGTTAATTAATTAACCATGGCAGACTTATTTAAGACAGGAGATATAAAGTAATTAAAGTTCATATCATGGACTAATTTTAAGTTGAATTTTCGTTGTATGTGAAAATCTCGAATTGTTTTAATTCTCATCTTAAATCAAATGTCTTGTTGACTGAAATGTAACTCACCGATCTTAATTTGTTATGATTCCTTGTTTAGATCTCTTAATTTAAATATTTATCATTTCAGCCGCAAGCCTTAATTGCCATTAGGGAATTGTCTACAAATAATTAATGATGAATTCTAATTTAAATTACCATGAAACCTTTAGAAAAATTAAAACTTTTCAACAACATCTTGAATAAATTGAGAAATTTAAAATTTGTGAATGAATCAAAAACATGGAAAAGAATTTTAATTCACCTAATTACCAGGAATAAAAACTTGAATTCCGCTTTCAATAGACAAGCAGTTGAAACAAAGCAAATTCATTGAATTTAGACACAAAAGAACTTCAAAGTCAAGTTGTTTATTTCACTTCTTTAGTTCTCTAAAGCTTCTCGAACTTCTTCATTCTTCTTGGAGTTTTCAGTCTGTTAATTTGCTATGCATAGCAATGCGAGCTCAGATTTAAATTTTAATTCGAAATGCAATCTTATTCCATTCCTTTCTCGCCCTTTTCCTATTTGCATTTTTTATAGCTTTGGTTTTATTTCTATCTCGCAAAAATTCTTTTTCTTCTTTATTTTCGCTTCATAAAAGTAGAAAAAAATGCTGAAAAGCTAGTAAAACTAATTTTTCTTGAGATGCACAACATGTTGTATGTGGATAAAAAATAAATTAAATGAAAGTAAAAAGAACATTTTCCTAACTTTTATGCTTTCTTAACCAGGAAAATTCCAGGATTTTCCAACCTATAAAACTCAAAAGCTTTATGTTTTTGTTCACAATTGTTTTATGATCGTGGAAGAAAGCAAAGAAAAATGGAGGAACAAAGATTACAGAGATAAAAAGCACTAAGTAAAGATGGAAAAAGTAGCTACATTAAATGCATAAATCTCTGCATTGTTCCATGTTTTTAATGAATAAAAATATTTCTTCAGTGCCTTCTTGTTCTCAATCCCCTTACAAGAAAAAAGCAAATGACGAAAAAAAAACTTTTGTTTCGAAAAAGCTTTGAATAAAGAAACGACATAAAAAAGATTTTTTTCCTCCTTTCCTGCTCTCTCAAAAGAAAATTATCCAAAGTGCATAAAAAAAATTATTCATGATTTATGAGATGAGACTTATAAAGAAATAAAAGAGAAGAGAAGAATCTTTCGAATGTTTTGAAGCATCAGATTTGTGGATTTGAGTATACTCCCTGTTTCATTCTAAAGAAAATGTTGCAATTACAAAAAACAAGTGAACGTATGAAGGGGAATGAACGGCAGGAGGAAAATAAAGCTAAAGCCTTGGAATTTATGGGCCCCTTAACTTGAATTTATTTCTGATGAATTTCCATTTAATTTAGAGAGCGGATGAATTTATGTATGCGGCGAGGATTGCACGAAGCACGAATAAAAATATTTATAGACGTTCTCATGAGGATATTTTTGCGGATTGATGCGAGTCGTTGTGAGATATGAAATTCATATTAATCAATCTACGAAACGTGGCCTCCTTATACATTACACAGCTTCAGCTTTTCTGTTTTATCATCATCATCATTGTCATGCAGTAGATATAAAGGCAAACAGCACATTCAAGATAACTGTCACAATTGACAGCGTTGCTTTGGCATGTTTAATAAAGAAGAAATGCAATTTTCTATCCTTTCACTACCATTTCATCTTTTATGATTGATTGGAAAACAAACGATGTCGATACGACTCCTTCTTCTTCTCCTGTTTCTCTATTCATTCATGAGCGATGACAATAAAACTGCTTCCTCAGAGCGATAAAAAACGTTCAATAAATTATAGAAAAGCAAGTAACTACCCCAATCAGCTATTGAAGTACTGCAACGAACAACGATGAAATGATTCAGTTGAGAATGTTTAAGATGAAATTATGAACGTCAAGAGAATCAAATTATAGCGATGATTGATGTAGTTTGTGTTGTAAACCACGTGGAAATTGATGTTGTTGACACAGGGTTCGTTAACTGTCTTGGAGTACATTAGCGTTAAAAATCTTATGCTACATTACATAAACATAAAAGAATTTTCAATTTTCTTCTCACTCATTCAAGATCCTTTGCTTATAAATATTAATTAGCGTCGCTTTCGTAATATAAAAAAGAAAAGAAAAAACTTTAAAGTCATCAGAAAAGAAAGTTCTTAATTGATAAAATGTTCCCAAAAAAATGAGTCTAAGTTTCCGGTACACAATTTTAGAACACTGAAAATTTCACCACTCAGTGCCTTCGCAAGTGGCCTTCGAGGTGATCGAATTTGTTCGATAAAAAATGAGTAACTTTTCGATACTTTGAAGTGAAGTATTTATAGCTTTTGTCACTGTGGCGTAAATGAGTTTACCTCTCAAGTTTTAGCGAAGAAAAGGTCGCTCGAACCTTTTTCTTCCAAAACAAGACGAAAGTTAATAACAAGAGTTTATTGAAAAAAGTACTCAATGAGTTGGAAAATGTTGCTGTTGAAGTGAGTCTTTAATAATTAAAAGTACACGAAGATTACATGGCGGAACATGGGATTTCAAAAATGAACAGAATTTTCAATGAGAAATTCACAAATTTTCAATAAGGAACAGCGAAAAGGAGTGAAATTCAGAATTTTGGAATTCTTAATTAAGCGATAGAAATAACTTTCCCTAAGGAAATTTGAATAAACTTTAGTCAAGGTCATAGACGACAGCGTTGTTCATTTCATAGATAGATGATGTCTTAAAGAGAAAGGCTGATGGGTTTACTTATGTAGTCTTTGCTTCAGTGCTAAGCAGTGTAAGTACAAATACGAGAATACGACAAAGACTCATCTAAATTTCATGATTGCTCTGAGCGGCTTTAATCTCACACTTAAACACTGTTCTTAACTGTCTCTAGGATGATTCGAGGGAAAAGAAATCGTTTCATGGGTTGAACATTTCACATTGAGATTTAGAATAAAATTTTATTGACTTCTTCGTTGTTTTAAGGTTTTATATAACGTGGGATTACGCAACATCATTATACATACAATCTTCCCATCATGCAGCATTATGATATCAATATTTCTTTCCTTCCTTCAATTCAAATGAAAGTTTCTCCTTTTTAAGGGAGGGCATTACGTTTCATTGCCTGTCTTGCAAGCTATCTTCAAGTGGAAACAAGGAAGAATAATAAAAAGCGCTCTTTATTGCACATATAACATTTGAAATGCGAACATTTGGTGAGATTATTATTTATGTTGTGAATGTTTTCTTCACGCCTTTCTTGTTACGAACGATTTTGAGCTTGAACATGTCTTGAATAATGACGTTTAGTGTAAATTTCGGCTTGTTGTGTTCATGAAAAGAAAATTTATATGTGCGGTGATGGCATCCCAAACGTGTTGTAAACTGCGTCCATATACTTAATGTTGAAATCACACAATGATGGATAAAACTTCTCAAAGCATAAGAATTTTATTTCAAGAGAAAGCATATTTAATATCACGAAATTAATCCAAAATTTATTGGAAAATGAATCAGAAGAGATTTGCAAAGTTAAACATTAAAAAAGTTTCTTGTTCGAAAGCCAAATGATGATGTTTGACAAGCTCTACAAAAAGTTGATGATTTAAGATTTAAAACTTTACTTTCCCAATTCAAAAACTATTTTCTTTTCATAGCTTTTCCTAATACGATCTGAGATTTAAATTTATTATTTATTGAATCAATATTACGAGATTGATATTACGTACCTACGATGTAATCTTCAATAAAGCGTGCTATGGAAAATTTCCTTATTCAAAACTTCAAGTTATGAAGAATACTTTGAAGCAAAGCCAGCCATAGCAGAGCTTTCTTAAATTTGAATACGAAAGTATCTAATTTAAATTTAGTTTATTAGGTATTCATTAAGTTGATAGAATTTTTAATGAAGTAAGAAAACTCTTTTTTGCATAATTTTTTGGTTCTTTCGCGTTTGTTACATTAAGTTATTGCTTAGAATTTAAACAAGTTTTCAAGCAATTTTCCTTTTTCCGCTTTTCTCTTTCTCCTTCAAACAAAGCAAATATTTTTACTTTCTTTATTTAGATATGTTTGACGATTTTGCTTTGATGTTACAACATTGAAATTAAAAAACGTATCTACATGTTTATTTAATTAAACAAAATAATCTCTTTGATGTGATGCCTTTTGAATGTCGACAAGCATTGGATTGTTAATAAAAGAAACATGAATTTCAATGACTTTTCTGTCGTCGGTGACCTTCTAAAACTCACATAAAATTATTTATGTTATAAGTAAGAGAAGCTGCTTCTACTGAATTTAATATTTACTTTCTCTCCATAATAATTGGTAACAACTGCGATATA